TAGGGTATGGATTATTCGCGCAATCGCTGCCAAATTATTCGGGGGGGAAAAGGTACGGGAGAGGGGACACACATGGTGGTACGTACGCATGTCTTCTTCACTCTCCACGACGGAATAAGCAACTGAGAATGTTCAGTCCCTTCAGACTATGGAGCACGCTTAGTTTTCTGGCTGTACCTGTGCTTTTTTTTTTTTTTTTTTTTTTTGCCTCTGGGTATTCGCGTAAGCCCACTTCTTCTCTTACCCCCCCTCTTGTCTTTGCGTACACCGTAGTCTCCTTTTTTTAGGGATTTATTTTTTTATCAAAAAACCTCAAAGTAGTTCATCGATCTAAACCTGTTTTTACTTCTTTTTTGAGTTGGTTTGAATTTTCTGACGGTCGACGCTTTTTCCCTGGTCTCCATCTTCGATGATTACGGATTACGTACAGCCTGCAGAGGGCGACCCGGTATTTGGTTACTTACACTCATACATGCCTCCCCTCTGCCTACACAGACTATGTTCCGATCCCGGAGTTTCAGGTCCCTCTCTCAGTGCCTCCCCTTTTTTTTGTTTCCCCTGCTTTGTATTATTGTCCATTTGTTTTTATTATTGTCATTTTCTTCTCTTGTTTTCGCTGTTCCTGGTTTTGTTTACAGTATGTCTGAATCTGGCGGACAATGCAGTCCACGAGCAATCAGATTTGTAAGTCCTTAGATTAATTTCTGCGTCTGATTTGTTATTCGAGAGGACTCGTCGAAGTCCTTAATTGTGATGCGAAGAATGATGATGAAATGCTGGTAAAAATAGAAAACAAGCAATTAAAATGAGTCCAAAAGAAATGATGAAATTAAAATTAAAGAGAAAAAAAAAAGCAAAAAGAAAATTCATCAGTAAACAACCCCAAAATTTAAACCAAACCAAACTAATTCCTAAATTCAAATTCGAACCAAGGAAAAGGGAAAAGAAAAAAGGACCAAAAAAAAATAAAAAAATAAAATAGAATAGAAAAAAAAAGCAAGCGACCCATCCAAAACCTTGAGGGTCACCCGAGGAACTGGTTCCCATTTGGAGAGTTCCCACTGGCACTAAGCAATTCCTCTTGCTTCGTTTTTTAACACTGGCGCCGTTTCGAAGCCTAAGCGGCCCAAAGTAACGATCTGCAACCGTCCCCGACGGGACGTCGTCAGTGGCACTAGCCCATCACCAACACGGCAACGCCAGGGCTTCCCTTCGTCCCTGCGGCCCATCCTCATGCTGAGATCCTGTATTTGTTCATAAGCTTCGCCGATCCCCTTTGGGCCCTTCCCCAGACTGCCTGTCTATCTTTCTTCCTCTCTCTCCTTCCCCCTTTGCTTTCCCTTTATTATTCCCGTCGAGGACGCCGGTCTTCCCCCTCTTCCCCCAAAAAGGCAGATTGTCGCTCTATTTCTCCTCTTTGGTTCTTGATCTTTCTTAAACTCTAGCTTTCCGTCGGATTGTTTTCCTGCCCTGACTATCGCTCCTCCGCGCATCTTCTTCCTCTTCTACTACTCCTACATCGCGGATCAATCAATCGCTTTATTGATTGATCGATCTTCACTATCTTATTCTTCTTTACTCTTTGGTCTATCCCTTCACACACACACCCTTTCTTCCTATCGCATCCCCCACCTGTCAATCTTGCACAACACGTTCCCTTGACTCTTGTGTACGTCGCGATCATCTTCCCCTTGATCGTCCGTCCCCTTTGGTCTTGTTTCGAACATACGCATTGTTTGTGGTCGTTGCGAAGACAATCGCAACTCGCCGCGACACCTGCATACTCAACATAAACAAACAAGGAATTTGTCCAGAATTCCACCCCAATAACATCTATCCTCCATGACGATGGTCATTGAAAACCAGAACCGCCAGTACGGCGGGATGGGCTTCGACAACGTCTATCAACATAACATGCCGCATCACAACCCTCCTCAATTTACCGACCCTTGGACCGCTGCTCATACCTCGTCTCATTCCACCCCGCCCGTGTACGCGACCTCCATGGGTCTCAACCATGCCAAAGAGGAAGTGAGCCGGCCTTCGCCCATGTCGATGCCCTACTCGAGCATCCCCGTCTCCGCGCCGTCCATGGTCACCGGAAGCAACTACTCGACCACCACCGCCACGAGCTACCCTGGGCCCGAAGTCATGGGAATGCAGCACGATTTGCCCCGTACCTCTTTCGAACAAGCTCCCGCTTACACTACGACGTCACCTATGAGCACTTTCGCACCCGCTAGCTATGCGCCGTTGAGCTACGCTCCCTCTCTACACCAGGATCGCCGGATATCTCATGCGTAAGAAAACCCTCTCCCTCTTCGCGTTTTGCGAGTTTCTATGCGAAGACTTGCGCTAACCATGTTCCTTTCCTCTCACAGTGATGCTGCTCGCGTTGGACCCTCGCAACCCCCCTCTGCTCCTACATTCGGCGATGCGCTCGATGCCAGCCGCGGAATGGTCGCTCTCAGCCAGGATTTGACGCCCCGTAACATCTATGGTCCTCGTGGCTCCCGGGGATCTGGCGATTCCTATGGTTTCCCTTCTACCCACTCTTCTGGATCTTCGATCTCCTCGGGAGGAAACTACCCTTACTACAGCGCTTCCGTCGCATCGGTTGAGTCGTCTGTGACCGACTACAGCTCCACGACATCGGAATCTTACGAGAATGGGCACCTGTCGCGGACTCTTCCTCGCCCCTCGAACCTTCTGTCGGGCAGCGCTCCCCCGGGACCTCAGTCGATGATGAGCCAATTCAGCTCGAAAATGCCGTCCAACACTCAGAAGAAGCACAAGTGCAAGGTGTGCGACAAGCGTTTCACTCGGCCCTCGTCTTTGCAGACCCATATGTACAGCCACACCGGCGAAAAGCGTAAGTGCCATCGATGATTTTCTACTATCCGCGGTAGATACTGACAATTTGGTCTTCAGCATTCGCATGTGATGTGGACGGGTGCGGCCGACACTTCTCAGTTGTCTCCAACCTTCGTCGACACAAGAAGGTCCACAAGGGCGAAAAGGATGGAGTGTCTGGCGAAGACGACGAGTAAATCTCTCGCCATTCACACCCAATATCCCCCGCCTAATATATTTATCTTCAACCCTCGAGCCTTGTCCCGGTGCGAAGCTAAGGAAGCTTCAATACGGCTTCCGTACTCAACGACCCCTGACAAGGCTTCTCACCCCTTGTACAACAGCTTCCGACTTCTGCGGATTCTTCCACTTATTCATTCTTCTTTTTTCCCGTCTCTGCGTTTGACAGAGAATTGATACCCCTTTTCTTCTATTTATTATCATGGATCGGCAGGATTACGGTACAAGGGACTTTTTGGAGGGATTTCTCGGTGATGTCTTCTGTTTTTGTCTTCCCACGTTATGACCATAGAAGGTACCGGTTGTTTTTCCTGCATGGTTTGATTTTTTTATATTTCACTTCTTTCGCTCGCTTAGACTAGGGTGTTGGTGCTTCCCTTTTTCTTTTCTTTTCTGGCACGAGTCTTCTTTTCTGATACCAACTGGGTTGTGTTTTGTCTGGATTTTTTTCGTTTTTCTTTTCTTTCTGCGGTTCACCGATCTTGGCCATTTATCTTACACATACCTTGATTTGGAGACCTTCGCAGCAGGTCCGCTACATTTTTGCTATTTATTTCGTGTGTGGAACTTGATTCGATCTGCTTTATTTCGTTTCCCTAGAGCATTGGATCTCAAGGATGGCTTGGGATTGGGTGGTTCCCCATGATACAGTATACCACCGGAGAGATAGGAAACTGATACCCGCTGCGCAAATTGGGCGGAGCATGGAAATTGAAACGAAATACCTGGCGGCGATGCAAGCATGCTCGATTTGAAATTTGGCTTTTGGGTTGGGTCGGGTTGGTTTTGATTTGGAGCAAGCATACAAATAGACACGATGTGGGTGTCATTACGGTCGCTACTATTATTGATTATTTATACCATAATTGTCTAATAAATTTGATATACGGACACTTTTTCCTTACGGAGTAATAGGATTGGTGATTTGGTTCCTTTCGTTTTGCTCTTTGGCATTGGAGGTTAAGGGTTCTATGGTTCGGTTATGATCTCCTGGCGGTATGTCGCTGCTTTCTTCATTCTGAGATCCATGACCCTGCACTGGTTCTCTCTCCACACCGAACCGAAGATATTCCCTATGATGCTTGAGATGCTGGCGCCTCTCGGTCTCAACTAGATGGCATTCCTCTATCTTCCGGGACGGCATTGTATCCGTTCTCTTTTCTGAAGTTGGCAGAGCATGGTCCCTCGACTGGCGACATAGCGTGAATCTCGAAATATGTATATGCGATCTCAGACCGGTACTGCAAAATGTCTGAGTACTGGACCTACTCGTAACTCGTTGAGTGTCCACTCGGTTGCTCAGGGCGTGTTGATGAGGAGGTAGTTACGGAGGACCCCGTGTCTGGTCGAGTTTCACACTACAACATTCTAGGTAGCATATGTGCAGAAGCTGTTAAGGGTGAATTGGCGAGGGACATCTATCCGTTCATCTCCTTCTATTTCTCGTCGAATACCATTCGTTCTCTTTTCACCCTTTTGTTATACATATGCACTTGGAGATCAAGAAACGGCTCTCCGCAAACTAGACATTCAGGTCCGCCGCACGTCGGGTACGCTACGGCCGGCGCTTAGAGGTTCTCTCTTAGTATCCTGGGGAGCTTGAGATACGAGATAGATAAAGTTCGGCTTTGAGGAGAGGGGATGGATAAAGGGGGAATGTTACTCTGAGGAGATTATTGGTTATTTGGAGATGCAAGGAAGAGGGCTTGTTGTTTGTGGAAAATTCGGAGAATTGCGATAGGTTGGATACCCTGGTCGGGTAACTCTCTAGATAGCAATGCGGAGAAGGAAAGATAAGAAGATGAACAACTGAACGCCCCTCCGTTATCGTCAATATAAAAGGCCAAAGATATCGCATGTTCAGATAGAGGCAAGTCTAGTCCAGAGACAATTCTATACCAAGTACTATGGCTTCATCCTCAACCTCCCCTCCATCTCCCCCCAAAGATGCCACCAAAATCCTCCGCAAGGTCGACCGTCGACTCATCCCCATCCTCTTCTTCACATACATGTTGAACTTCATGGACAAAACCATCCTCTCCAGCGCCTCGGTCTTCGGTCTCATCGACGATACAGTCCGTTCCTCCTCCCGATGTTGAGTCCGTCCATAACTGACACCCCCTGCAGAACCTCGTCGGTCAACAATACAGCTGGGTCTCCAGCATCTTCTACTTCGGCTACTTCTTCTGGGAAGCGCCCACCAACCTGCTCATCCCGCGACTCCCCGTCGCCAAATACCTGACAGTGAACACCCTCTTCTGGGGCGCCGTGGTCGCCCTGACCGCCGCCTGCGTCAACTACGGCGGTCTCCTCGCCGTACGGTTCCTCCTCGGCGTCGCCGAAGCCACCATCACCCCAGCCTTCATGTTCATCACGACATCGTGGTACACGCGCGACGAGATCCCCATGCGCACCGGGATCTGGTTCTCAGGGAACTCGATCGGCGGACTCGTCGCCAGCCTGCTCGCCTACGGCGTCGGACACATCCCAGGGCCCCTGAGCCCATGGCAATGGATGTACATCATCCTGGGAGTCGCGACGTTCCTCTGGGCAGTCATCCTCTTCCTCTTCCTACCCGACAGCATCTCCAGCGCACGATTCCTAACACCCCCCGAACGAACCTTGATGACCCACCGCGTCCTCATCGCAGGGACCGGCCGCACCGAAAAAACCACCTGGTCGTGGCCGCAGACCCGCGAATGCCTCATCGACCCCAAAACCGCCTTCCTCTTCTCCCTCGCCTGCCTCACGCAGATCCCCAACGGCGGGACCCAGAACTTCAGTAACCTGGTCATCACCTCGTTCGGGTTCACCCCGCTGCAATCCACCCTCCTCAACATCCCCACGAGCCTGATCAGCGCCGCGACCATCGCCGTGACGGGATGGATCGCCAGCCGATATCGAAACGCAACCTGCCTCCTCCTCCTAGGGATCACGATGCTAAGCATCACCGGAAGCGCAATCATCTACGCGCGGAGACACGTACCTCGGGGAGGACAGCTCTTCGGATACTTTCTCCTAGCGACAGGCCCGGGGGCCTTACCGCTGATCATGTCCCTAGTCCAGGCGAACTATAAAGGCGTGAGTAAGAAGATGTGCATGACGGCGCTGATGTTCGTGGCGTATTGTGCGGGGAACATCGCGGGTCCGCATCTCTTTCGGACGAGTGAGGCCCCCGTCTATCAGACTTCGTTTCGCGCGATCTTGGTCTGTTATATCATTGCGGGGGTGTTGGCAGTTGCGCTGAGGGGGTATTTGGGGTGGTTGAATCGGAGGAGGGATGAGAGGGAGGGGGTTAGGGGGGATGCTGGGTTGGCGGGCGCGGTGGTCGGGGTGGAAGGAGTAGGAGGTAAGGCGCAGCAGGGGAGGGAGACGAGGCAGGACGTGTCGGAGTTGGTGCATTCGGTGGAGTTGAGACCGGAGGATTATGAGGACGTGACGGATTGGGAGACCGTGGGGTTTCGGTATCGGTTGTAGATGGTAGATATTATATCCGCGAATTGAGGACATGACAAAAGATACGAGTCTGCAATGTCTATTGCAATGATTAAATCGAGCCCTTTTCTACCAGTAAATCCCTAGCAAGTATCATAGTTAAAATCCGCAACGCCATGTAGAGCCCATGTAAAGCAAGATTATTATGCACATATAAGACAAGTCTTGACGGCGCCGGGCTGTCCAGTCCAATATCTCTCACCCCCCTTAACGGATCCGATCCAGTTTCGCCCGGTTCATGGCAACCTGGTCGCTGACGTAGTCGCTCTGCAGGATTGTTAGACTTGTTCGTGGTCAATCTGAGTAGAGCCTTGAATGTACTCACCTTGGCCGTGATACGCTCCAAGTGGCGGTTCTGCTCGTCCAGCTCGCGGCCCGTCGCCTTGGCCAGTCCGTTCAATCGGCCCGCCGCACCGCCCAGCAGATCCAAGTTCTGCTCGATCTCGTTCTCCATGCCTTCGTCCTCGCTGTCCGCCTCGAACTGGTACTTGGCCCGGTCCGTGACATTGGTGCGACCGCCTCGTCCGGGCTTGCCCGCCTCGCGCTCGATGTCGCGGAATGTCCGCTCCATGCGCTGGTTGGTGCCGAAGGCCTCCTGCCGGGTGCCTTCGCGGGCAGCCCGTTCCTCTCGGTGCGTGTTCAGGATCTTCTCGTCGCGGTCCCGTCGTCGCCGGGAGCTGGTGAACGGGTTGGACACGTGCACCGCGAACATGCTCTTGTTCAGCGTCTTCAGCTCGCGAGCCTTCTCCTCAGCCACGCGACCCTCCACCTTAGCAATGTCCAGGTGCTTCTCGGTATCGTGAATGCGCTCGCCCTGGGCTCCCAGACGGGCCAGCGTCTCGCGACCGGTCTCCTCGGCCTGCGCCGCAATGCGGAGCGCATTACGAGTCGACGCCACATCGCCCTGCTTGATGAATCGAATATCCTGCTTGATCGTCGAGATCTCCTCCTCCTCTTCCTCTTCCGCCGTCAGCTGCCGCTCCTGGTACGTCGACGTGTTGTACGCATTGCTTCCACCGCCGTACGCGGGGGACCCCTCGGTATAAGGCGGTGGGGGCGCTCCGCCCTGCGGTTGCTGCTGCTGCACTCGCTCTCTAGCACCGCCGAACAGCGCGTCGCGGTTGGCATCCCCCGCAGCGGGGTCATTAGGATCGGCACTGCCCAAGCCTCCGTAGCCACCGGGGCCGTATCGAGAAGCTCCAGCAGCAGGACCGGCACCGCCAGCACCTCCGCCGCCGAATCGATCGCTGCCGTACCCGCCCGTGTTGTTGTACTGGTTGGGAGCGTAGCCACCGCCCTGGTACTTGTTATCGGCGGGGATGCCGTGGGGGCCTGACGAGGCGGCGGAGCTAGACTGCTCTCCCGCGGGCAGAGGAGCCACGCCGGCGGTGATCTTCGCTTTGGTGTAGGGATCGGTGGGAATAGGCTTCGCGTAGGGATTGGCAGGGGGCGCTGGACTCTTGTTCTTCGATCGCGAGCCGAAGAGTGCCAGGCGGCTGGAGGACTCGTCGTCTTCCGACTTCTTCAGGCCGAATCTGCCCATCGTGGAGATTAGTCGAGGCTGTGGGTCTAAAGCAGAGGTATTAGAGGCAGATAAAGAGAAGACGAGAAGAAAGAATGAAATTAACAGAAGAATGGGAGAGAATGAAGGACAAAAGGGGGAGAGGAGAGGGTGAGAAAGATGAAACTGCCACGTTCAGGGGATCTGCGGGCAAATGTCAGGTCAAGGTGGTATCGATGGTATTGCAGATACCCTTGAGATGGCGGGGAGATGTGAAGGAGGTTCAGAGTATGACAATACCATGACAATACGGTATAGTGGCGGTGCCAGGCTATGTCGCCACTAGGCCTCTTCCGGTTAGCCCCGATGGCTGAGTACTACCAGCCAATCAGAGATGGGAAGCCACAGGGTCACCGCTTTTGCGTCCTCAGGCATCAACTCGCAGTGTCCTTCCGCCTTCCTTCTTCCGCCTTCTGTTCATCTCCTCTCTTCATTAATTCAGCGTCCCCCCAGCATGGCGCCATATCCAGGGTCTGATGCGGACTTTCTCCGGGACAAGGCGCGTAGGGATATTTTGAATCTCCTGGAAGGCGTGAGTTAAGGCTCTCGATCGTCTTTGCGCATACTTGGCTGAACTTCCTCCAGGTGCGCGGGAAGAAGAACCTCGTCATAAGCCAGGACCTGGCAGGCCCGGTCGGTCTCTTTGTCAAGTTCTCCCTGCTTCAGGAGTACGGGGTAGATCGTGTATTTCTCCTCGAGAACGCCAATGTGGACTCCTCGCAGCGCAATGTGATCTTCTTAGTCCATGCCGAAAAGACGCGCCAGGTGCGCGCAGTGGCAGGTATGTTGGTCGTCCATCCATCTCGTCGGCGCCTTCTTTGTAAATTGCTGCACGTTCCTCCGAATGACTGCAATGGAATGGGACGAACTGTAGATTACGCAGATGCCTCATCTCTCCGTAGTCGGTTGAGTTCCCTATATCAACATTCATATCTCCAAATTACCCAGCTCATCTCTAAGGCCTTCTTTCTTATACCACGTGTGACTGGATGCCATCAGTGTGAGCTGACATCTCGCTAGAACAGATCCAACGCCTGCAACGGAATGGCAATGTGGAGCATGAGTTCTCCATTTTCTGGGTCCCTCGCCGGACTCTCGTAAGCAATGCCATCCTGGAAGAGACCGGCATAATCGGGGATGTGAACGTCGCAGAATTTTCCTTGTACTTTGTGCCTCTGGAGCAAGACGTCCTGTCGCTGGAGCTGGAAGATGCCTTCAGTGATCTGTATCTGGTAAGAGAACTTGTGTATGAAAAGACCGCAGTGGACTAAATCCGGGCACAGCATAAGGACCCGGGATGTGTGTTCCTTGCCGCAAAGGCTCTTATGGATATTCAGCAGCGACACGGCTATTTCCCGCGGATCATCGGCAAGGGTGACAATGCTCGACGACTGGCAGACCTGCTGCTACGGATGAGAAAAGAACTGGATGCCGAAGAAAGCTCCGGCCTCATGGATCCCTCCACGAGAGGACTGCTGCCTAGTGCAGATACCGAGAGCCTGATCATCATTGACCGCGACGTGGACTTCGGCACGGCTCTCCTCACGCAGCTCACCTATGAGGGCTTAATCGATGAGACCGTTGGCATCAAGCAAAACCAAGCCGATGTGGACACCTCCATTGTCGGCTTCACGCCGACGCCCCAAGCCCAAGAATCCTCAAAAGCTCCGCAGCAAACATCCAAACAGGGCCAGAAACGCAAGATCCAGCTCGACGCCTCCGACCAACTCTTCAGCCAACTCCGCGATGCCAACTTTGCCATCGTCGGCGATATCCTGAACAAGGTCGCCCGTCGTCTGGAGACTGACTACGAAAGCCGACACACGGCGAAGTCGACGACCGAGCTGCGCGAATTCGTCAACAAACTCCCTACCTATCAACTCGAACACCAAAGCCTGCGGGTGCACACCAACCTCGCCGAAGAAATCATGCGAAACACCCGCGCCGACACCTTCCGCAAGATTCTGGAAGTCCAGCAAAACAACGCCGCCGGCGCCGACCCGACCTACCAACATGACTCCATCGAAGAGCTCATCGCCCGCGACGTGCCCCTCAAAACCATCCTCCGTCTGCTCTGTCTCGAATCCTGCATGTCCGGCGGTCTCCGTCCGCGCGACCTGGAGAACTTCAAACGCCAGATTGTCCAAGCCTACGGCTACCAACACATCCTAACCTTCTCGGCATTGGAGAAGATGGACCTTCTCCAGCCCCGTTCTTCTGCCACCACCATGCTCATCCCCACCACGGGGACCCAGACCGGCTCTAAAACTAACTACAACTACCTGCGCAAAAACCTGCGCCTCGTGGTCGAGGAGGTTAGCGAAAAGGACCCCTCCGACGTCGCCTACGTCTACAGCGGCTTCGCCCCTCTTAGCATCCGTCTCGTCCAGTGTGTCCTGCAGAAACCCTACATCCTCTCCCTCATCCGCGGCGGCTCGACCGCCCCGGCCATCACCGGTCCCAGTCCCGCGAGCACCGCCTCCCCTGGCTGGCTCGGCTTCGAGGACGTCGTCAAGAGCGCGCGGGGGGCTACCTTCAGCATCGTGCAGAAGGGCGACGACAAAGCGGTACGTGCGCGCCAGACCATCAGTGGCACCAACGCCACCAAGACCATCTACGTCTTCTTCCTGGGCGGCATTACCTTCACGGAGATCGCGGCGTTGCGGTTCATCGCGGCCCAGGAGGCGCCTAGACGGAAGATTGTCATCTGCACGACTAGTATTGTCAATGGAGATCGTATGATGGATGCGGCGATCGAGAAGGGCGATTTTGCTAAGATGGAGTAGTGTAGTAGTTCTCCTTCGCCAGTAGGTAAGAATCTTCAAGGATGTAGAACTGTGATTCTCACTTTGCTTTGAATTTCTACCTACCACTTTGATTGATGTATGACAAGAGCACATAACACGATGGGAGGACCCATTAGCAAGCATACCTAATAAAATTTCTATTAAGAACAAACCAGCACTGATGTATGCATCTTCTATCCACGCCAAGTACAGTAGCACTTAAGTAGATAAATAAAAAAACATCCATCATCAATTCACCACCACCCATACTCAGCATCCCCCAAGAAACAAAAAAAAAAAACCAACCCTAATACCTAATACCTAAACCCCGACCCCACCCCCATCAACCTCCCCTGAAACCTCTCCATAACCTCCCCCAACTTAACCATAACGCCCGCCGCCAACGTCCTCGCCCTGTCCCTGCTCTCGTCCCCATTCCCAGCCCCCGAGGCGGAAATCCTATCAAACACCTGCCCCGCCCAATCCCTCAACTCGATCACCTGGGCCGCGTACTCCGTGACTAGGCGTTCCTCGCCAGCCGACCCAGCCTCGACATTCAGGTCGATCAGGGCCAGGAAGAGCGAGAGCAGGGCGGTCAGGATGGTGGGTTCTTCGGCGACGGGGCGCGTGTGGAGACTTAGGAGGAAAGAGGTCGTTTCGTGGGTTAGGGTTGGGAGGGAGGGGTTGTGAGGGCCCATGGTTGAGAGGAGGAGGGTCAGGGTCTGGATGAAGAGGGAGAGGAGGTGGGGGATTAGGAAGGGGTTTGAGGAGGGGGAGGAGGATCTGTTGTGGAGATTCTGTTAGTTGAGGCAGGTAGTTGTGGGGAGGATGCTGATAGGGAGTGGAAAGGCTGGGTGAGTGGGCCGATGAGTGAGGGATGGATATGACTTACGAAGAGAATTGCATGATCATGACATCGAACCTGCCCTTGAGAGGATAAAAGAAGCCGTCGGCAAGGACCTTGTGGAGGTCTTTGATAGTGGACTTCTGGCGTTGATATTCTCGCTGCTGGCGCTTCTTTTCGACCTCCATGCGGGAGGAGAACGTCCGGACTTTGAGCGCGTCCGGGCCCGAGGCGGCGTCTGCGGCGGTGGCGGCGAGAGGTTGAAGGGAGGCTTGCGAGAGTTTATGAGTGAGAGCTGCGATGGGAGAGTTCGTGTCGCTTGTGTATAGAGCTTCCAAGGCCGCGGGGAGTTTCTTCGAAGGGAACGAGGAGTCAGGGAGGGCTGGAAGGCCGATAGTTTGGGCGTCTTCTTCACCATTGCCGGCGAGTTCTCGGGCACTCAAGCCCAGGGCTGTGAGAATAGCGGAGCGTTGGATTTGGGACAGATCACCGTCAAAGAAGATGGCCGAGAACCAGCGGCCGAGTTTCAGCGGTTGCGAGACGATCAGCGCGATCATGCTTTGGAGCCGGAGTTCGTGGAATTTAGGCATCTTGTTCGGCTCCTGCAGGCCGACGACTATGAGCGCGAGCTCGTCCGTCTGCTCTGCAAGCTCGGTGCCGAAGCCGGTCTTTCGTCGAATGAGCGAGGGGGCTGTCGTGATGGCCAGCTCGTGCCGTTCGACATTGTCTGTATCTCGCAGGTAGGTTATCAGGTCGCGGATGTATCTGCCAGAGCTGGTTAGATGTGCGAGTAGATCATAGGCAGTGGGACTTACACTGGCGCCGTTGGCTTAGTCCGCTGGACCAAAGTTGGATCGTCGTCGGAATCCGAAGGGTCTTCATCGGGTTTCTCGTAAGGAATCAAGTCGTCGTCTTCGTCCTCAGACTCCGCGGGCTCATCCTCGTCTATTTCTTCTATCGACATGATTTTGACACGCTGCTGGTTGGGTTTCTTTACGCCTGTGGTAGAAGGTGTGTTCTTAGATGTCTGGTTTTGTGACTTGGATGTCGATGCCGGGGGTGATCGAATCGACTCCAACGAGCCGACGGTATCTTGCGTCTTGATAAGACCAAGATACCATCGCGCCTCGTCACTGTCCATCTCTTCAAGGTCAAATCTCATTGCCTTCCCTGGCTCTTCCACAAGCTCAGAGATTGCCGTTCCTATGATCATGCCTAGGAATCGACATCTCGTAGAAGAAGCCGCTAACCGATTGGAGACACTACCGAGGAAAGTGCCCGAACGTCCTATGCTTTTCACTGTTGCTGGGTCAAGCCGTTGAAGATAGCCGGCTGCGAGGAGAATGACCTGGGTGTTTGCTGGGGCAAATCAGCACGTGTACTCTGCAGATGAACGATAACGACATACCCTCTTGGCTGGTGGTGGGTGCATGCTTTATGTAAAATTTATCAGCAGATTGCTCCAGGCCTTTTGTGAGTAATGTATATATCAAGTCTGTGGCAAGTAGTGTTAGTGAATCTTCCAAATACTGCAAGGGACCTCGCTTGCCTTGTTGCTCAGCAAATGTGGCCAACACAGCTCGCCGCAAGCCTGGCGTTCGAATGGAAGACCCCTGGCCTTTCGACAGCCAATCTACAAGCTGGGCTTGTAGGCTGGCATGTCCGCGTAATATGATCGAGCATAAAGCGGCGACACCGTTTATCACTCCTTCAGATGCATTCTCCCTCCCAAATGGGAAGTAGTTCTTTTCAACGTCGCGGAATATGGCTTCAACCACTGAAAGCTGCTCTGTTGGGCGGAGATGGCTGAACAGGATACCATACTGTTTGGAAAAGTCGTGTTCGACCAGAAGACCAGCGTAGATTTCCCGCACCAGTTTGTCTGGGAAGATTTTAGTGCAAGGATAGTCAAACAGAAGATAGGACGCTTACCAGTGTACCCAAGGCTCAACGCCCGTCCAGTCAGGGATGCAGCGGCCTTCCAATGCCCCTCTTTATCTGCATCTATTTTCGATATCATGTAGCAAACATTTGAGCCAATCCAGGCTGCATATTTGGATCCGTCTCCGACCCAGGAAACCAATTTTACACCGTCAATATCACCAACTAGCGTAAGTGCCTCGGCTGCAGTGGAAAGGACTCTGCTGGCAGCGATCAGAGACAACAGTTCTCTCCAAGCAATCTGCTTCTGAGTTTCGTTCCCATACAACGAGTCAATATCCGCATACAGGCGTGATGCAAAATCTTTTGGTTCCAAAAGCGCAGAGATCACCGACAACAAATCCCTGAGTTGAATCTGATGTCCCGAGGCTTTGGATGATCGAGCGGCACCTATCAACGAGCGGAGCTGGGTGACCAAGCAGCTGATCCCGGCGACACTGCTAAGACATCGCAACAGTGCCGCTCTTGTCTTCGTACTGCTCGACTTCGATCCCTTCGCAATGGGATTCAAGGGCTCCCAGTGATGGGGAACCGTGATGCTGACTAAGACATTGAGGATTTGAGCTGTTGTCGGGCTTGGGATTCTGACGTCGAATCCTGAGGGGCTTAATTGTTTACTGGATGGGTCCAGCGTCGCAAGGACGCGAGAGAGCTCGGCGTTGTCGGGGTTGGACCTGAGGACTGCTAAGATATATTGCGATGATGTCTGGTCTTCATTCAGATGTGATTCATGTTTCTCAAGGCGAGCTTTCTGAGGAGCCTCGGAGGTAGGGGTTAAGGAAGCCCTTTGATCATGGGTAACAGTCTTGATTTCAGTGAGTAGTCCGTCCATGTTGTGACAATATCATTCTTGAGCCTTGGTTGAGAAGAGAAAGAGGTGATGAATGGATGAAATTGTATGGAGCGGCCGGGTCACGTGGGGTTTTTTTGCGCTGGGCCTCTTATGGACGTTGAACACCGCTCCAGATGATCGTGATCAGCACGACTGTCAGTATTTGATTTGCTTGAGCTGCACATAGAACCGATGATGATAGTGCACTTATGTTGTCTCAATTGACGGTGGACTACTGAGATCTTCGTAGCAGCAAGCGAATAAAAGGCGACAGCGAGCTAAGCCCGATTTGGCAAGACAGGCCTATCATGACTAAGCAGCAGAGGAACATGGTCAACACCAACGTCACATCCTCGCGCTGCATCTCGGCATCTCACCATCCATACGTACTATAAGTGACTCAACATCTACAGGATAGATCATTTGCCAGTTGGGCTTACTATTCAAGGCAAATCCACACCACTGCGCGCGTCCCCGCTGTTACTACCCCTCATATACCTCCACTGCGGCCGCCCATCTTCCAACTAAAGTTGAACTCTCCATTTGCCCAAAATGGCTTCTACCGATCCATCCCTTCGCTGGTGAGGCTTGCAGTTCTGTGCTATCCATATTGTGAACCATATTAATATCACCTAGGAAGTACCTGTACAACGTCTTGAGCAAGCCCGGCCCCCAAAGCGACGAGGACTGGGTGCCAGGACCTGAGACGATAAGCGCTCTGGAGAGCTCGAAAGTTCTGTATGTTTCCAAACCCCTATTTTACAGCTTACATTGCTAATACAAGTCTAGAGTCATGTGAGTTTGTGATCACATCGAAGGGTTGAGCAGACGACTAACAAGTGAACCCCACCAGAGGAGCTGGCGGCCTGGGATGTGAGATTCTCAAGAACTTGGCCTTGTCCGGTTTCAAAGACATCCACGTCATCGATATGGGTAGGTCTCCGCCAAGTCTGAAGGAATACGCAGCTCTAACCAGACTAGACACCATTGACATTTCCAACCTGAACCGACAATTCCTGTTCCGCCAGTCGGACATCGGGAAACCGAAGGCGGAGGTTGCCGCATCCTTTGTAGAGCGCCGGGTCAAAGGTGTCAAGATCACTCCGTACGTCGGGAAGATCCAAGACAAAGACGAAGATTACTACATGCAATTTAAGATCGTCGTGTGCGGTCTTGATAGTATCGAGGCCCGACGATGGATCAACGCTACGCTGATCGGGATGGTTGACCCCGAAGATCCCGAAAGCTTGAAGCCACTGATCGACGGTGGTACTGAAGGTAATGATCCTCCCACGAAAAGAAGTAATAGGAGATATTAACCGTGCCGCAGGATTCAAGGGCCAGGCGCGTGTCATCTTGCCTACTCTATCATCGTGCATCGAATGCCAGCTGGACATGCATGCGCCTCGACCTGCCGTCCCTCTTTGCACCATCGCGACCATCCCACGCCAGCCCCAGCACTGCATCGAATGGGCGCACCAGATCGCCTGGCAGGAGAAGCGCAAAGACGAGCCCTTCGACAGCGACGACATGGAACATATCAGCTGGGTGTACAACGCTGCGCTCGAGCGCGCGAAACAGTTCAACATCCACGGCGTCACGTTCCAGATGTCCCAGGGCGTGGTGAAGAACATTATCCCCGCAATCGCGTCAACGAACGCGGTCATCGCCGCTGCCACGACCTCTGAAGCGTTGAAGATCGCCACCTCGTGTAACCCCTACCTCGAGAACTACATGATGTACGCGGGCGAGGAGGGCGTGTATACCTATACCTTCGAGGCAGAGAAGAAGTCGGACTGCCCTGTGTGCGGAAACCTGGCGCGGAAGATGACGGTTGACCCGGAGATGACGCTGGAAGCTTTTATTGAGACTCTGGGTGAGCGACCCGAAGCGCAGCTGAAAAAGCCCAGTATGAGAACGGAGGAGAGGACCCTGTATCAGCGCTTCCCTCCCCAGCTGGAGGAACAAACCCGAGCGAATCTGAAGCGCAAACTCGGAGAGCTGGTCGAGAATGGGCAGGAGGTCGCAGTGAGCGATCCGGCATATACCATTGATTTCCGGTACCGGCTGGAGTTCAGCTAGATCGGTGCACGATGCGCAGAGTATCTTACTTACCTGAAATGAGACATGAGTTCACTACGACAATAATACTATCTCTTATGACTAGATACGAAAAGAAACAAGATGAGGAAATCCAAATCTGCTTTTTCTATATATGAAAAATTTGCCCTATCCAGACTCCCGACTGTAAAGAAGGCCTTAACCAACTTCTTTTCATAAATGTACAGGAACACGCAAAAGAACAGCAAAAAATCCAACGCCGGTCAATGCATCATATAATTTTAAAGATCATTTGAAGCGGGCAGATTTACCGCGCGATATCCGCCAATCCGCGCTTCCACCGCGCGCATTTGAGCTTCAGCACCTTCACACTCTCCAGGAAGAGGTAGTCACTCTCGAACTGGCCGGTGCTCTCGATGTTGAAGATGAAGTGGTCGCGCACACGACCCAGCTTGACCTTGCCCTGGAACTCGTCATGTCGCAGACATTCCCTGCTCACGGTGTCCTTGAAGGCGTCGCGAACAACGGCCTTCATCTCACCCTCGTGTCCTTCGTACTCGCTGTTCTTCTGGACATCTTCTCGGGTGACGGGCTCCAGGCCGATGACGCCGCGCGGGAAACACTTGGCGAACTTCTTCGCATCGTCTCCGATGATGGGGCGCTGGATCTGGATATCCGGCAACAAGCGGTAGGTCGCAGTCGCGACAGGAGAGAACTTGGCATGATCAGCACCAATTCCCTTAATGCAGTGCAATTCCATATCCAGCTTCTGTCCGGGACGAAGCTTAGCGACCAGGATGTCCGGGTTGACAGGCTGGATGGCATCTTCGCCGCTGAAGTACTGTTCCTGGCGACCGACGGGGTGGAAGGTGATGTCCTTGGCGTAGATGTGCGCATTGTTGTACAGCTTGCGGGGATCGGTCTCGTTGGGGTCGGCATCGGGGTTCTTAGTGCATTCCGCATCCAGCCGAAGAACGATGGTGTTGTAATCACTCGGGGTGCTGCCGCCTTCCGGGTCGTCCTCGGTCGGCTTCTTGAACCAGCTCATCCAGCTGATGCCGTCGACGGAGCCCTTGAGCGGGATGAGACCCAGTCGTTGGGCGAGCACCTCATCCTGGATGACGGAGGTGTTGTTGTGGACGAAAACGAACTCAATAGCGATGCTGGGGACTTCAGCCATGAGAATGCGACGGAAGGCATTTGCGATCGAGGCATCGAGGCCGATCAGCGAGAAAGAAGCTTCGAATCTTTCGTTCTGGTGGAATTCGACCTTGAAGCCCTGGAGACGAGATCGACGTGAGAATCTGCAAGATACATAGAAACGAGAAGTATCAGGTAGTGATATACCTCTTTAAACTTGTCCAGCGCCCATTCGTGCGACTCGCCGGGCCAGTGACCGGGAAAATCTGTGGAGGGGATGTTGGAGACGGTCTCGGGGTTGATACTGACAAGCTGAGCATCGTGTTAGCATGAACAAGGAAAAAATTTGCATGACGGATGTTCGAGAAACATACCCTTCTGCGCTCCAGTTCCTCCTGCGAGGCCACAAGAGGCGCCATGGTGGGCTAGCAATTGGACGATGAAAGTTGCGAGGATGGCGGGCAAAGTGAGTCTTGGGGAGGGAAATGGAAAAAGTTCTGTAGAAAACCGGCAGTATTTCCTGCATGCCTGAGGCGGCCATGCCACCCGGTTATTCTGCACCCATCCCGTGCGCGGTGTAGACTGGTCGTGGCCGGCGGTCGGTGGACGGGCGTGGCTACAGGGCACTAGCGCGAGGGCAGAATAGACGGGGGTCCTCAGGCCAACCAGAGGCGGCGTGATGACCAGGCGATGGTATCACGTGACCGGCCAAAATGTCTCTCGCAACCTCCAACCAGCGTCAAGTCCGTCCGCATCGCCCCAATTCCGCGAAGTCCCTCCATCCATTGCGCTCGGACTGAGGACAGTCAACCCCTAATTCCTCCTCGTCCCCCTCTCCTCTCTTCCGAATGGCTGCTTCCTTTACTCGCCTGGCGGGCAGCGCGCCCAAAAGGCTCTGTCTCCGCCCCTCCACCATCACCTCCAACACGACCATCCCCAGATCCCGTTCGATAACGACGTCTCTCCCTCGTCGACAGGCCGAGTCCACCAGCTATCAGGCGACCCGACTGATTCCCACCGACCCGACCTTTACATCGCTGGCCAACAAGGGCATTGCGGGCGAGGCCGAGGTTCCCGCCGGTCTCGAGTCCGAGGATGAAGGGGTCGGCCGCAAGATCCGCCATTACACGGTCAACTTCGGTCCCCAGCATCCTGCTGCTCACGGTGTGCTTCGTCTGATTCTGGAATTGAACGGTGAAGAGATCGTTCGCTCGGATCCCCACGTCGGTCTGCTCCACCGTGGTACCGAGAAGTTGATCGAATACAAGACCTACATGCAGGCTCTGCCTTACTTCGACCGATTGGACTACGTCTCCATGATGACGAACGAGCAGTGCTTCGCGCTGGCTGTCGAGAAGCTGCTCAACATTGAGATCCCCGAGCGAGCCAAGTGGATCCGGACGATGTTCGGCGAGATCACCCGTATCCTGAACCACCTCATGTCCGTCCTCTCCCACGCAATGGATGTTGGTGCCCTGACGCCATTCCTGTGGGGTTTCGAGGAGCGTGAGAAGCTCATGGTATGGGGAACCCTATCTTTTCACGAAGACAAATGGATTGTGGAGTCTAACCTGTCGATTGTAATTTAATAGGAATTCTACGAGCGTGTCTCCGGTGCTCGTCTCCATGCCGCCTACGTCCGCCCTGGTGGTGTTTCCCAGGACCTTCCCATTGGTCTCCTTGACGATATCTACCAATGGGCCACTCAATTCGGTGACCGTATTGACGAAACCGAGGAGCTGCTCACTGACAACCGTATCTGGAAGGCCAGAACCCAGGGTGTCGGTGTTGTCCCCGCCGCTGATGCTCTGAACATGAGTTTCACCGGTGTCATGCTGCGTGGTTCCGGTGTCCCCTGGGATATCCGTAAGTCCCAGCCCTACGACGCGTATGACCAGGTCGAGTTCGACGTCCCCGTCGGTGTCAACGGTGACTGCTACGACCGTTACCTCTGCCGTATGGAGGAGTTCCGTCAGTCCCTGCGCATCATCCACCAGTGTCTGAACAAGATCCCCGCTGGTCCCGTCCGTGTGGAGGACTACAAGATCTCGCCTCCTCCCCGTGCCGCCATGAAGGAGAACATGGAAGCTCTGATCCACCACTTCCTGCTCTTCACCAAGGGTTACTCCGTGCCCCCCGGTGAGACCTACTCCGCCATCGAGGCCCCTAAGGGTGAGATGGCTGTGTTCCTGGTCAGTGATGGCAGCGAGCGCCCTTACCGCTGCAAGATCCGTGCTCCTGGATTTGCTCACTTGGGTGGTTTTGACCAAGTTTCCCGTGGTCACCTTCTGGCCGACGCTGTCGCTATCATCGGTAAGCCCCTCTTTGCTGTTACGGTTACTCCCAATCAAGTACCATAACTAATTCTCTCCCTTCTAGGTACAATGGATTTGGTGTTCGGTGAAGTTGACCGGTAAACAATTAAGAAACCAAAAAGAGGTGGACAACCTGATCTCCCAACTTCTGTAAAAATATGCCCAACACGACTCAGAACACTTCCATTTCAACCATCCATCCATCTTCTTCTATATTGATGATTGCAAGCCAGAGAACAAACCAAAATACATAATCTAGATCCGAAGAATCATTCATCCATAAATGAACAAAACAAAACATATCCCTTGGTTGGTATCCACCGTCCCTTGGCTATCAGCTCTAAGGTTATGTGTACCATGCGTGAGCGCGCGCGTGTATGTGTGTGATGTCAAGTCAAGCCAAGCAAAGTGGAGTGAAGTGAAGTGAAGTGAAGAGAAGCTGTGTCGAGTCGAGTAACAGGTCAAGGAAGAAAAAGAGATCACGGCGAATCCACCACCCAGAAGAACAAACCCCATCCATACAGCTCCATGTACCAAGTACCACTTTCAAGGCGTTGATTTATCTCTTTCCTTCCTTTTTCTTCTTATTTTCCCATTTTTGTGTTATCGTGTCGTCATTCCAACTTCCCTTTACTCAATTTTTCTTCTTTCTGTCTCCTGTTTTGGTTCCTTTCCTTTTTGTTCTGTTTCTCTTTTCTTTTTTTTGGCCATAACCCTGTGTGTATAGTGACACTTAAAGAAGTTTGAAGTTTGAAGTTTCCCTTGTAATTTTAGTGTGAGGTTATTAAGGTAGTGGGGTTAAGTTGAGTTAGGTTGCGCAGAGAAAATGCTTGTTCGACATTTTATACCTTGGGTATGGCTTGCAATTTATCTAGCGAAGACAAGATGGCATTATCTCCTTTCGCATAATTTGGGATACGTGGATGTGCTGATAGGGCGTAATGTCCAAGGTGTGTTGAGGATCTATATCTGGATCGTTATAACAAAAAGGAGCGAGAGAAAAGGGAGAAGGAATACATATCAATTCAGCTCTATGCACCTAGGATAAATAAATCATATAAATATGAAGAGAGGATTTATAATGATCCAAATTAAATAATTGCCTCCTATCGACGCCAGAAACTCCCAAATGAAGATATCAAGATGAGGTGCGCCAATGCCAATGCACAAAACACCAAGAGGAAAGAAACAAAAACCAAGAAACGGCCACACCTATACTAAAAGATCGGGTATCAAACCACTTTCCCGTTCCTCTTCCCCTCTTCAATGGCTTGTTCAATTAACCCATTAATACACAACCCAACCAAGCGCTCAAGAACCCTTATAAACAGGACGTGGCTGTATGGGATGTATGTACGATGCTATGCTGCAATCCACCACTGAGAAACTGTACAGCTCCTTTCTTTCGCTCTTCGCTCCCGGAACCTTCCCATCCACCTGCAGAAACAGGGAGAGAACTAGACGTTGTCATCATCATACATGAAGTTGATGTCGCGCGGTCTCCGTCGGTTATATGACACGAAGTCGCTATCGCCGGGAGGTCGTTCGTTGCGCGAGTTAGCGGTCAGCATGCTCTGAATACTCATGCAGACGCTCTCGACCGTCTGGACGGGCGACCAGCCTGCCGAGCTGAGGAGATCGAGACAGATGATGCCGTTGCTATAGATGTGCGGGTGGATGGGGATCGGACGCGGGGCGTCAGAGGTTTTAGGCGACTCGATGAATTGAACTTCTGGGGGTTCTGTGAATGAGGAGTGGCCGTTAGATTTGGGTGCTGCAATTTCCTTGAACGTCGGATTCCATCGGGAGAACGAGAGAAACATACCAATCGGGTACTTGGAGCTGAACGTGAACTTTAATCGATATGTTTCGTTCTGGTAGAGAGGATTGTTGTCCAAGACTTTGATGTCCATTTGCCATTCCTCTAGGTTTTCCGATTTCACAATTGAGATCCCGGGTGGCATGTGTTCTTTCATCTGGAGGTGTATGCGATCAGCAACGGTGCCCGATGTACGTATGGATGCAAATGACCGGCTGACGGTGTGAAGGAAAGGGACGATTGAAACTGGATTGAGCTGGAACATAACGGAGTGACCGAGGGTGGAACAACGAGGGTTGCAAGGATATAGGTACCTTGATAAGCTCCTAGAGAGTAGTATACATGTCAGCTTGATCAACTCGGTTCCATGAGGGGCAGAGAGTAACGGACCTTGCTCAGACGCTTTGTTGCGAACATGATGGATAAAATCCTGACCAACCGGCACAATATCTCGTAGCCTGTTGCAGTCGTAAAAGCCCAGAGGGAGGAAAGGGTGCAGCCCGCTCTGGAGTCGGATCTTGAGACTGCGCCGAATGTATGACGTCTTGACACTGAGGCGGGGTGGATCACGGACGGAGTACAATCTAGGTATATGTATAGAGAAGAACCAAGTAAAAATAGGCGGAGAATCAAGAAGGAAAGGAAGAATATGATAAGAATGTCGGCAGCATCTAGGCGAGCGAGGAAGAATAGGTACTCCGTAGGAGGGCAGACCTAGGCGGCGTGAGAATAAATAGCAGTGGAAGACGGGGAAAGTCCCTGGGCCGATCAGCTGCTGCGCCGCCAGTCACCCGTGGTCCTGCACGTGACGGCGACCAACGGCTGACCCTTGTGACTTGCGCATCTACTCAGTAGTTTGTACACTTGACTGCCATATCATCCTGATCAGTTTCAACCATAAGACCAAAGAAAAAAAACTTGTACATATTCGTGGAATTATAGACGGGGAATCACGGAAATGATAAGTATTCACAAAGCAATCCTGATGAATGAGTTGCATCCTAAACAAAATCGTTAGAGGTAGACCCATCAAATTTACACTGACAACGCCCCCAGATAACATAAAACTGAATTTAAGCATGCGTCCCTCGTTCTCGTGCTTCCCGTTCGATCTTCTCCCGCTCCTCGGTCTCCTTGGCCTCGCGCACCTTGGCAAGGACCACCTCGCGGAAAATGGCTCCACGCGCGATCTTGCCTAGGCTGCGCTTCTTAGTGTGACCGGTCTCGCCTTCAGGGCTCGACTGTCCATTGCCAGCCAACTCCGCAGGTGCGCCAGATTTGTCCCCAGTTTCGGCAGAACCGGCCACATCGGTGACACTGGGGATGTCTTCCTCGTCCTCTTCCTGCATCTTGAGCGCTTCGATGCGGTTGGCCAGTTTGATGATCTCGATACCGCGCTTGAGACGGGAGCGCGCAATGTAGGCGCGGATCTCGGGCAACAGATCGCGGTCGCTGGCAGACTCGCCGGTCAGCCAGGCGTGCTTCAGGGCCTCTTCCGAGGTGACTCGCTTGGAGGGATCCGGTTGCAACATAGTGAGGATGAAGTCCTTGGCATCTTTGGACACGTCGCGCCAGTAGCGCTCGTGGAAAATGATGCGCCCCGTGCTGCATTCCTCGATCAAATCCGACAGGCTCTCCGATCGGAAAGGAGAGTAACCGCAAAGAAGGGTGTACGTGATGACACCTAGGGACCACATGTCGACGGCCTTTCCGTGGCCCTGCTTCAGCATAACCTCGGGCGCGGCGTAGCCGAACGATCCAGCCATGCTGGTGAGCACTTCCGAGGGATTGTCCAACATTTTGGCAATGCCAAAGTCGGCCAAGACGAGCTGAGAGGCGGGGTCGCGAGTAAGATAGAGCAAGTTTTCCGGCTTCAGGTCTATTTCCGTGAAAGCGGAGATCAGCGTGTGGGAAACTGCAGCGGCGGCGAATTTGACAAACCTCGGTGGACAATATTCCGTTCGTGCAGGTAGTTGACGGCATCCAGCACCTGTCGGATCGTCTGGGACGCATCCTTCTCCGTGAACTTGCCGTACTCGCAAATGCGATCAAACAGCTCACCACCCGTGGCCAGCTGCGTGACAATGTAAAATTTATCCTAGCACGCTGTCAGACCAAGTCGTACGCGACAAGTGACCGAACGGAGCCTACCTTCGATTCGAACCAGTCGACAAAGTGGACGATGTGGGGGTGGTTGAGCGCCTGCAGCATCTCCAGCTCGTCGTAGACCATGCGCTCGTTTCCACGGACATTTTTCTTCAGTATGATCTTGATCGCGACCTTTCCAGAGCTGGAGTCTGCCTCGCGAACAATACCGTACGTGCCAGCACCGAGGGTTCTTCCAAATTTGTATAGCGATCTAGAGCCGGGAAAGAGTCAGGGCTTTGACGACGCAGCGAGGATGGGAGAGAGGTTGTCAGGGAAAGGGGATCTGATGGATCGTACTTTTTTTCGTAGCTCTCCGGCTGTCCAGACAGCTTGTTGAGCATGTTAGAGACTAGATAGTGGACCACAGTCAGCGACTTCATGACGGCCGGTACGGCAAAAGCCCAACGGAAAACCCAAGGGCGAAGACAAGACTGAAAACCGATCGCAAGGTAAAGGCAGACCATGAAACCATAGGGAAACGAGTAAAGCCCAAAAACCCAGGCTCCTAGTCCATAGGACCACGACCGAGGTTGGCAACAACATGAGCGTGGTCGAATTGGCACCGCAGCGGCGCAGACAAGGCACCAGGATTTCAGGGGGACAAAAACGAAGCCGTCATGCAGCAAGCGACATCACAAGATGCAATTGGAGGGGAACAAGTCAAAGAGAAAAAGAAAAGAGGACTCACAACTCATGATGACCGAACGAGACCGTTATTGACAGGCCTCGGAGTACAAATCAAATTGCAGCGAATGTGTGCGGTGAGCTAAGGCCAGCGGTGATAGGAGACCCCGCACGTGAGGGGGGGAATGGCGGGGCGAATGTGAAGGCGAATCGAGGAATGCGAACTGGAAAAGACAGATCGTGTTCCTTAGTTGAATGTTATAAGAAGTAGAAACAAAAACAGGCAGAAAAAAAAAACTAGGCAGAGGTGGACCAGGGCAGCCGGAATATCAGGAGGGAAAAGACGGGCTGTCAGAGACAAGGCCAGCCAGACGGGCTAACTCACTTGTACTAGACCCGTTGTCTGCCTGATAATAAAAAATAGATAGGGGGTAAACAAGCGGGGCCCGTTCTGTTCCTGGAGGATCGGAGAGGACAGACAGTACTCCGTGCAGTGTACAGTGTACGGATTGTGTACACAGGTCACAGATGACACGCGGGTGCTCGAGGACACGACAACCTCGAGGCTCAAACACGACAGCGATCAAAGCACAGTGGTCAATAATCTTTGAAGGAACGAAGAGAAAAGGAGAGAATAAGAAGAGGAGAAGAGAGGAAGAGGAAGAAGTCTGGCCCCTCCGATCGACGGGCTGACTAACAGCCTTCCTTTCTGGCCCGTTTCACGCGCTCAGCCACCGCCCTTCAGCCTTATTTCTCTCCTATATATACTGAGTACACTCCGTAGATATACTGTAGTATACTCAGTATACTCAGTACACTCAGTATCTTCCGAGATCTCTTGATTGTATAGTCTCTGATTTGAAAGCGTTGATGTCTAACCACCAACAAAAACTCTTATCCAACCAACTCCATCAGACTGACAACTCCCACAACGACGGCAGTCACAGCCCAGCTGCGCATGCCGCCCATGGTTCCAGCCCCATTCTCATCCCCGGTCGCACTGGTGGTGCTATTATCATTTCCGCTCGTCTTAAAGCCCACCAGGTTGGCCGAGAACAGACTAGTGGCACTGATCTGCTTGCCGACGTTGCACCTGCCCACGTCGTCATAATCCTCGTACCACTGAAGCCCGCAGAAGCTATTATCCTTGTCCTCGGTGCTATGCTTCGCCGCAGCGGTGGCCGAGTCCTGCAGTTTAGGCAGGATCTCCTCCGCCGTGTACGGAGCCACCTGGGCGATGGACGCCAGGTTGGACGAGAGGATCGCCTTGTAGGTTTGCATGCTCGGTTCGCAGGTGCCGCTGACCTCGCAGGCCACTTCGGACATGGCGCCGTTGCGCTTCTTGGGGAAGAAGGTCTGAAAGGTGGTGTTGAGCAGGCCGTCGGTGCCCTCTTTCCACTTCTTCTGGCCGTCCGTCTGATCGCGAACATCTGGTTAGCATGCACTCTTTCTCTTTCCTTCTATTCTCAACCCAGTCAACACCAGACATACCACGTTATACATATACGCCGTACCTCCCAGGTACATCGCGTAGTTTGCCGTCCATTGCGTGTTGTCTGACGAGCCCTTGCAATGAAGCTCGTTCGCGACGTCGTCGGCAATCTTCCACTCTTTCTCATCCACCAGCGTCCCTTTACTCCAGTACCAGACCCTCTCCGCCCAGTCGGAATGCGTCTTGTTCCGCGTGTAATGAGCCAAGCGAGCCGACAATTGAAACAAAGCGCCGTTAGCAGAGGCCGTCTTCTTCGTGTACCCCGCCCGATAAGGCCAGATCTGCCAGCGCAGACCACCCTTGCACGAACTCTTATCCCACCGGTACACCAGCTTATCGAACACGTTCTGCGCCAAATCGGCCCACGCCGGCTGCTTGGATTCCGCGGGGAAATCCAGCTCAGCGGCCGTGATGGCCGCGAGACCCCAGTACGCCTGGTCGACGTTGCTGATGTGCGCGCGTGAGTCGCTCGACATGTAGTCCGAGTCATCGCCGGCTTGGTAGTACATGCCCTGGCTGACAGCGGCATTGTTGGACCCGTCGCCGGTGAAATGCCAGTAGCGGATCATTGTGTCGAAGAGGATGGCACCTTGCCACAAGTTATCGGGCAGTTTGCCGGGGATTCTGCCCGTCTGGTTGCCCATATAGTAGGTCATTGCGTTGTAGGAGGCGTTGGCGGCGGCATCCTTGAGGGATTCTGCGGGAAGTCATGAGCTTGGAAATCTGACCGATGGTGTGGCCGATTGCACATACGAGCATTGTGAACGTCCAAATCAATGGCAGACACGACGGTGCCTGTCAGGACGACGGGGAGCGCCGACTTGAGCCAACGGACTTTCATGGTTCAAAGATAACGAATGTAAGTGGCGAGTGGAGACCGAAACGACTGGAAGGGACTAAATCAAGGGAATGACGGAAGTCGGCAAGTTGAAAATTACAAACAATCCCCCCTGATCCAGCCCAGTGGGATGAACCAAATGTTTATAACCATAAGGCTCATGAATGTCTCTGGCAGGAGATGAAACCGCCTAGTCTCGTGGGGGGCTGGAAGGAGAGGCAGCAAGGCAATCAGAGGGTAGCCTGGGGTATCTGGCCCCCAATAAGGGTGTTGGTTGTTTGGGACTAATCTCGGGGGCTAATATCAGTGTTGGACCCTGATCGAGTTCCCTAGATATTCAACAGGCAGTCTCGAAAGGGGCGTTTCCAGACTAGTCTTGCACATGGACATGGCGGATTTCAGTACGATTGGGATCTGCACAGATCTCCTCGAGAGATCTCTCCACTTAAACAAACACAGATCGAAAGAACTAACAAACAGAAACCCATGACACGGACACAAACTCAAGCCCAAGAATCGACGTAGCCTAACATGATCAGCCATGACAACTCATCTAGCAGACCGCACCTACTCCGATCATTCCTCAGGTAGGTAACCCTTCAACTCAAACAACCCTAAATGACCCCATCCGATAGCGACGACCCGCTCATGTCTTCAGAGTCAAGCTTCCAGATACAACTCATCCAACACATCTCCACAGTACCGCCTATAGTACTCCGAACCTTTCCAGCGACTCGTCCCCGACCTCAACCCCACAGTCTTCCACCCATCAGCCCTCAACCTTATGATCCTCTGTTCCTTGGTCTCCATGCTCGACCGTCTGTCCACCCCCTCAGACACAGACTTCCCTTTCTTTTCTGCTGCTCGCCCAGGACTCTTAACAGGGCTGAACGTCCAGAAGGAGCTCGATCGACGGAAGTTCTTAGCCGCGCGACGCGACTCCTGCAGATCCGTGACTTCGTCGACCAGGGTCCGCAGCGAGGCGATGCTGTTTGTTATTTGCACGCGAAGGAATCGAAGATGGCTGTTATACCTCCGGATAGCAGCTCCGCGGGTTGGAGTTACCGGGATGAGTGAAACGATGAGAGGTGCAGGTTGAGTATCTCGAGGGATTGGCGCATGCAGTATTTTAACGGGGTTGTCAGTGTGTGAGGTTTCGGCGGGTTTGATTCTGATAGGAAGGGGTGGAGGTCTGCGAGCTCGTCCAGATTGATGGGTTATCGATTTAGTAGAGGCTTGTTTGGTGTCGCTGTGGATCTGGCTCGGGTTCAGACTCGAGGACAGGTTCAGTGAGTTCAACTCCTCCTGTGACTTGCGAACTTTCAAGGGAGGCGGCATTAAAAGGGTCTTGCCAAACTGGTACGGTGAGACCGATTCATGCTTGCTGTCCAGCTCATGGTCCGAAACGAAGGGGTCGTCTGCCAAAGAGTCAATGTTCTTGTCGATGATGTCTCGAATGACGGTGACGAAGCTGCTGATGGAGGAAGAATGAGCGGGCTCGTTGATTGCGGAGGTGGATTTTACATGGGATGGAGGTGTCTTGTTTTCAGGGCCGTCTGCGTCGTCTTCTTCGGTAGGAATGAGGGCAGGAAAGACGGCACTGCAGGTGATGAAACAGTCCAGAGCTGTCTGTAGGAGTGTCACCTTGGTCGTGGAGTATTGGTGAGCCGCTCGGCCCATGCCTTCGTAGGAGATGGCGCTGTAGAAGTGTAGGTATGTCTTGTGAACAGGGTGGATCTGCGGATGAGGTGGTCAGCTTCACCTCAGGAGAGAAAAAGCAGATAACTCGCCTTTTGATTTGCATTGCGTAGAATCTCGGCGGCGCGAGCGGCACACTGCTTGTATTGACGGCGAATGTACAGCAGCTTGACGCCTGCGAGAGCTTGTTTCCACTGTTCTGATGATTTGGGAGTGGAGGGGGACTCGAAGAGTGAGGTTCTTTCGGATATGGAGGCCATGATGTGAGGATAGGGTAGGATCCTCTAGCCTTTGAGGGATTAGAAGAGGGATTACATCGTTGGTGTAGATGGATGAAGAAGGTGAGGTTTGAGAATCTCCAGAATAAAAGGATGTGTCCTGGCAGACATTCCCAACAAGTGAATGATTTGTAGGTAGCGCATCTACTACACAAAGTTCCTACAGATACTAGGCACTAGGAAGACATTCACAGGACAACTACAAACCAATGCTTGATTTATATACTTCGGGTTGACATTCACCGAACCGAACCGAACACGTGCATGAGCATGAGCATACTTCAGGCTTTCTTCACATCTACCCCTCTTCATAATCCTCAACTTCCTTCCTACAACCCACCAACCATGTCCAGAACTCTCGACACCCCCATCCACCAGGCCTTCTACCAATTCACCAACAAAACCTGGGAACCCGTCATTCCCGATGGAACCACCACCATCACCAACGCTACAAACCAACCCTCCCCCCTAGAAACCCTCCGTCTAACGACATGGAACATTGACTTCCGCGCGCCGTGCCCCGATAAACGCATGACCAAAGCCCTCCAATACCTTTCCACCCTGCACATCCCCACAAAGGAAACCCCATCGATAATCTTCCTCCATGAAATCACCCCCTCCGACCTGCACATCATCCAAAAGACAACCTGGATCCGCAACCAATTCTACATCACTGATCTTTCGCACGAGAATTGGCGATCTCAGTACGGCACCACCGCGTTAATCGATAGACGGTTTGACGTAAGAAGTGTGTTTCGGGTACTATACTCGATGTCGAGGATGGGGCGGGATGCGCTGTTTATTGATGTTCGCATTCATGGCAATATCAAGAGTCACGACCAGAGGGGAGAGGATGGAACAGGGAAGACTGAATCCTCCATCCTCCGGCTCTGCAATACCCATCTGGAAAGTCTAACATCTAATCCACCAATTCGGCCAGTTCAGCTACGTCTAGCGGCTCAGTTCATGCGTGGAAGTGGACCTGCGCGTACGGACCCTGTGAGTGGGAGGAAAGATTCAGAACTGCCCGTTCCCCACGCGGCGATTCTAGCAGGTGATTTGAACGCCTTTGCGCCGGAGGACGAGACAGCGCCGGAAGAATGCGGATTACTGGATGCGTTTCTCGAGCTCGGGGGAAAGGAGGGATCCGAGGAGGGGTTTACATGGGGCCAGCAGATGGCGGACTATAAGAGGAGTAAATTTGGGTGCAGTCGCATGGATAAGGTGCTATTTTGCGGAGGCTTGGAAGTGCAAAGTTTGGAGAAAATCGGCGCTGGGGAAAAGGTGTGGATCGAGTATCCTCAGGAGTCGGATTCTGAGGAGTCGAGTGAGACGGGGGAGGATTTGTGGGTGACGGATCATATTGGTTTGCAGGCTGTTTTTCGGATTGTGAGATAAGACATGGGGCTTTCGTGAAGTTTCTTTATTTTCTTGGTGCTTCTAAGCTGCTTTTAGGTTGGAATGCTATGGTGGCGATAAGATACATTAAAAAAAAAAGTCACAGACGCAGGTCTTTCAATCGTGAGTCGTCATGAGATAGGAAAAAACATAAGGCAAAATCGCTGAATATGAAGAAGCAAGGGAAATGATAAAACTCAAAAACTAAAACAAAAAAATAAAATAAAACCGAAAACAAAAGCATCACTCTTGTCCCATCGAGGCCGAGTCCCTATCATGTGTGGACTCAGCCTCGATGGTTGTCTTCGCAAGCGCCTCGCCGGTCGCAGAGAGGGCCTGTAAAAAGTCACCCAGGAGCCGATCCAGCTCCGCCGTCACCTCCCCTTCGCCGGCCCCCTCAATGAGGACCTCGGAACGAGGGGGCAGCAAGGTCGGGAACTGAATCGATTCAATTCCCGGCCTGGCGGTCAGCGGAGGCTCACGCCGAGCCGTGGGCAAAGGCTCGGGGTGAGCCGCTGGGAACGGCTCCTGGGGACTCTCTTCTTCGTCTGGCCCAGGTCCATCAAGGACCGACGAACGGTCGTCTTCCGCATAATCGCTTGATTCGATTATCTCCGGGAACTCGTTGTTGTCGAAGCTGGCCTCTGGGGATCCCGCGGGACGATCGAAGCGGAACGGATCGTAATCCGTGTCCGAGCTTATGGAGATGCTCGACTTGGCAGATGCCGATGTAGAGGGCCGAGAGTCGCCTGGCTCGCCGATGCTAGAAGGACGGATGGTGGCCGACGGCTCAAGTTCGAGCACAGGAGCGCGGAGAGTGTCGTAGCGAGCCGGATCCACCGCGCTGTCGCTGTTTTCCTGCCCATCCGCGGCCGCCGTCATGACGGGGAACGTCCATTCCATAGTTGCCCGCCTTGTCGCTAGGTCAGGCTCGGTGGGAGCCGGCTCAGGGGGGGAAGGCGCCTCTTTCTCTGCCTCGGCTTCGGTCTCTTCTTCCTGAGGTGGTTGCATGAAGACAGGGAACTTCCAGTCCATCGTAGGGGGACGCGGTCCAGTCTGGGGCTGAAAGGGGACATCTTCGGGGTCACGGTTACTGCTGAATCCACTGCTTGAAGAGCGAGAGCGACTCTCATTTGAATTGCGGTGCGCACGGCCACTGGACCTGTTGGCTCGGATGGTATCAGCATCAGCGAGCTGGAACGGCTGGGCAGAAGAGGCCCCGGCAGCATAATGCGATGAGTCGAATGAGCCAATATCAATATCAATAAATGTAGAAGTAACAGAAGACCGATCGGTTTCGGTGCGAAGCGGCAGATCAGACACCGGCTTGTCCTCAAAGGGCACAAAGTCATTTTTGGTTTCGTATGTGTAGCTGGGCATTTCTTCGTTGAAAAGTCCTTCCATAGCCTCTGCACCTCGACGGACACGTTCGTCGAAGTTGACTTGATCTTCTTTAGTCATTGCGGTAGCAGTGAGCTCATCAAAGGCGTCCTGGTTGGGCTGGGTCTTGGTGGGACTGATTTCTTCTTCCATTTCAGCCAGAGAGGCAGCTATCTGGTCCAGATCAATGATAGAGAATCTCTTTTCGAAACCATCCGTGGTGCTGAAATTCCAGTCTTCCTCCACGTCTGAAGGTGCACCAGGCATCTCTGCAGCTGCGGCACCGCCTGGATGGAAGAGAGAGATCCTCTGGCCGCCTCGCTGCGACCATTGATAATAGATTCGGACCAGTTCACTGAGAGAGGATGTAGGGTATTCTTCTTCCGAGTTGGCAATATAAGGATGCTGTTGCACATCTACCATTGTAGGTCGGCGGAAAGGATCGGATTCAAGGGAGAACGCAACAAGGCTTTTAAGACCATCGCTGTACTTCTCATTTTCAAGCTTCGGGGTCTTCCGGTTCAGCTGCCTGCCGATTTGCATCCTTTCGCGCAGATTGGCGTTTGGTGGGTTTCCAGTCGCCAGTTCAAATAAGGTACATCCGTAAGCCCAAACATCGATCTGGACAGATCAGCAATGAACTTTATGGGCTGAATGCACGATCTTACCTCGCTGCCATATTGATGAGCCTGACCACGAGTAGAGAACATCTCCGGTGGCATCCAGTGGGGTGTTCCTATCCAGGTTGATCGCTTATCTAACTGAGACTGTAGAACACCAGCGACACCAAAATCGCAGATTTGTAGACGACCTTCTTCATGAATCAAGACGTTGGCAGCTAGAGCCGATGGTTAGTTCCATCAATTGATATCGAAAACTCATAGACTTGCCTTTAATATCTCGATGAATAATACCCGCATCGTGGATTGCACGTAAACCAGCAGCAAGCTCGCGTGCCACTGGAATTGCGAATTTTTCGTCAAGTCGATCATTTGTCGCTCGCATCTAGCGGCAGTTTAGCAAGAAACACAGAAGAAAGTATGGTTGGAAGAAGAAAAGACGGAAGAACAACATAGAGAAGCCAAGGGGGGCTTACCAAAGTTCGAACACTGCCACCAGGACAGTACTCGCAGACTAACCACAGTTGCGAGTGAATTGAGATAGCTTCGATCAGTTCGTTGATGTTCTTTGCGCCCGCATCCTTGACCTGTTTCATGACTTTGGTCTCATGAATAAAATCCTTGATCGACTCATCCTTCATATCGCGGACAGACTTATAGTCTAGAGAATCAATGTCCATGACTTTGATTGCAACGACTTTTTCTGATGGAAGCGAGTGGCCCTTGTATACGCGACCGTAAGTGCCTTTGCCAATCAGTTCTTCGAATTCGTAGGGTGGAGCTTCGGTTTTGGCTCGCCGGCACATTTCCTGGACCGCAGTAGCCTGCTCTCTCGCGAGCTTGATGGCCTCTGCTTTGTGTTTCGTGATGGCGCTGATAGCGGACGTGGGGTCCAGGAGCCGGGAGGTGCGTGGAGGTTCCATGGTGAGGTTTGGGTTGCGGTAACGAGCCGCTGGGATGCGGCGGGCGCGAAAAGGTTTGGTTAGCTTGAGCGGAGGTAGCAGTGCTTCCTCAGTAGAGTCGTCGGATGAATCGTGAGAGAATGTGTGGTAGCGAAATGCTTGGTAGTCGGGGGTTGAAATGGGCGGACAAGGTTTGACGATGGGGGAATTGGCGGGGGTGGGAGCCTGCGGAATGGAGGATGCCCGAATCCAAAGGGGACATTCACTTGCTCCACGTCGGGGGATCAACCGTCGCTCGAAACCAACAGTTCTGGTGGCAGAAATAGGATCGCTCGCTGAGCGTAGCTTCTGTTTCCTCAGACGTGTCTGGGAAGATGGTTTGGAAAATGGTGAAAAACGAGACAGAAAGTTCTCACTACGCGGTGAAATTAATTGTTGGTCAGCGTTCGCCGGTGCCTTTTCTATGGATTTCCTCTGTCCGTGCAAAAATTTTCTGATCGTAGAAGTGAAACTAGATGTGGAATTGGTCGAATCCCTTGAGCGTTTCGTAGGTTTCTTATGTGAACCAGCACCGGGTGGATAGGAGCGAGCACGTGAGTGTACGATGTCCCGCAGACTTGGTGTAGACCAAGTGGCAGAATTATCTGATCTGCAATGAGGTACTTCGGAATTGGAAGAGGCTGCTGTGAGCGTAAATGGCCAGCTGATGTTTGGCTTGGGCCTACTTTCTGCTGACTCGGACCGAAACCGGAAAGATTTGAATGTACAGCGAGGCTTTCTGTGCTGATAGCCGTCTTCAGAGCTCTGTGAGGAAGTGCTTTGATTGGTTTGCGACCTATTTGATATTATTAGCACTGTTTCGATAGAATTGCTCATGTTAAAGGCCCAATCCGTATACGGACCCACGATGCCCAGGAGAAGTGAGCTTGTCCATCGAATGGATAATTGAAGACATAAAGATAGATACAAGGAAAGAATAGATGCGAAACAGGATGGAGAGCCGATGAAGAGAAAAGTGATGGCATGTTGAGGGGAAAGAGGGTAGGGCACGGTGCTCTTCTCAACTTACCCTTGAAAACACGCAGTCTACAGGAGGGTTCAGATAGCCGAGGTTCGGCGATCACAGAGTGAGCCGTGAATTGAGTAACAGTAAACAGAGACACAACACAGTGATGGTATTGTCAGCACCAGGCTAGTGATGAGATTCACGTTGAGATGTAGGAACTTGGTGTAGTGACGGTAGGTAGTCGATATAAGCGCCTTACAGGCAGCGAACCAGACAACAGATGTCAGAAACAATCTAGGAATTTGTTAGCCTTTGATTCGGCATTCGGCCAAGTACCATCACAGTATAAGGAAAATAATTTGACCCCGAAAAGTGTAGGTGATGAATGTCTACAGCATCGCTTTAAGTCACGTGGGATGTAAATCCAATAGCAGGTGCACAGATGAACCAAGCTATTTCACAGACTTTACAGCCGTTCATATGAGACAAAACAAGAGATGGCCATGTATAATATAAATGGTTGAAACCTCTACTTACCAGGCAAAGCTTTTGCTGATCCCAGTAAATCAAGTATTCAGTGGGCCCTAGCAAGTACTAATCCTGCGGCGTTGAGCCGACCAATGCGAAGATAGGGTGAGGGGAGATTATAGAGACAAAAAGTGAATGGATACCATCATGAGAGTCTTAGTTAATGTGAGTTGACATGATGAATTTGTCGGCTGGGAACTCTACCGGAAAGTAATGGCTGATGGCTTCACGATACTTCACCCGCAGACCACGGGAATCACAACAAGCACACACCGGGTCAAATTAACGTCCCATTAAAGTTCCAGATCGCTAATCACGTTACTGCCGATCGCAGGCGGATTTATTGTTTTCACGTATTCCGCTTCCATGACCGCTAAACTACATTCGGGAAGGCGGCTATTCGCTCCTTTATTTTCCATGCATCCACCCCTGAAGCCACCAGCATATTTTGGTTGAAAGACTGCTCCGCGCAAAAGGCCTCTGAGTTGTCCTTTCATGCCTCATGTTTCCTTGTCTAATATCCTAGCTCCTTCCTAACACGATTGACAACCTCCTCGCCCTTGAACCGCCTCTCAAGATTGGATCGTAAGATCTTGCAGGCCCGCTCATTGTAGTGGTTCGAATTGCCACTACAATGAGGAGTAATGATAACATTCCTGTATCCCCAAAGTTTATGACCAGCCGGTAATGGCTCAGGATCCGTCACATCAAGCGCAGCTCCTCTGATTAGCCCCTCATCAAGAGCGGCGACAAGATCATCAGTATTAACAATCGCGCCTCTGCCTGCATTACTAACAAACGCTTTCTTCTTGCTCAGCAAAGCGAACTGCTCTTTCGAAATCATTCCCCTGGTCTTCGTCGTCAATGGCAGCAGGATGATCAGCAAGTCGAGGTCGGAAGAGAGGAAACTGTTCAGCTGTTCCGGGCCGTGAAACCACTTCGAGGGAAACTCTCCCTCGGGATCTCCAAGGCCAGGCTCGGTGAAGGAGTTGTCCTTTCGAGACTCGGGAGTTGCTCGCTCGTGCAGGGTGTAGGCGTATACGTCCATGCCGAATGCCTTCGCGACTCGGGCGCATTGTCGGCCAATGCAGCCGTAGCCGAGGATTCCACTACAGACGGTCGGTCAGGTTAAAAGTCTAAGCGTCTAGCTTGAATACAGAAAAGGGGAGGGGCCATAGAACAAAGACATGAATACTCACACTCTCAATCCGACCGCATCTTCAGTATCCTCATCCGATAAAGGATCGACCCATTTACCTAGTTTCTGATTCTCCAAGTGCTCCGGAACTTCGAGAACAAGTTCAGCATTGCATTATCCCAGTGGGTTCAATTAGATAAAACTCGGCGCTTCTTACGATGATGCTGAAAGGCCAAAAACGTCGAAAACACCCACTCGGCAATCTGTGGCCTATATACCCATTACTAACACTATTCGACAAAAAAACACCATGAATCAACAACAACAGATGATTCACTCACGGATGTACCCCATTCGAAGTACAAAACGCAAGATCCGTTTCCTCGAACAACGGAACTCCAAAGAGATGATTACATCCCGCAGTCAGCAGCTGGACGTACTGCAGCTTCGGGGCGAGTTCTTTTGTCGGAAAGGCCTTCCATGTGAAAAGGACCGTCACCTTGCTCCAAATTTCAGTTGGTATCTCGTCCGGGACCTCAGTGGCCCCAGGGTCGGTCTTGTAGCTGTGTACTTGGATCCCTGGGCTGATGTGCTCTAGACTGGATACCCAGGAGGGGTCGGGTGTCCAGGGCATTAAGATGAGGAGGATGTCTTGTGTGGTCATGTTGAATTGATTTTACTGAGTGTCAGACCAAACGGTGGGAAACAGTCGATTGAATGACAGGGTCTCTGGGTATGTGTGCTTTAATAAGTCATGAGAGGGCCTGAACTCGGCCCAACAACTCCGGTCGCTCTTGGCGTCATGTTGACACTTGACAGTATTGGACATAGGGCCGAGTCACAATCGTGAAGGTCCGTTCAAATTATGCATTACTAAGTTAGCTGATCTAGTTATTTGCTACCTGGATTTACTCAAGCTACCATTTTCATAATTGCACCAGTACTTCCCTATCTTTGGTTTACCTAGCTCTTTTCTGAATTTATTGACGATAGTCAATAAGCTAGTTATAGATAAAGACCCCGAAAGCTCTCACCAAAATAAAAGTCATAACGCTCGTAGACAAAAAACAGTATAAGTATGTCTATGTCATAAATGCAATATTATAGATCTATATAACCCGCGACGATTAGATACCAAACTGCGCGCGCAAGGTCTTTCCGAACCGTGCAATCGCCTCGCCGACGTTATCCGCGCTGGCGGCCGCAAAAGTAGCACGGAAGAACATGTCGCCCTCGCTTTTGCCGTCGGCCTTGAACCAGCTACCACGCGACACGAGAACCCCGTTGTCGATGGCTGCGTGGAAGATGTCTTCTTCGATGGCCTGGCGGGTCTTTCCAGAAGACAGGCCGGGGTGCTTCTCCCAGTCGATTTTCATCCAATGCTGCTTCTGTCAGATTGTTTCTCCAGTGGTGTTAGATGGTTCAACTTACAAACATGCCGGCTGCTGGGGCGTTCCAGCTGGCGATCTCCCGCGGCAGGTACTTCTCGCAAGCGTGGACAAGAGTGTCCCTGCGGCCGGTGTACTGCATGCGCAGATTGATCAACCAGTCGAGGTATCCCGCATGACCCCATTGCTCTTCAAGAAGCTTGAAGAAGACGAGTTGAGAGATACCACTGGGGTTCTGAGAAGAGGTCTCGCAGTTGCGGATGAATCGCTCAACGACTTGCTGAGATCCGACAATCCAACCAACACGAGAACCGGGTGAAAGGACCTTCGAGAAAGACTCGAGACGAATCACACGACCGTCAACATCCAGACTCAAGTACGAAGGAATAAGTGACTTGATGAACTCGTCGTGGTTGGCGGGCGGAGGAACGGGCTCGGCGTCAGCGCCCGCGTACGGCTGCATCTGCAAGAAATAGTAGGGCTCGTCTTCCACGATAATGACATCGTGCTTTTGAGCGACCTTGTAGACTGCCTTACGCCTCTCCACCTGCTGGGTAGCACCAGTAGGGTTTTGCCCAGTCGGAATTGTATACAGCACGAAGGGCTTGCGGGCGCCCCGAGCGGCCTCATCCCAGTTACTCAGGACTTCATCCATGGATTCCGGGAGCAGACCTTGCTCGTCCATCTTGATCGGCTGCACCTTGACACCTTGCGGAGTGGCGGTTTCTTGGGCACTCGAGAAAGTATATTCCTCCATCATAATATAGTCGCCTCTTTCGCAGAGCATTCGAAGCGTAGTGTCCCACGCATACGTGCTGCCTGCAGTCAAGCAGCATTGCCAATCGGCATATGGGGGGTTGTGAATAAGCTTGAAGTTGTTAGTTACGGTCAACGCAGGCGGGTTGCGCACCATACCTCAGTGTGCTCTGTGACGAATCTGAGCAGCTGGGGCGACCCAGTAGCCTGACCGTAGTTTAGAGCAATCTCCAGATCTGGCGGGCATTAACATATTTTCAATCAAGACAGATAGCCTCGTCAAACCTTACCGTACAAGCTCTTTCCATCGCGAATGTCGCTCTTTCCGGCGCGCAGCACGGCACCCGTTTCGCGAGTCTCTTCCGGAGAGAATCCCGGCGGCGTGGGGACCTTGACGCTGAGTTCCTCGAAGGGGAAGTATTCCGGGGACGGCAAACCGCCACCCAAAGAAATGAGGCCTGGATTCTTGAGATACTTCGCAGCACCCTTCAAGGTGGACTCCTAACCGCAGCAACCCGGATTAGCCTCTGTTTATCCCGAACCCGGTTATACCCAACACCAACCTTGCGCGACCTCGACTCGAGCGAGAACACATCTAATGCACCAATTAACACATGGTCCGGACAATATCATGGATTGACATACGATCAAATCGCTTCGCTTTCGGTTTGGTATAGCAGGCCTAGAAAACAAACAAACAAATATTAGCAACAGGGTTGTCTGCGATCATCGGGAGGGGCAATTTCCAACTTACCGGGCTCTTGAAGAAATCACTGTTGGTGGCAGGCGCAACGCCTTTGGGAATCGGCGCGCTGTTGGCTCTCAAGGCAGGGATAGCTTCGACAGTCAACGGCCCAGAAGCAGGAGCCGAACCGTTCGTACCGTCCACGGCGGCGGGGGGCATTTTCGAGAGATTACCGGTAGGGCTTGGATGTTTGAATTGGAGGGTAGAAGTGAAAATGTTAACGTGGGGAAACCGGTACCACGAGGTCAAAGTAAACAAAGATCGAGATCTAGTAAGAATGGCAGGAAGTGGCTGTAGAGGTGGTTAAAGAAGGAGAGAAACCCACACAGCCAACCTTTTTTCTCCGCTAGAGACTCCCTTAGTGTCGCTCCGCGGATCGGTTCCGCCGAGTGGCCACCACGTATCAGTAACGCCATGCGCCCTGTGGATTGTATCCCGCCACGACTCCTGCAAACAGACTTGCCAATTGGCAGGAGAGCTTCTCACCGAGTTTTCGTTATCTAATTGCAGCATGGAAATCGCGGTACGGACTGCTAGACGCGGCTTTGGTCATTCACAGGGCGCGCGGGGTGACAAATCCAGCTGGCAGCTCCCGTTCTATCCGATTATGGTGCATTGACGCAGGGTGGCTGATGCTCTAGACATGGTTCTAAGGGATAAGCAGCGATAGCTTCCACTGGTTCAGTTCTATGCAAGGAATCCCTCCTAGTTCTTACTTCCCCGACTGAGTACCACCTAGTAACTACTCGCACCCCGCGCATAGATAAGGCTATCGCCGGCATCGGCCAGGGCTTATCGGCTTATCGATAAGACTCTACTGAGAGCAAAATATCCAATGGCTTCATTAACACTCCTTCTAGCTCTGAGCAGCTCACTCCACCGGGGCATCCTCATCTTGGAACCCGCTCAACCGAAACAACTTCTTCGAATTATCCCTCCCAACCAACCGATACGCGTCCTTCCCTCCCAACGCCTTCTGAATCTCATCCTTCTCGCCATCCCACCAGCCACAACCGTTTTCAATCGTCTCGTACGGATAATCCACACTGAACAGGATGCGCTCGGGTCCTAGATAATCACACACGTACTTCAGCGTCGGCGTCGAGAAGTGCCCGCTTGTCGTCACCCAGATATTGTTCTTGAAGTAATAGTAAATGTCGCGCTTGCTCATCGCGTCGCCGGCCTTGGTCGCGAGCGGCCGTTCCACGTCCTCGAGCCAGTGGTTGATCCGCCAGAAGTCGAACGGGATGTGTTCGCCCAGATGGCCCACGATGACCTTGAGAGTGGGGAACCGATCAAAGACCCCGTTCGTGATGAGACCCAAAAGGTGTAGCGAGACGCCGTTGGCGAAACTCAACGGCGGTCCGACGAGGTATTTCCGCCCCGCGTACTGCTGCCGGTAGTACTCGCCTTGCGGCGCGGCGGGATGGATGTAGACAGGCACGTCCAGCTCGACAGCAACGGCCCAGAAGGCATCGTAGGCGGGCTGATCGTAGAAGAGGTAAGTCTCGCCATCTGGACCGGCGTGTTGTACATCATTTAACAAGGCGCCGTGAAAACCGAGATCCTGGACGCAGCGACGAAGTTCACGACCAGCTTGCTCCGGATCGTGCATGGAGAGCGCGGCGAAGGCGCCGAGCTTATGACGGTGATCCTTGATCTCATGGGCGACGTAATTGTTGACTTCGGTGGCGTGGTGTTCAGCTGTCTGGGGGTCCGTGATGCCTTGGATGCCCGGGACCGTGAGGGACACGATGGTGTACCCGATGCCGTGGGCGTCGGAGACCTGGAGGCGCTCGTCGGTCAGGGACTTGATTTGGCGGAGGTAGCGGTCGAGATCCGGGGGTGCGATGTAGAGGGCTGCTTGGTCGCGGCTTTGGTCGGCCTTGGAGGGGATTTCGTAGGCTTCTTCGAGGGAGATTTTGCCGAGCATGGTGACTGAGTGGTTTTCTTCTCTCTGAATACTGGTATCCAATTGAGTGAATGATGTTGTATACTAGAATGGCAGACAGGATATTATCTTTATTTTTATAAGTAGTTGTTCGGAGTCCATGACGTATGTATGTGGTCCAGGTAACATACTGGTTAATGGTATCCAGAGATTTGAGTTCAATATCCGATGGGATTACCTGGAGGCTGCTTCTGTCTGTCGCCATTTCAGCGAGCATTCAATGCAATCGGAACCGAATTGAGTGATCGGATGGCTGCCAGAATAACCTACCCGGGAGATGTGCTGCCGTTGTGCTACCGGTGGATCCACGCTCCACCGCGATGATGTCAGGTAGACGTGAGGGAATGAAAGAATGTAGCACAAGGGATGAAGATAAATCAAGATGTTCATTCGGGTAGTGGATCACATCTTGGTTGTACAAGTGATTTGATATGGGATATAGGGCGCATGACTTTCGGACAAGTTGCCTGGATGGGAGGGTTGGGAGTATCCGATGCATGGTATCGTGTTGCTCTTCTATCCGATTACATGAACTTGGTGGCTTTTCGTCTTGTATCAAATTTCTGGACTGAATCTTGGACCTTGGTCAATGGTTCAGTAAGAGTTGTAATCACCAGGACCGCGTTGAAGAGGGTAAGACTCTTTGAGAGAACTACCTAGCCTTTCTAACTCAAGAACTGCCGCACGATCTCCGACATATACCAAGAAATAACAACACTGAGTGATGAGACATTCTCATAATCACAAATCATTAGCGAGAGGCCTTCCAAGTTACTTCAATCTCTAGGATATAGATGGATTGGTATAGGAATACCTATCGTGATGATCAAGCGACTGAAGCCAACTATCAAGATAGTCGTATAGATAGTTTCTATGAAGGTATCCGAAATTTCGGATCCAGACAACGATGATGTCATACATACCAGGTTTCGGATGCTGCCTCATCTAGGCCTCAATGCTACGAGATATTTACTTGGAATATATCTTAACTCGTCGTAAGAGTGATTTGGTCAGGCTCTTCAAAGCCAGTATCATCTCTATGGCTCTAGATGGACACCTTACCATTAGTCTCCCCGCGACATTGTCCTGAATGGTTGCGTTCATCATGAAGGGAACCCAGTTCACATTGTACTATACGTAATATTCAGTTCTTCGGATCATGTATCATCTATCGGCCAAATATAGGTCTGGCGGTCTAATTCTTCTCAACATACTTCCCCACAGTTCCGTCCAGCTGGGCCTCCAACACCGCCGAAGTTCCGTTCTGCACAGTCCGAATGGCCTCCGGCAACAGCTTCGCCAACTGCGCCACGGTGCCTGCGCGACCAGCCCAGATCTCGCCTCCGGAAGCGGCCTTTGCAATACCCGGATAATCCGGAGTTGGGGCGAACGAGATATTCAGCTCCTCGTTGGTGGCGCGCGAACCGTCCCCCTCGGGATGCACCAGGAGCATGCTCCGGCGCGGGGCGTTCCAGCCCTTATTGTTCAGCACGATGGTGAGGATGGGGATGTTATAGCGGCGCGAGATCCAGTAGACCGAGCCTGGGACGGAGAAGAGGTAAGTGCCGTCACCGACGACCTGGCAGACGAACTTGCCCTTGTTTCTGCCGCCGTGTTGGTCGTCGCTGGCGAGTTTGATGCCCAGGGCACCTCCGCCGGACCAGCCGAGTCCTCCACCGCCGCAGTTGATCCACGACTTGGGCAGGGTGGCATTAATCTGGTCGGCGACGATGCCGGTGAGGGTCACGGATTCGATGGCCCAGATGGTGTCGGCGGGACAGCCCTTGCGGACCTCGGACATGAAGTACGATGCGTTCAGGGAAGCGTCGTCGCCGCCCGAGGGTACTACGGCTAGGTCGGTCACGGCCTGGCGGGCTTTCTTGTATGCTTCTTCGCGACGCTTGCCGAGGGCATTGTTTTCCTCGGACTTGATGGTTTGCTGCAACGAGGCGTTGGACGCAACGTATTCGTTGATCTGCTTGAACGCGGTGGCAGACTCGGCCCGGAAGGTGGCCATGGAAGGGAGATAGAAGACGGGGATTTGTTGTTTCAGAGGATCCACGTCAACGTGAATGACCTTGGCCGAGTCAGAGGGCTTACACTGCGTGGGGATCCAGGGGACATCGCAGTCGGCGACCAGGATGAAGTCGGCCGTCTTAACGGCGTCATGCACGCCAAACCGCAGACCCAATGACGCCGGGTGGTCTCCGGGGAAACACATGTCGCTGCCACCGGTGTCCAGGACGCGTATTCCCTTGAACGTGTCGGCCAGGGTGACCAGCTCCTTGACTCCCTGCGCGACCCGACCCGAGTATCCCACAATCACCAACGGCTCTTTAGCGGCGGCGAGCTCACGCGCGATCAACTCAACTCCATCGGAGGGCAGGGCAGATGGCGCAACGGCACCCCAGACATTCTGATTCACCTGGTAGGGCGTGATCTCCTCCTCCATGACCTCTCGAGCGCCGGCCAGATAGACAGGGCCCTTGGGGTCGCTGGTCGCAAACTGCAAGGCGCGGTTGACCATCTGTTTGACATTCTTGCCGGATCGGATTTCCGCCGAGTAGCGACAGTACTGGGAGACGATCTGCTTCTGGTCGGGGACATCTTGGATCCAGTGAATGTATTCGGTGCGGGACCCGCGCATCTCCCCATCGATGGTGAAGGGGGAGAGACCGGCGAAGATCAGGACGGGGGCTCGACCACAGGAGGCATTGTGTACGGCCGCTCCCAGTCCCTGTGTGCCGACATCGACGTGGACGATGACACATTGCGGTTTGCCGGTTAGGCGGGCGTAACCATCGGCCATCGACAGCGCCACCATCTGGAGAGGGGCAAATGCGGGGTTAGCGAGACCGACGATATCCGACATTCATGATCATTCGGGAATGCTCCTTACCTCGTTGGGGCAGGTAATGATCTTGGGGAACTCATCAGGCTTCTCCTTCTGACCCTTGACCATGGCTTCCAGGATGGAAGGGTGATCGGAGCCCAGGTTGACGAAGACATGGGAGACGCCGGCCTGTTCAGTTAGTCTCTACTGCTGTACTAAGTATATGTCTTTTCCACCACAACATACCTCCCAGAGGGCCTCAAAAAAGGCAAATGATGCAGTGTAGACCCTATAGTCCAGATTCAGTCAGAATACCATGTAGAATTATAAGGTCAATCGGACAGAGGGCCATACATGATAGCAATTCACCCCTGACTCTGAAAGGATGTGAGGGGATGAGCAACGGGAGCAGAGACAATGAGCAGATAAAGGCGAGCTCCAAGGCGAGCTTAATAACAGCAGATCGGGGAACAGACCGATGGCAAACCCCGGCAAGTCAGTTGAACAGCAGGAAGTAACTCAGTTGAAGCCAGGGCGAGTCGATTGTTGGTCGTCAATTCCGCCGGTCCACTTTTCTCCTGCACTTCCCCGCGATTTGATTCCCGGCGCAATTCCGCCATCGCAGATTCAGTCTGGATCTCTGGATGTATGTACATACTCTGTATAGTTCACATACCGTCCGATGTTTAGCCTAGGTCATCTAGACCGTCGGTTGAGCCAGCCGAGCTCCCCTGTGGATCAGGTAAGATTGGAGACTCGAGGAATGTTGGTGCCTGCGAGGACGATGACGTCGATGGGGCATCAACAACCGGTTTGTCGTCATTCATGAAGTTGCTTTTCCTGGGATCTCCTGCTCAAATCCATTGATCCCTAAGAAACTACGACCAGATCGCATGGCTCCGAGCTATCAGTCCACCCAGAAAAGCTTCTTTCTCTCCCTGATCCACCCAGGGTTGACCAATTGTCCACGCATCCTCAGCCCTACCAGCCCTACGTCATCTCCGGCCGCATTTATTAGGTCCTTCCATTCTTCAATGCGGCCATGGCTCTCCCTCTGCTGCCCCTGGATTCTCTGTTCCACCTTACTGGCGCTCTCTTTTCGGCCACCTTGAGCTCCCTGATCTGGTGGATCTACCGCCAGCCTCCCAGTCCGAACAATTCCCGCCCTGACATGATCACTGCCCGCGTCTATCGACTCTGCCACGCCGATATGACTGTTAGTTCCGAACTTGCGCGCGACCCGACCCAGGTCCCGTCCAAGGTATTTCACAATTTGTACGAGAGTCGCGACTCCGAGAACCCCGGCTCGGGGGTGAAGGATGCCGCCGACGAGGCAGAGGCCTTGCAACGAGCAGCCGAGTGTGGGAATTGGGGTGCCTCGCAACCGAGCGAGTTGTTCCTGAAGGTTCGTTGATTGGCTTGTCGTGGTTCGCCTGGATTGGTGTATATACAATTTGCTCATCGTGTTTGGCCAGATCTACCACGACGCAGTATGCGCTCTAGACAAGAACCCACACTCCGGGGTCGTCTCTCCGCCCTTGATGGGCAGCCACGGCATCGTCCCTTTGACCATTGTGGCCCCCCTACCCGACCTCTGTCGACACATGGCCAATTGCATTGTGCGCGCCGAGAAGGAAGTCTTTCTAGGAACCAACTTCTGGATCCACTCCGACGCCTCGACGCTAGTCACCAACTCCCTCCGAGAACTCTCCAAGCGAGCAGGCGAGCGAGGCACCAAAGTCATCGTGAAGGTGATCTACGACCGAGGTGATCCGCGCCAGGTCTGCGAGAACCGGCTCGACGTGCCCGAGAAGAAGTACACGAGCTCGCAAGTTAAGTTCCCTCCGGTGGAAGAAATTCCCAATCTCGACCTGCAGGTGATCAACTACCATCGTCCGATCTTCGGCACGTTTCATGCGAAATTCATGGTCATTGACCGCCGCGTGGCGCTGCTGCAGAGCAGTAACGTCCAGGATAATGATAACTTGGAGATGATGATCCGCATGGAGGGCCCGATTGTGGATGCCATTTATGATACGGCGTTGGTGTCGTGGGGGAAATCCTTCGATGCGCCTCTACCAATGCTGTCTTCCCCTGCAGCAGATGCGCCCATGCCGAGCTTCGATACGAAGTTCCCGGACGAGCAGGGTGGAATACTCCCTGAGCTGACGAAGGACGATCCGCACTACGATGTGGATGTCGGGCAGGAGGCGCAGAGAGTCAACGGCATGGTTGAACCTCGGGAAGGCGAATCAAGAACGCAAGCCGTAACTCGCCATCTTAGTATGTTCCTGTCGCTCACAGGCATCGAGCCCACGCTGACATGTCAGACACAACGACGCAACCAAACACCACAGGCGATGCCTCGGATGTTGACCACGAACCCCCAATGCGACCATACGTCCCTCTCCCACCTCACAAGCCATTCCCTATTGCCCTTGTAAACCGTGAACCCTTCGGAGGTAAGCAACACAGTCCATCCCTCCTACTTGACCCCCAAGCTAACCCACCCCACCCACCTCCAGGACCGAGCCACACCAGCGTCTACACCCCCCAAAACTCCGCCTTCCTATCCGCCATCCAAAACGCCCAATCGAGCATCTTCATCCAAACCCCCAACATGAACGCCGAGCCCCTCCTCCAACCCCTCCTCGACGCCGTCAAACGCGGTGTCATCGTCACCTGCTACCTCTGTCTCGGCTACAACGACGCCGGCCAACTCCTGCCGTTCCAGAACGGCACGAACGAAATGATCTCGAACCGGTTATACGCGGCTCTCGAGACGAAGGAGGAACGTTCCCGTCTTCGCATCTATAACTACGTCGGGAAAGACCAGACGAAGCCTATTCATAATAAGTTCAAGAAACGGAGCTGTCATATTAAACTTATGATTATTGATGAGAAGGTTGCTATTCAAGGTCTGTTCCCCCTTCTACCTCAACTCTTCCCTTCCAAAAACCAAGTCCATGTCTAACGTTACCTACAGGAAACGGAAACCTCGACACCCAATCCTTCTACCACAGCCAAGAAGTCAATGTCCTGCTCGACTCACCACTAGTCTGTCGCACGTGGCTGGAAACCATCAACCGGAACCAGAACACGGCCAAGTACGGGCTCGTCAGCCCGGACGACGGATGCTGGCATGATCCCGTCACCGGGGAAATGGCCGAGGGGTCGATCGGTGTGAACCCGGGGCATTTTAGCTGGGCGAAGGGGGTTCTGGGCGCTGTGCAGAGGGTTAGGGGGGCTGGGGGGTTTTAGGTCATAGGTTGCTTTGGTAGGGAGGTAGTATTGTTTGTTTATGTTACTGGGTGAAATAAAAATTGAATATGTGAGCGTTCGAACTTGATAGGTTAGGTTTGAGCATTAATGTAATCATTGCAGTGGATTGCTTTTTTCTAGAACTTCTCGGCATGAAGTAAGTAGCTAGCACCAGCTACTTAGGTGAGTATAGATACTAAGGGTATCATCTCAAGGTATATACCCTGAAAGTCAATACAAACCAATCAATCAAACCTTTCCAACACCCTGGAGAGTCAGATACACATCGGTACCCCAACCCCAGAGACTCTGAACCGCAATACTGCCCCCAAAGTACTCCGCGTAGGCTCTGCTCAACGGCAACCCGTACCCTAGACCGGCGATGCTGCTCAGCTGACCGCTATTGTTCGAAATGGCATTGAAGGCATCCATGTTCCCGTTCTCGGAGCCCTGCAGGTCGAGGTCCGAAAAGGTGGTGAAGCTGTACGACCAGATGTTTGGCAGGACTTCGGGCGGGATGCCGTGGCCGCGATCGCGGATCCGGATCGTAATGCTCTGCGACGACGGCGCGGATACTTTGATCGATTCGTTGGCGTCCGCGGTGCCGACCACCGTGTCCATCTGGAAGCCGACGTCGGAGTCCGATTGCGTCGTGGAGGAGCCATCGGGGGTGGGGGAGGGAGAGTCACCGCGCCCATGCGTACGGGGGACGTCGGGGGCTGCGACGATCGTGACCTCGATCGGGTCGCGCTCGTTACCAGCTTCAATTACGGCGCGGAAGGCGTTCTTGAGGAGCTCGGTGATGATGTATTCTATGTGGACGGGGACATGGGCGAAGGTAGCGTCGGGCTGGCCGCCGATCTGGAGGCGGGGACGGACGCCGTATTTCAGCTCGCAGATCTCCCCGACGAAGTCCTCGCAGAGTTTGACGATGCGGGCGGGCTGCAACGCCGTGTCAATGACGCCGATGTAATTCGAGGGAGTTGTGCTTTGGGGCGCCGGTTGGTTGCCAGTGTCCACGTCGCTGACTGGCTGAGACGCAAAATGAAGGGCAAGATGCTGCTCTGCGATGAGCCGAGTGCCAATTCTCGCCCGTAGGTGGGTATCCAGGAAGCGAGTCACTTCCGTGGGGTCGATGTATCGGCGACACTCGAGAAAGCCGCGCGCTAGGATGGGGATCGTGTTGGTGTGCGTGTGCACCAGATCGGCCAACACCTCGGCGAACTGGTTTTCTTCTTCGAGGGTCGTGACCTGTCGCTGCTGGTAAGGCAGGAGAGTGGAAAGCGAGTGGAGATAGTTGTTGTAGATTTTGGAGATGTGTGGATTCGAGACGACAATGAAGGAAAGGTTCCGAAGGGCTTCAATTCGAGAGGCGAGTCGTGCGGGGAGGAGGGAAAGGGTGTAGTTTGCGGAGGCGAGAAGTGCTTCCTTGGATAAAGGCGGGCGACCATGTCTAGGTATGCAGAGTTAGCAAAATTGTAGTGAGCAGACTAGCCTACGGTAGACTCACTTCAGCAGGTCTGCCAGAGTCAGCGGTCGGCGACGACTGGCTGCGAGACGTGCGACTTCATCGTTTGCACCATAAGCAAAAGACTCTTGGTGAGCAACCCGTGCGATGTCGGAGAGCGGTGATGAAGAGAATCGTCGTGTTTCAGCATGGGGTGATGTCAACAGACAAGGGCCCTTATGTCGGAGGCTGCGCCTCGCAGACAGCGCGAGAGCCCTGTGTATAGCCATAATTAATACTGGCCATTCTGCGCCGCCAGCAGAGTCATTGGAATAGGAATTGCTAGAAGATGGTCTGCTCCGAAGGGCCGAAGAGCTTCTTACCGAAACAGGATGCAGAATGTTCACGTGTACGCTAGTACTGGATAGGCAGACATGGCGCCACATGCGCTGAAGCCTCGGGTTCTTCTCAAAAACCATCGGTGTGCAGTCGTCATATAACATGTTGAATCAATAGCTCTTACTAATCACGGCCGGGTGGCGCAATGGTAGCGCGTTGGTTTTCGGTGGTCAGGTTTACCTGGCAATTCGGAAGCTTACCAAAGGTTGCGGGTTCGAGTCCCGTCGCGGTCATCCTTTTTGTTTTTTTCGGACACATATCCCTCGTACATACTCTTTTTGAAGGACTGATGAATCACTGTCTCAATCATCATCCATAGTCTTTGTATGGTCCACTGTTCTATACCTGCCTTCTGTTCGCAGCACAGCTTTTTTTGCAAGGAGCGAGCCTTCAGTCCTCTCTGCACGTCATTCTTGGATAGGATTACCAGGTCTTGTTTGCTGCTGTTGTTGACAATATCGCGAGACCGAATATTATCTATCTACATGCTTCTCCTATCACGAGTTAATGAACTGGTAAGCTAGATCATGCTGTGCCAGAATAAGGGCATCTTCAGCTAGGTTGTGTTTCCTGAACTGTCTTTCTTCATAATAGCTCTATATATTTCTGTAGGTAGTTAGTTGGTGTTTATTTGCGTTCAGCAAAATTCTGTCCGTAAAAAGAAAAACTGTTACTTCTTCTAGAGAAACAAGAGAAAGAGAAGAAAGAGAACCTGGTTGGTGTTGGCTGTGCTGAGAATAGGGTGCTAATTACGTACTACCTAAAACAGGGACTACTTTATCAGTGCCTAGTTGGATTTCGAAGCGAAGCCAACGATGACGCACTCGTTCTTTGTTTTCTACCCATCAGTGAATGCTTCTCGAGGCGATGCATGAACTTGCAAGATCCTTATCCCAACCTATTGGGTCGTATCTCTTTCCCATCACATCAGTGGGAAGTTGGTTGTGGTCACCAGACTACACACTGCTGATGAGGCCATTCTCCGCTATTATTTTTGCCGCCACCTCCATATCACATCATTCCCCGTAGGAAACGTCAGTAAGCCTCCAGTAGGGGTTTCACCAGGAAGTTAAGCCAGTGCAGATTTGCAGGGTGCATGTAACCCCTCCTGGATACATAGACACGGCCACGCAAAGCCACAGGGAAGTGGGGTGATAGCAGAGCCGATTCTCCAAGCCAGTCGTAACATGGTAGTAATATCCCGAGAGAATTAAGTCATCGAGTTTCTATCCATAATGTTGAAGCAAAGAAGCCGCTCGGGAGAAAGCTCACAATCGGGAGCTTTGCTGAAATTACGCATCCCTTGGAGATATATCAATCTATATTCTATGTAACCCTTCAGTTGCGATTGAACAACAGCAAGGGCAAGATGGCCGAGTGGTCTAAGGCGCTCGACTCAAGAATCTTAGTATTCTTCCCTAAAAATGGGAGCTTTCGAGTCTCGAAAGAGGCGTGGGTTCGAGTCCCACTCTTGTCATTATTATTCTTTTTGCCAATTCCTCTCTCACTTTATCTCTCTATCTAGCCAGGCCCCGTTAGCATACAAGGGCCCCAGATTCCCCTGTTAGGTAGTTCCTTTCCTTCTCCATGGGAAAATTGCTTGACTACGAGTCATAAACAAAATTGCCTTATTCAGCTCTTTTGTAGCCCGTCACAACCTGGACAGCCCCCTGTTTACGGAGTACTCACTCACCAGTCCACAGGACCCCTTACCTATCCCATCATCTCACCGATCGGCAAAGATGTATAATCCACAAGGACCATTCTGCCACGGAATTGGCCAGGAGGGTCATAATCGGTCATCCTGCCCAGATCTCCCCTGCAAATACTGAAAAAGGACATACTATTCAAGACTGTACAACGTGCCCAGAGTGTTCACACTGCCACAAGAAAGGGCACGATCTTCACTGTCCACAAACCAAATGGAACAGACCTTTACAGCAACTGTCATCAGAACCACGAGGACCCAAACCAGCAAGATCAAGAAATTTTCAGCAACCTTTCCCGAGCCAGTTGCATTCTACCGCAACCGAAGAAAGAAGCCTTGGTACATCAGCTTTAGTAGGTTTACGGTATCTACAATAAATCATTATCTTATACCAGACAATATAACTAACAAGCTTTCTTTTCTTCCTACAGGATTCGTTTACTGTCTGCCCCAAAGTCAGATTTCCACCAATCCAAGAGACTTTGACTCGGCTTCTCAAAGCCATCACAGAAGTAAACAGACCAGATTTGAGACATATACCATATAAAGAATCAATTTCGGCTATAGGAGGAATAGACAGTAGCGTGGAACTCTTAACAACAGCTATCCATCCCGCAGTAAGACAATTCGAGAATACGGTTTGTGACTACAGCAATGTAAGTAAGGAAGTTTCTTTATTAGGTTCTTCATGTTTACGTTACATGATTTATACTAATTCCGTGTAGGCTGCAGAATGTCAGGGTCCTCCAAGGAGACCGCTGACTGTGAGCTTACTATATAGTACGTTGACTGAATGACCCCCTTGGTCATTCATTGAGCCTTTTGGTATGTAGCGCAGTTGGTAAAGCCAACGGACCAGTGCGTAACACAGAACGTCCGCGAGAAGCAGGCCGTAACTGAGGTATGGGAGCGAAACAAAGGCTACCTAGGCTTCATTACCGATGATCGGGACGCAGGCTACTGGCGTGCGTATGTTGGACAATCAGAAAACCCCAAGCATCGGATCCTACAGCACCTCACAGCTGTTATGAAGAAAGACGATAAAACGCTGCATTATTATGTAGTAGTTCAAGGAGACGGGTGCCAGAGTATTCTGCTTTACCAAAGTGCTCTTCAAGAATCCCTGGTGCAAGCGACTGAAAACACCTGGCCATAAACATTTCAAGGATATCGGCAAACACCATAGAGATATGTTCATTGACATGATCTTTGCCAAAGTTTGATGAAGTTGATCGCGCGATACTGGTCTAAATGTTGTTCCGCCCCTTCTTCAAGGACTCCCACTCAGTCCTTATGCTAGATACACCGACTCTCTTCAATTGGAAAACTCGCCACACAAGGATATCAGGGAATGGCCACAACGCCGATCGAAAGAACGATTAGAAGATCAGTCCTTACCCAACCCGACATGCAAGCGTCTCACGCGCCATGAATATCTAGGAATCTTGGCAGCAGCTACAAGTGCAAACTTTGAGATCTCGACAGTACAGCCCTTAGATATAATAGATTTACTCGCAAAACCATTTAATATGAAGTCCTGCTTGCATACAGTTTAATATGCTACTACAGAGCCCCGGAAGATTGTTGAGCCTCGAGGTATTCTTGGGGTTAAAGTTGGAATAATTTTATATTAGCATAACTATTCTTATGAAAATCAACCGCTGGCAGTAGAGAATCTGGTAGTCTGATGCGTAGTCCCTTGGGGTATAAGGAAAGTGGATTTTTCGAGTAAAGCTCGCTGGTTTGGCCTTTTATATTTATCCAAGAAACTATTAAGCTGTTAATATGTCTTTCCTTCTGGCATATAAGGCCAGATGAAGTTGATATTTTAGATAAAGCTAATAAGGATCTTATCTAAACAAGCAACCTACGGATTATCATTTTAATAATGCTGAGATAATACAACGTCTAGGTCGAGATTGCCAGATACAGCTTGATTTTTAGGCAATTATCATTAAAGCTATGGTGAGATTGATGAAGCTTATATAAAGCGGGTCTATATCTATGCATTAAGGCCGCTATTTATGTTATAGGCTAATGCTGGAAAGCAAATGATTTAATGGTGCGAGATTTTTAGATTTAGTACGGTTGTGGTAGAGTTCGAGAGCACCCAGAATGTTACATTCTATTGGCGATTATATCTGGGTTTATAAACAACCAGACTCTACATCGATAAACGAGACGGACGAAACAAATAGATAATCACTACAGACTCTGTTAATGGTAATATTCATGCCTGGCTGAATCGCAAAGGCTTTCGGACAGAATCTGCCCTTAATCGTCTTATGGCCAATGGAGGGTCGTTTGTGAAGTCTCATTCTTCTACTTTGGAGTGGTTTGCCTCGAAGACCCAAGGGTGTAGCTATGCATACTCCCAAAATACCGTCGAGTAAGGAGGGACAAAAAGGTTCAAATGTCTTTTCCGCTGAGCAGATCCGAGAGATGAGGGATCTTTACGAGGACATGCAGGAGGAATGGCGCAGGGAGGCCCAAGCCGTTTCTTCAGCTCGGGTTGATCACAAAGATTTAGAGAGCAATGACGAGTTGGACACTGGTAGCGCACTGGACGAAGCACTCGTTGCAGACGAAAGGGGTGAGCTTGAAGCGACAAGATTAACTTTACTGCCTTCCCGGAATAGAAAGATTCGGGTTGAAGTTATACAAGTGTCTACTTATGGGAAGCGGGCGGCTTACTGTAATCTCACTCACGGAGGGTTTGGTTTTTAAGAGATGCATATATAGGTGAGTCTACTAAGCGGACGCCGTTATAAAGAATACGATTTGTGATCCGCTCATCGGAACAAAAAACATCGCAAAATTCTTGATCTCCAGTTTACGGTTCATTCTGTTAATCGGGTCCAACTTCTGGACTTCTACCTCAAGGATAACAAGGAAGGGATTCTAATCCAAATCGAGCTCGCACTAGTTGGAGAAAGGCATCCGAATGCCTTTGTTACACCCAAAACAACAAACGACCCAGCATCCCGATTGGCTTTTCGACTAACTTTGAGGGACAAGGAGGGAGATCAAAGAGTTCTCTATCCAACATCACCACAGAACTCTCTCGAGGCCATTTTCACAATATACAGCTTGGTTGACTGGCTAGATGGTGCTACGATTCATACTCTAAAAAAAGCCGAAGTAGACGACATATCTTCATCCACACAGAGAATGATGCCACTGTTGCCGAGGACATAAAAGTCTTTATGGGGGTGGGGGGTGTGTGGTGCTTATGTTCTAGATGACGGCTCATGGTCCAAGGAAATACAAGCATCTACTACAGCAAAACGCGCAAGAGCAGACAGCAATGAGCCTGAGTCTGAAGCTGAGCAGCCTCGTGGTAAGAGATCTGTACAATAGGGCTGACTTGTGTTGTCTGGTAGAGGGTATGGAGTCTTAAGCTGCGTTCTTCAGAGCTTGTCTTTTGCTTAACTCTTCGTAATAATGTAGAGAGTTTGGTAGAATAACTTTAGGAAGATCGGCGGTGATCTAGGCAGAAAATATTACAAGAATCATCGAAGATTGCCCGGATAACTCTACTATCGCGCCACCCCGTCGGGGGGGGGTGAAAAAAAATCAAAATGACAAGAGAAATGACAAGAGTGGGACTCGAACCCACGCCCCTTTCGAGACTCGAAAACTCCCACTTTCATGGGAAGAATACTAAGATTCTTGAGTCGAGCGCCTTAGACCACTCGGCCATCTTGCCTTTGTTGTAGTTTGACCAATTAAAAATAAATATAAGTATCAAAGTTTGTGACTGCTCTGAGAGCCTGCAAGGAATCGTGGCCAACGAGATGGTCACCATTGGATGGCCTTGAATGGCGCGATTCCAAGGAAGCGGGTATCCAGGGATTCAGGCCAAAAAGTAGCCACTTGCATTTTCCCCCTCCCACCTTATTCTATCGTTAGTGGTTACATTCCCTTATCAGCCGTGACATTCCATCACTCGCCCCGCGCCGACTGGTATAAAACCTCCCTGGTCCCACCCGCCTGCAAGTCTACGTTTCTTCCAGTTTCAACGTCCAACTGTCCTCCGATTTACCGTGACCTTTCTACCATTACACACTACCCCCTAAAATCACCACCTACGCATTCATCTTTCCGCGTCCAAATTCTACCGATAACATGCCGCTCTACAACGTTCGTGGTGCATTTTATACTATGACTCCTAAGTCCCCGCTCTAACATCTACCTCCAGGTCACTCTGAAGAAAGACTCCCCCCCCGAGGAGCTGCAAAAGTAAGGCCTTCGTCATACCTCTCAAAACTTTCTTTCGTCCAGGTTTGATCACTGACACTGTACTCTTCGTAGGGCCAAAGAGCAGGTGAGGAAGGAGGGCGGCACCATCAAGCACGAATACACTCTCATCAAGGGCTTCACGTAAGGCAGCAATAATACCCTCCTCCCCCCAAACCCGCCAACAACCATCAAGGTATAGAGGACACCCTTCAGCTGACCCCACTTAGTGTCGATTTCTCAGATGACCTGGTCCGAACTTTCGAATCATCCGAGCACATCCACGTCGAGCAAGATGGCGAGATGAGGACCCAGTAATGGGTGATCCTTCAGGGAAGACCAAATATTACATCTTGTTAACGACCGTCAAGCGCTGCCTTTTGTGAACTGCTTCATCCAATCTGGCATACTGCTGCCTATTCAAGCGTGTCTTAGCTGCATGGGCTACGGACTTTCTGTTACTGTACGACGAGGAAATAAAATACCATATGTGAACTCTAGATTTGCCGCGCAGGGAATATGGATAAGCAGACAACCTCATGTCCTTTTATGATTCAGTAATACTATGTTCAATATCCACTGAAATCTGTAAATGTCTTCGATGACATCTCCATGCAGCAAGTGGGGGTGCCCAAGCCGATGACGCTATCCAAGGCGGGGCAGTCACGTGAATGCGGGCTGTGCTCGCCGCTTTCCCGCTTTCCTTGGGTGGCTTAACCTATACAGTTGGAAGATATCCGTGGCCGCCGGGATCCTGCGGACACGGATAATATAGTCCATAGCTTTATGCTGTGATCTTCGTTGATCTGACTCAGATGCTTTGATGTTATGCAGACTGGTGTACTGTCTCGCTCTAAACATTTTTGTATGTATCCGATCTTACTTATCAGCGAGGCTGTCAACAAATAGCCATGCCCTCAATCTATATATGTCGCCCGGCTACAGTATATATACCCCAGCAACATACATAACCACAGCGCCGACAACAGAACTTATGCCCGATATTCAATTGATAGGACGTGGCAGGAGAAAAAAAAAAAAAAACAAAAAAAAGGATAAAGGAAATTTTATCGACAGACCGAGAATTCAGACGACATGGTCGCTATAACCCGACATAGCCAGACCCATCATTATCTCGCTCGGGCATTCTCAAGCCATGCATACCGGTATAATTAGGACTTTCTGGTTGTTCCCACCCCTCCAGGACTTTAGAGTCCGTCAACTTATACACCTCCACACCAAGAGGGCGGGTGGTAGCTCCCATAGTATCCTCTTTTCCTTCCCAGCCCCAGTTAGAAAGGTCACCTAGAAACGAGGCTGTCAGTATTTGTCAAATCTCGTCGGAACTGCAAGACACATACCACCAGGACAGGCTGAAAGCGCACAAAGGACGTCAACTTCGGCAAAGAACTCAAAGTACTCGCCCGGCCTAGCCGGAGAGGTCTCCATGAAATACTTCCCCTCCTCATCGAGCCCAGTAACCTGGAAGACATTCAGGACGTCGTGCACATCCAGCTCGGTAAGTCCATGGGGCACCACCGCGCGAGTCAGATTGGAATGACAGTGATAATCGAACGATTCTCCACCCATGAGCAGATTGACGTAGGGATCGCACCGCGTGCCCAGGAGGTCATGACACCGTCCTCCAAACTGGGTGGTTCCGAAGGTTGCTTTCCGCACGCCGTTGTCATCAACCAGCTCATGCAGCTGACCGCCGGCCAGCGAATCCCCCGTTATTGTCACAAGTGGGCGCAGGTATGGCAGGTTGGACCAGAGACGATCACCGACAGACACGTGAGACGCATGGATTTGACGCGTGCGGGCAGCCCAGAGACGCTCTCGAGGGTTCTGCGCGTTCCAGATGTTCAGGTCCCCGACCTGTGGACCTTTGGGGGTGGTGAGACGGCAGATATGTCCGGCTGGGACGACCCAGGCCTGTCCGGAACAAGGGCGGATGGTGAACGATGTCTCCAGGACGCGCTGCGAGGCATCAGCGGCCGTCTTTGAGATAGACTTGTAAATAGGGGTAGTGCCGTGGACGGTCGAGTCTTTAGGAGCCGTGTATGCTGGCGGGGGTCGACCATGAGGAGCCATTGTGAATGATGTGTGCTTATATGGAGTAAAGGAACCGTGAGGGGAAAGAAGCTGTTAGCAAGCGGGGGATTTACGAAGCGCTACAGGGGTCGAGAGAGCTTGGTCCTTTAATAATAATTGGCATTGTCGAAATCCATCCACTGATAATGGCAACATCTATATCGTATCTGACACCATTGGATCCGCTTTAATCGAGACTACTGACCTCCTGGGTCCTAACTGCCTCAATGCTCGCCGTCACCGGCGATAACAGGGAGCCAACAAGTGATGATAGGCCATCATCTCCGCCTGTCTCTGTTAGTCGGACCGATGCCTTAGGGTGGAGCCCTGATCGGAGAACGTCGGGCCGGATAAGCCCTCCTCGATAAGACCTTACGTAAGGAGCGCAGTCCGAATTGGTGCCTGAGGAATAAACTCAGGTTCAGAAACTTTTTTTGCGGATCGGCGCGGATTAAATTCTACTCCGACGAAGAAAATGGAAATAATAATTTTGGTCCGAGCAAGCTACCAGCCAGAAGCAGCTCACAGATCGCCATCTGAGTGCGCCGTGAATCCTTTCTTTTAGACGGAAAGAAGGGATTTCACACGAGGTCCTTGACCTCTTTTCCGCCATGGAACAACAGTCAAACAGGGTCCATCGGACCACCAAGGAGAAGAAGAAGCACGATGGTATGTATACAGTTTGAAGCCTCATTTTTTGCCCGCTGCCCCGTTGGAAAAACTGGTCGTCGACAATGCTAACATGCGTCGATATTCTTTCTAGGCCCCAACCCCAAGGCTTTCGCATACTCGAATCCTGGAAAAGGCAACAAGGCTGGCGCGCGATCGCATGATGTATGCGCCCTCTCCGATCTCAAACCACCGGTCGAAACGATCCATGAGCTAATACAATTCTGTTGTCATAGATCAAAGAGAAAAGACTCCATGTACCTCTGGTGGATCGCTTGCCTGAGGAGGCTCCTCCGCTGATCGTTGCGGTGGTTGGACCGCCAGGTGTAAGTTGTCACTCTATCCTTAGGATGCTAATGCGATACGAAATGCGAATGGAAGGAACTGACGAGCTTGCAACGACCAGGTCGGAAAAACCACCCTTGTCAAATCTTTGATTCGCCGCTACACCAAGCAGACTCTTAGCACGCCGACCGGACCGTTGACAATCGTGACATCGAAGAAACGCCGACTTACAATCATCGAATGCCCCTCCGATTCTTTGGCTAGCATGATCGATGTGGCGAAAATTGCAGATATTGTGCTTCTGATGATTGACGGTAATTATGGGTTTGAAATGGAAACCATGGAATTCCTGAACGTGTTGGCTTCGAGTGGTATGCCGGGAAACGTCTTCGGAATCTTGACCCATCTGGACCTTTTCAAGAAGCAGAGCACCCTGCGGGCTGCCAAAAAGCGCCTCAAGCACCGTTTCTGGAGCGAGCTTTATAACGGCGCAAAGCTATTCTACCTCTCCGGCGTGGTCAACGGCCGGTACCCCGACCGCGAGATACACAACCTTTCTCGCTTCTTGTCCGTCATGAAAAACCCTCGACCGTTGATCTGGCGTAACTCTCACCCGTATGCGCTGGCCGACCGCTTCCTGGACATCACTCCTCCGACCGACATCGAAGAGAACCCGAAATGCGACCGGACGATCGCGCTTTATGGGTACCTGCGTGGTACTAATTTCCCCGCGCAAGGCGCCCGAGTGCACGTTCCTGGTGTCGGTGACTTGACTGTCTCAGGCATCGAGAGTCTCCCGGATCCTTGCCCCACGCCTTTCATGGACCAGCAGCTGGCCAAGTCCGGCAAGGGCAGCAAACGCAGACTTGGTGATAAGCAAAAGCTCTTGTTCGCGCCTATGTCTGACGTTGGTGGTGTGCTGGTCGACAAAGATGCTGTTTACATCGATGTCAAGACAAACAACTTTGAGCGCGAGGAGGACGAGGAAAGCGATAACGAAGATCGTGGTCTTGGAGAGCAATTGGTTGTTGGCCTGCAGGGCGAGCGCAAGTTGCTCGGTGAAGCCGATGGTGGTGTCCGTCTGTTCAGTGGCGGCGAGGCTATTGCCAAGGCGGATGACGAGGACGACACCGTCGGTAGAAAGCGCAGAAGGAACGTCAGATTCATGGATGACGAAGACAAACAGGATACACTGAATGATGACGACGAAGGGTTCGAAAGCGCAGAGGGTGATGAGGATGACGAGGAGGGTGACGAAGTTGATGGGGCCAGCGACGAGGAGGGTCTGCACCTTGCTGCCCCGGCAGACTTTGAAACCAGTTTCCGGGAAAAGCAAGACGGCAAAGACCGTGGAGCTAAAGATGACATCGCATTTGCCGACAGCGACTCCGACCTTGGCTCTATCTCATCTGTTGAGGATCAAGAGCTTGACAGCGATCAGGACGAGGACGATATGGACGGCGAGGATGACGGCGCATTCCGATGGAAAGAGAACATGGCTGCGAACATCAAAGCTCTTCACGCCAGCAGGCCTAAATACCGTGTCACCGACCTCTCGCGCATGATGTACGACGAATCCCTCGATCCCGCTGACGTGATCCGGAAATGGTCAGGCAAGGACAGTGAGGAGGAAGAGGAAGAAGAGCCTGAAGACGAGGGAGACGATTTCTTCAAGAAGACCAACAACGAGAAGGAGGAGCAGTCAGAGTTCCGCTCTGTCCCCGAATTCGATTATGAAGCACTGGAGCAGAAGTGGCAAGAGGAGGATCTGCTTGAGTCGTTACGCAGTCGATTCATCACCTCCCATCACTCCGGAGATGGAGACGACGATTTCGACGGTGACGAGGATGACGAAGGCGATGGAGAGTTCGAGGATCTTGAGACGGGAGAGACGTTTAATGGAATTGAAGACGACGAGGGTGAAGATGGCGATGATGACGAGGCCGAGAAAAACAACGGCCCCGTGGACCTGGAAGCTGAGCGTGAGCGAAATGCAAAGAAGAAGGAGGAGTTGAGACTCCGCTTCGAGGAGGAAGATCGCGAAGGCTTCGCAAATTCCAAGGACAACTCACGGCAGGACGGTGGCGGAGAAGAAGAATTCGGCGAGGACGAATGGTACGACGCTCAGAAGGCCAAGCTACAAAAGCAGCAAGATATCAACCGCGCGGAGTTTGACACCTTGGACCCGGCCTCTCGGGCTAGAGCAGAGGGCTTCAAGGCCGGTACGTACGCACGTATCGTTCTCGAGAATGTGCCTTGCGAGTTTGCGACGAAATTCAATCCTCGCTTCCCCGTTATCGTCGGTGGACTGGCACCAACCGAGGACCGGTTCGGATACGTGCAGATCCGTATCAAGAGACATCGTTGGCACAAGAAGATCCTCAAGAGCAACGACCCCCTGATCTTCTCACTTGGTTGGCGCCGGTTCCAAACCATGCCCATTTACAGCACGTCCGACAGTCGGACGCGAAACCGTATGCTCAAATACACCCCTGAGCACATGCACTGCTTCGCCACGTTTTACGGACCCCTCGTTGCGCCGAACACTGCTTTCTGCTGCGTGCAGTCCTTCTCCAACAAAGCGCCGGGCTTCCGAATCGCCGCCACGGGAACGGTATTGAACGTGGACGAACATACGGAGATTGTCAAGAAACTGAAATTGACTGGTATACCCTACAAGATCTTCAAGAACACTGCTTTCATCAAGGACATGTTCAACTCGTCGCTTGAAATTGCCAAGTTCGAGGGCGCGTCCGTTCGAACTGTCTCCGGCATCCGCGGTCAGATCAAGCGGGCTCTCAGCAAACCGGAAGGGTACTTCCGTGCTACGTTCGAAGATAAGATTCTGATGAGTGACATTGTCTTCTTGCGTGCCTGGTACCCGATCAAGCCACACCGATTCTACAACCCGGTGACCAACCTGCTCGACCAGGATGAGCAGGACGTATCGGGCGACAACGGATGGCAGCGAATGCGTCTCACCGGCGAGGTCCGTCGTGAGAAGGGCATTCCCACCCCCTTGAACAAGGACTCCGCCTACCATAAGATCGAGCGGCCCACGCGTCACTTCAACCCTCTCCGAGTGCCCCGACAGCTGGCCACCGAATTGCCCTTCAAGTCGCAGATCACCAAGATGAAGGCCCACAAGGACAAGACGTACATGCAGAAGCGTGCCGTCGTCCTGGGAGGTGAAGAGAAGAAGGCGCGCGACCTCATGCAGAAGCTCACCACGATGCGCAATGACAAGCAAAGCCGACGAGCCGAAAAGCAGGAGGAGCGACGCCAGGTCTACCGGGCCAAGGTTGCCGACAGCCTGGAGAAGAAACAAGAGCGGGAGAAGAGAGAGCGCGACGATTACTGGCGACGCGAGGGTAAGAAGCGCAAGAACACCGGCGATGAGGGAGGCGGCGGCGGCAAGAAGCGTCGTTAGAACCACAATCGGTCTGATTTTCCTTCTGGATCTGTTCTGTCTATATACCTGGCGATTTTGTTTTCGATTAGCTGGCAAAAGTTGTGTGAATAATGTCCATATGTATCTATCAACCTGTTGCATGGTGGATGGCGTTGAAACAAAAATATACATGGTGTTTTATGAATATACCTGGACATGACTGATCTAGAGTACATGTAGGATTCAGTGGTCATCCATCTGCCGAAGTACTACAGGCCTCACTGCACGGTGTCTCTTATAGTCCAGACTCTGCACCCGTCGACCACGTGACCGCGCCGCGCACGCGTCGCCTCCAGACGATCGACTTGACATGACAGTCGGACTTGTCTTATCGCATCGATCCCCACAACCTTCCCTGCCCACCTCATGTAGGCTGTCTTCCATTTTTTTGAGCCTGGGGCCAATTTCCGTCCTTTGATCCTGCCATTTTCTTCAAGCCAACTCCATTGGTCCAAGAGGGAAAGGTGCTCGAGCCGCGCAACACACCGGCCGACCACGTACCTATTTCGCGTATAGATTCCGGCGAGCCGCTCCTTGCAGGAATCTGCAACGCGGGGATTTTCTCACATCGAGGAACTCGGTCGACTGATTCGCTTCAGTCGTTCGGTGGACTTGAGAAGGCTGGAAGCGCTTGGGAGATCCGCATCGGACAGTCCCGCACCCAACTCCCCTCTCTTGAGACCGGGGAATCATCTAGGCGCCCGCTCTCGGGGCAGTGGTGGGTTCCCTCGTTTCAGGACCCTCTGTCCTAAACCATCTGCCCTGTCGGTGACCGGGTTGCAGATAGACAAGAGTTCTTCTGTTGGGTCAGCGCCCATAATCTGACTCTAGTTCTTATTACGCAGCCGCGCCCGGCGGAAGTGCCGCGTTGACTAGTCGACCATCATGGGCGGATCGCCGCAGCTGAGTGAGCGCCAACACGTGGAACACGCGCCGTTTCCTCCGCCGCATCTTAATTCGCAGTACCCTGTCTCGGCGGCTCGTGGGAATGGACTCGTGGACTCGCATCAAGTCCCAGACGCCGATCGACATGTCAGCCGTCGTTCAGTACCGGCTGCTCAAAACACAGCGTCACATCCTCGCGCCGAGACGGACCCTTTAGATTTGCCTTATAAATCGAATGCTCACCCAGGCAGCTCGGGGTCCTCCCAAGATCTCGTTCTCCAGTCGCAAACACAGAACCCGTCAGACTCGTTGGATCATTCGACCGTGCAGAGTGGTCATTCGCCCAAGCGGCCACAACCGCAACCACAATCTCAACCCATAGAATCGAGGAACCTCCCCACGATAGTTTCACATGAGGCTAGACCGACCCAAGATCCAAGAGATAACGGCGCCCAATCGTTTACAACACCCAAAAGTCCACCAGAAATGTTAGTGGGCCGGAAGCGAACGGCGATGGGCGTGGCCAAACCAGGCAGTCCGCAAGATCATTATAGTGCAGGTCAGACGAGCTCCGGAAGACGGCGTTCTGAAAGTATTGGCTCGCTTTCGCATGGAAGTAGGATCGCGGCTGTAAGTTGACAGCGCATATCTACTTGGCTGAAGTCTTCGAAAACTGACCTCAAAGAAGTTGTCCGTACATCTCCGTACCCGCCTGTCTTATGCTGCCTCCAAGATCGAGAAAAGCCGCCAAGCAAACAATGCTCGGTTTCCCATGGGACTACTGACAAATAACTCTCGAGCACCTCCCACGGATCCAGACACGCTGAAACGCATGGGGCTTTATCCATTCCCCGACGAATCATCGGAATCTCATCAAATAATGGACATGGGCTCTCCCGATGGCACAACTGTATCCGCGCCGGATCCGTCAGCGCCATCTCAGTCACATTTTCAACCAGAGCCTTTGCGAGCGTCGCCAACAATCTGCTCCGGTTCATCCACGCCGTTCATGCCCCATCACGATCGGTCAAGATCCCATGGTTCAACGCCAACGATCCCGCGACTTGCCCCGCCGGCAGACATCATTCCGAAGAGTAGTAATTCACGGCGTAGAAGGCCAAATCCCAACGAAGCATACAACCCTCACCGATACTCTCCCTTTCCCCTTCATCGGCGGCACCACTCGCAGCAAGAATTCGGTGTTTCAAAGCCAGCTACCAGTTCGGAAACAGTCCTGGTACCTGGGACACCTCCTCCTCAGCCGCTATCTGGGGCAATCTCAACGCCGTATGGCTCCTTATCCAATAGACATATACAAGGTACAGCGATGGAGCAGGATGCCATCGAGACTCTCCTTTTCATGTCCAGTCCGGGACATTCGGGCTATTATTCCCATTCCCAGAATTCTCAGCCTCAACCGAGCTTGATACAGAACAGCGTTAGCAACTCAAGAGACTCCACGTCCAGTTCGAGATTGGGGCAGGAGTCCCACCACAAGGATGAAAGTGACCGGTCCGGTTCCCATGGGCACGGTTCGAATGCTGGCTTGGAGTCACAAGCAGGTGATGAGATTGATCGTATGCTAGACCAAATGGACAGTGACAGCGAGGATGAGAAGGCCCTATCTCGTCATCAGTCCGACAATCTGAGCACAAACTCCAATCAGAAAAAGAGCACAAGCGAACAGGATACTCCAAGGGGGTCGTGAACCATCTGGCTGGCTATGAGTTATGTCATCGACCTACCGAACGACGTTGTAATCCTCGTTTCTTGCTCCATGGCTTCTTGGTTACATTGTTTGCATTATACACCAGAGACATCGTTCCGCACATAAACCGCAATTCTTGGGCGCCTTTGCAGTCACTATAATGACAGCATGAAGTGGAGCTTTTGATTCTTCTTGGTTGTGGGGGTTGACGGAACTTTTATATATATTATGACTCGCTGCTACGGTTTACATGTCAATTGGCTATAGCTTGAGCTATTGGATGGCTCGGAATGCCGTTGGAGACGTGAGACTGCAGGATGGTGGAGATCCTCGGCAACGCCGTTGTTTATCTAGGAAATACACCGACCGGTCTTGCGCCTTTTATCTTTATCCTCCTTCCATCTTTCCCACCGACCTCAATTCTACAACGCTTATCAAAAATGTCTACCAGCGACAACTCTAGCGGTCCATCGTCGACTCCCTTCGAAGAAGGGGCCTTTCTTCCAGGCGGACACAACACCGATCCCCCGCTCCCCGAAGACAGCCCCACGGCCAACTACAAGCTCAACCACCTCATGCTCCGCATCCGCGACCCCAAACGCACCCTCCACTTCTTCGTCGACCTCATGGGCATGCGCACCGTCTTCACCATGAACACCGGCCCTTTCACCCTCTACTATCTCGGGTACCCGTCCACGGCCACCGACCGCGCCGATCTCCCCGCCTGGGCCTCCAAGGTCTCGAACCCGCGCAATCTCGCCCAGACCCTCGGGCTGCTGGAACTGTGCCACGTCCACGGCACCGAGTCCGCCCCGGACAGCCAGATCTCCACCGGCAACGAGCCCCCGCACCTGGGGTTCGCGCACCTCGGATTCACCGTCCCGGACGTCCCCGCGGCTGTCGCCCGCCTGCGCGCCGAGGGCGTCACCATCTTCAAGGAACTCGGCGATAGTTCTCGCGAGAGCGTACCTCTGAGTCAATGGGAAGCGGACCGCGGTATCGGCGTCGGCGAGATCCATCCGAACTATAAGCGGTTTTTCGATCAGATCGCCTACGTGCTTGATCCGGTGGGTTGTCAATCTCCATCTACAGTCCTACACTACATACCTACCTACCTACACATGGATAGAAAACATCCAAAAAAGCGATAACCAGCTAGCTAACCAAACCGAGCTATCTCTCTGCTAGGATGGATACATCGTCGAACTCATCTCCCAGAACATGCAGTAATTTGAATTCTTCAAGAAGATACTGCAGACCCACTAACGGTTGAGTTGTTGCCCCCTCCCCCTGTCTCTTTTCTACCCTGGCCAATGCCAACCAGTCGATCAACCGGACTTTGTACATAGATACATACCATATATACCTGCAGGCACCAAAAATAAATAGACATGCATGCATTGAATGCAGTACAATACACTAACTACTAGCGATCACGTTCAAAGCAAATCATGAACTGCAATGTCTTCATCCTCGCACCGAATGCAAGTCAGAGGGAGAGAGCATGTACATACATACATACAATAGACATGCAGATGTCAGCAAAACAAGCGAAAGACGATATGCCCGCATTCAATTGATCATCCTCAAAGCGTAGGATAGATAACTAGGACACGAGAACACAACATTATACGTAGGCAGAGAAGGACAAAAAAGGTAGATAGATAGATAGGTTATGTATGCATTCGCGCACGTATGTATACAGAAACAGAAAACCAACGAGCAAAGAAAAAAAAAGAAGTGGTGGTTGTTGTTGTTGTTGTTGTTGTTAGACTATCAACGGCACCAAATAAGATCTATCATAACATAATCTATTCCATGCCCCAGGTATCATCCACCTCAGCGACATCGTAATCGACATCCGCGTTCCCGTTTCCGTCTCTCGGCTTTCCCGGCTGATCCGGCGGCGGCGGAAGAGAAGAGCTCGTGATGTCCATGGCGGTGTCTTCGTCGGAGGCAGTTTTGGCATCGGATTCGAGGCCCGAGGGTGCTGGGGGAAGGGAGATAGGGGGGTTGGGCACCCAGGCGAGCTGGACGTCGCCGACCGAGGGGATCTTCCAGGGTCCGCGCATGAATTTCTCGGCGATGTAGCGTTCCTTGAAGGCGACGATGAGGGAGTTGGGATCTTCGGAATGGGGCTCGATGGATTCGTATTCGCCGACGCCCTGAGGGGTGGTGTTAGTAAGTAAGTGAGAGGAGGGTAGAAGTTGGTTTAGAAGGGAGAAACTTACGATCAGGAACTGCCGCAATGCTTCGTCCTTCTCGGTATCAAAGTCAACGCCGGAGATGGCGATCCGCTTCGGTCGGTTGTCTAGACGAAGTACGCCGCCGCGCCCACGCGCCATACCACCGCGTCCGCGGAAGCCTCCACGGTAGGACGGATCGTATCCACCACGACCTCGTGGAGCAAAACCGCCTCTTCCGAGATATCCTCGGCCCCGACCACGGTAGCCAAAGGGGGAAGCCGATTCCGAGCCATTGGGGTCAATGCCGAGAGTCTTCGCCTCGGCTTCCAGAGCAGCCAATTGTGCCCGCAGTTGTTTGGTCTGGTCACTGGAGTTCTCTTGGGACGGAGACCGAGACTCTCCGTCTCCAGATCCATTGCCATTACTGGCGCCATCTCCGCCCAGTCTCCGCAGAAGCCGCTCCTTTTCTTCCTCTTGTTTCTTCAAGAGTTCCTCGCGCTGTTTCTCCAAGGCTTGTCGAGCGTCCTCGGTCTCCTTGCGCCTCTTCATCTTCTCTTCATGCGACTTTTGCGCCTCTTCCTGCTGTTTTTCGAATTCCTCGGGATCGAATGACGGCGTTTCATCCATGGCATCGCCCGGAGCTGGTCGCTGTTCATGACTGCGATCGTTCTTGGGCTTATGCCAGTACACCTTGACGAACCGGTTATCAAAGATCACCTTGGGACTGGACCACGCCCGCTTAGCAGCGGCATGACTGTCGTACGTGATCAAAGCGAGACGCCGGTGTGCCTGTATCGAGACTTCAACGATTTCACCGTACTGAGAAAAGAACTCGCGTATCGTTGCTTCGTCGAGTTTGTCGTCAGGGATTTGTTCGACGACAATCGTTGTGATCGAAGTATCGTCATTGGGACCGGCCGATGAGAGCTCTGTCCGACGTCCCCGGCCTCCAAATCCACCGCGGTCTCCCCGGCCCCGGCCGCGACCTCTGTCACTGCCACGGAATGGAGAGTCTATATTCCGTCTCTGGAAGTCCGTCACGATGTTAGACGATTTCGGATCATATTCTATGCAAAAGCTCGTGTTAGCTATCTGAAAGCATACGGGACGAATAGTGGGTGGAGCATACCGTCTTCCTTCGAGGCCCCGGGAATAGCGTCATGCTGGTAGGGGCAAGCTGCCCCGAGGTAACAAATACCCTGAGTCTCGTAGAAGGGACAACGTTCAGAAGTCTTCGGCATCATTTGATCAGGGGGTTGACCGGGACCACCTGTGGGTGGCATGGGCATCGGAGGCATTCCAGGCATCTGCGGGAAGCCCATGCTCTGCATCGCCATCATTGCCGCCATCGGGTTATTTTCATCAAACGGAGGGAACGAGGGAGGCATGACGGGGAAACCACCCGGCCCCGGAGGAGGGAATTGCCCCGGTCCACCTGGAGGACCACGCCCATCTCGGCCCATCCAATCTCCGCGACCACCCCCACGGCCCCGACGCGGAGTCTTGAAAGTCCGGTGCTGAGGAACATCCTCCCGATCCTGGTCGTTCTGGAAACCTTCGTGGAAGCTGCGCTTGCGGTTGAAGCCGGGCGCGTCAGTTTGCGACTGAGGGAACTGGCCCATGGGAGAGCCATATGCGCCCTTCGAAGGACCCGAGGGTGGGTTAAACGGAGCCGATTGCGGATTGAATGGCGCCGACTGGGGGTTAAACGGAGTCGACTGCTGAGGCGCCGACTCAATGCTGGGATTCTCATGGGCGAGCGAGGCTTGGGGCTGTGTCGGAGGAGGCTGTTTGGGCGCGAACGTAGCAAACAGCTCATTGACGAACTGTGCAGTATCTAGACCCCGGCCATGATTAATTAGAGCGAAGTTCCCCTAGTGTCAATGGGTACGGGTAATATCCGGCGCACGAACGTTCTCTCAAAAAATCCTCCAAATTCTCCTCCGAGGCCTTTCGGATCTCCTCATCCGGAGCATCGGTTCGGATAAGTGCCAGCACATAGTCAGCTAGGACATCGGCATCAGCGTCAGATCTGTGTGGGTTCACATTGTCATGATTAGCATCGAGTCCTTTTGTCCCATCCGGACAAGCTGCATCAAGGAGCCGTACATGTCCTCCAGCTTCTTCACCACCCAGTTCTTCACCTCCTCCGCTTGCGCTTCTGTGAGCTGCATTGTCGCACAGGTGAGACGGAGAAGGAAATCTGCACAGAAAGAATTTAATTCGACGTTCGCGGGCAGGGACCGTCGCGACGGTTGAGGTCAGGTGCAGTCTTCGATCGTTTCTTCCCACCACTCGACTGCAGTCTTGGGAGAATTCAGGTATATAGATGGCAGGGATAGAACTTGAAGAGACGGAGAAGATGTTTTTTAGAACAAGCCGATCAGACCATCCCGAGGCGGCAAGTGTAAGGGAAAGGTGATAATTCAAAGGAAAAAAAGTTGCGTAGCAGATCGCCGAAGCTGGGGAAACGCGAGCGAACGCGGATGACGGGTCACGTGGGCGGTGCAGAACAATAACCGCCAAGCCATTCCTACACCACACCGTGAGTTTCCCTCGACGGAGTAGTTCGAGTCCGATAAATACTATCCTTTACCATCTACGTCTACAGAGTGTATGCTACCACTTCGAACTTGTGAACTACTTTCTCATATTTTTTTTCTCTCGTCCAAAAGAGAACAGCAAACTTGAAATAGGAAAAAAGTCCTCACAGTCGTTAACATAACAATAAAAGAAAAGCCATAGCAAATGCTCGTGCACTCCTGGATTCTACTACTTCTAGGTATCGAAAAGGTCCACATACGACATTAAGCTGCGGTGTCTGAATTTTGGTTGTGTTGATTGTGGGTATGGCCCCTAACATAGACTTTGTATTGCGTTCGTCGATCTCATAAATGTAGGATGCCAGCTACTATTGAACTGACGCCTAAAAAGTTTGTAAAGAACGTTTTTACAGCTTGTCGTAGTACTAGATTGCAGTGTTAGTGATGTTTGAGAAAAGAAAGAGGGAAAGATAGCACTTACGTTCTCGTATCCGGGAACGTTCTCCTTGAGACCCTTGCGCTTACGCATCTCCATGACGACCTGACCGGGCTTGGTGGTGGTGTCAAGAGGAGATCCACCGGGGAGGATAGCCCAGTGATCGAAGACAGACTGGGGGAAGGCCTGACCACCGGTGGCCTGGCGGAGATCTCCGGGGAAACCGAAGGACTCGTTGACGGGCAGGTAAGCCTTGACGTTGAACAGAGGAGTACCGGGACGCTGCTCCTCAGTGTAGACGTGACCACGACGGCGGGTAAGGACACCGTAGATACCACCCATGGCCTGCTCGGGAACCTGGATCTCGACGTTGAAGATGGGCTCGAGAAGACCGGGGTCGGCAAGCAGGGTGGCGGCGTACAGAGCACGACGGGCAGTGGGGATGATCTGACCACCACCACGGTGGATGGCATCAGCGTGCAGGGTCACATCAAGGATGTTGAAGCGGATAGCACGCATGGGCTCCTCGGCAACGGGACCCTCGCGGGTGGCCCACTGGAAACCAGAGACGACAGAGTCCTTGATTTCGTTAAGGTACTGGACGGCCTTGGTCTGGTCAATGAGCAAGTTGGCACCGTTGGTGTCGGGACCGAAACACCAGATCTTACGGGCGTCGGTGACATCCCAGCCGTACTCGTCAGCCATGACACGGGCACGAGCCTTGAAATCGTCACGGGGGTTGATCTTGCCAGACTCGATGGCAAGGGCGACCTCCTCGTCCATGGGCTCAGCAGTGAGGTACAGACGGTTGTGCTTGTTGGGCGACTTGGAGAGAGCGGTCATGCTGGACTGAGCAGTAACGGTCTCACGGTAGGGCACAACGGGGTCGGAGATACGGAGGGGAATACCGGCGTGGTCCTCCTCGAGATCCTTCAAGCAGATCTCCAGGTGAAGCTCACCAGCACCAGCAACGACGTGCTGACCGGACTCAGAGATGAAGGTCAGGACACAGGGGTCGGACTTGGACAGACGCTTCAGACCCTCGACCAGCTTGGGCAGATCCTGGGCGTTCTTGACCTCAACGGAACGCTGCACGACGGGAGAGACGGAGAATCTCATGACCTTCAGGTTGTGGGCAGTCTCGGAGGTGGTGAGGGTACCAGACTTGAGCAAGAACTGGTCGACACCAACCAGACCGACGATGTTACCGGCGGGAACATCCTCAATGGGCTCGACGAAACGACCCATCATCAGGATGGTACGCTGGATGGCCTTGATGAAGAGATCCTCCTTCTTGCCAGGGGTGTAGTTGGGACCCTGGATACGGACCTTCAGACCGGACTTGACGGTACCGGAGTAGACACGACCGAAAGCGTAGAAACGACCCTTATCGGAGGTGGGCACCATCTTGGAGACGTAAAGCATGAGAGGAGCCTTGGCATCACAGTCACGGATACCGATGGCGCAGTCGTCATCAGCGGGACCCTCGTACAGAGTCTCGGCACGGTACTTCTGGGCGGTGACGGGCGAAGGCAGGTGGATACAGATCATCTCCAGCATGGCGTCGGCGGCGGGCAAGAACTTGCGCATGACAGTCTTGAGCAGAGCCTTGCCAACGAGGTCCTTCTCGTCGGAGGCCAGCTTGATGTCGAGCTTCTCAAGCAGGGTGGGGATCTCCTCCTTCTTGTCGTTGTTGACAGCGTTGAAGATCTTGAAGATGGGGTCCAAGATGAACTGGTTGAAGGCACGCTCAAGGGGCTTGCCATCAGCCTCGGGCTTGTTGGTCCACTTCTTGGTCTTGGGGTTGAAGTAGTTGTCACCCTATTCAGTTAGGTTAGCGACCGAGTTCCCATCATAGATTGGGGTTTGCAGAGTGATATAACTTACCCACAGACGCTCAAGCATCTTCTTGCGGTCAACACCGAACTTCTTGGCGTACTTGACGGCGAACTGGCGGACGGTGAAAGCCCAGCCGTGGAGACCGGAACCGAAAGCAACGGTACCGCGGTCGGGGTAGACCTGGACGTCACCAAGGGCCTTGTCGAGGTAGGTGGAGATGATGACGTTGACGGACTCGATGGTACGAGAGAAGGACTGGTACAGATCCTCCTTGGAGACCTGCAGCTCGAGCAGAGCACGGTCGACCTTGTTGATGATAAGGACGGGCTTGATACGCTCGGTCAGGGCCTGACGCAGGACGGTCTCGGTCTGGACACAGACACCGGAGACACAGTCGACGACGACCAGGGCACCATCGGTAACACGGAGAGCGGCCGTGACCTCGGACGAGAAATCAACGTGACCGGGGGAATCGATCAAGTTGATCAAGAACTCGTGACCATCGACGGCCTGAGGGATTTCCTTCAGATCCTCGGGGTCGGGGAACTTGGCGTACAGGGAGATGGCAGTGGACTTGATGGTAATGCAACGGTCCTGCTCATCGGGACGAGTGTCCATGAAACGGGTCTCACCAGCCTTGGCAGCGGAAATGATACCGGCACGCTGGACCATGGAGTCACTGAGAGTGGACTTTCCGTGATCGACTATCCCATCCGTTAGTATATATGGCCAGGTCCACAGACAGAATGTAGTTCGACATACCGTGAGCAATGACCGACATGTTACGGATGTTGGCCTTGCGGTCCATCAGGGACCGGATCTACTTCATAGTTAGTGATGATGTCTTCTTCCAGTTTTTTTTTTTTTCGTCTGCCAAGATTTTTTTTTTTCGCTCCTCATCGACTTGACAATCTGCAGTTTTGTATAGGCGCGGGGAAGGTATACGGACCTCTTCGATAGTGAAGCTGTAGAAACCATTGTTAGCATACTGATTTCAATGATTCCATAGCGATCCGAAGCTCGTAGCAAAGCAACAGAAATGGGGATAACGTACTTAACCATCTTGACGGTATTTCCTTGTCAAGAGCCTTAGAGGCGGGGTTATGAGATAAAAGAAAAAGAAAAGAGAAACGACACACAAGGATCCTGATCGAGGACTAACTCGACCTTCAGATCAATAGGACAAAAGGACCTATGTGCGCTACTCCAAAAGAACGGAGAACTGAGGGCTTCACGGAGGAAGGTGAAGAGGGAGAGGGAGAGAAGACGAGGTGGTCGGCAGAAGAGGGGAAGGACGAGAGAAAAGCGAGAGAAGTGGGGCCTGGGATTTTTTCCGATTTCAAATCCGGGATGTGCGTTTTTTCCCGCTTATGCCCCTCGTTATCTTACCGTACGGTTGTCTCTATGGCCTACAGTTGACTCGATTTGCCTCGCAACCATGGTTTATCCGTCTAGATGGCTCATCTTGTGAGTCACAGAGAAGAGCACTGTCAGCTGCAAAGTATAATGGACCATTCCCAGTGGCATGTCGATGCAAGAAGGACTTCTCCAGTATGGACTCTGGAGTCTGGACATAGTCATACGGTGGTATTACCAATCAGCATGACCATACTCCCTACTACTCGGTCAAATACCAGATATTACCAGATTGATCCGGTCGTGCAGCAACTCGCCACCAACCCTACTTGAAACTGCCTAGCACTGCCCGGGGTTTTGGTTGATTACCAAGCGTTGCCTCTGTGGCATGACCTTAGGAGTACTATCGAAATTCCTCATAATAATAGTAATAGTTATGATAATAAGATGTCTGTGTCCATGAGTCGAAGCTCGTAAGCTCCAAGTAGATGATGTAAGAACCGGACAAAGAGAAAGTGCGGATTGCATGACATGCAATACATCCATACAGTCTTACAGTCATTAGTCTCTAACTCCTTCTTAACTCCGCTTGGGCATGGAGGGGCCTGCAGATTCTTTTTTTTTTTTTTTTTTTTTTTTTTCGGCCTCTCCTCCGGTGCGGGACTTGCAATAACAACAAGTCAAAAACCGCCCTGATCTGACATCGATTTAGCGTCATCCTGTCGCCTAAAAATTTGGCAAATTTTTTTCTCACCATCTCACGCTCGAAATTTATCTTGGCTGACTAAGGCCCAGCGCATGTGCCCTCAATGATCCATGCCTTTGGCTGGAATTTAATTTAGCCTTGATGTATTTCTGGATGCTTATTGTTTGCTTTATCAGAGAAGAAACCACCGATATAATTCCTCCGGATCATTTTTCAGGGACACATTAGTATGTCGGTTGTTGTCTGATTTCAAGGACAGTAGTCTTCTAGTGTAATTTCCCCGGCTCTTGTAAAGTGGTCCAAAAGAATCATACAATCGAGCAAAATACTTACTAGACGAAGACTAATGCTCTACTCCATAGCAACATGCGGGGAAGCATGGTAGGTAAGCTTCGTAAGGTTTGCGGTTCAATGATCTGCTGCGCCTGCAGTATCACTGTATACACAACGAAACTGATCGCTACCAAGCTAAAAGGACTTGAATTCTTTTCCTACAGAATGAGAACATCTCAGGAAAGAGCTCTCTCTATATGATTTGATCTGGTTTTTTATCCGTTGTTGCTGCTAATTTTGCTGTGGTGTGATGTACTCCGTATACTCGCGTACCCACCGAGTAATAGAATTTGAGACCTTCAGTATAGTGAAATGAAACAAAATAAAGACTCGATCTGATAGTATTCTATCATTAACCAATTCTATCCTCAGTAGTAGTAGTATTGGATCAACGTCCGGAACAAGGAGTAGGCGGAACCAGATGACCCTTGTACCTCGAACCTACCTCACTTTACTGACCTTCTTTGGGTATTGGGACGTGCTATGCCAATGAATCTATATCTAAATGAATAACATGACCTGTCGAGTTGGCGATGTATCTGCATGCATATATCTGTAACACCCCGCGGTCGGAGAAGCAAAGAACCAACAAAGGTGAATCCTCAGATAACCCCCAAGAAGAGTAAGACAAAATCACTGAGTACCGTGAGACATATATACTTCTTAGATCTTAATCTTCCAGGTTGTCTACGCTCGTAAGTTTTTATCTTGTAGAGTGAATCCGCTATCAAGATCAGATAAGATTGCCCCTGAGAATCACCCGCTGCTTGGGTTGCCGTTCAACGTTGCAACTTTCTAGTCTGTACAACCCCCATTCAAACATACGGATCACCCTACCTGCCAGGCTGCCACCCAAAACCCCCCATCAATCTGATCCAATCCATACTATACAACATCTCAACATGCAAGTGAACCCCGATGTTCCAATCAATATTGTCCTTGGCAAATGCCGCACGCGGCCTTGGCGCTCAATGCCCAGCGTCTAGTGCCCCAACTTCGAGGCTGTGCCCCCGTCAAACCAAAGATTTTTCTCCCCTCCCATCTCAGCAGCAAATGGCTTGGGGTCTTTTGATCTGATAATTCTGTTGAACGTTAAGCTCTCTTGTCGTGGTCTTGGTATTCCTCGTTGTTCGTGAACCGACTCCCAGATTCCTACCAGCTCGGAGCTAGATACAGAATACAAGCCGGCAAAGATGACTCCGACGCTGACGGATCCGTTCGATCTCCTACAATACAAGACATCGGTGGCCGAACAGCGACGCTGGGTGCCCTTTTCGAAGTCTGACGACAACGAGAAGAACGATTTCTACCGCCAGCAGAATGAGATGATCGACGGGTTCCTGGGGAGCGCGGACGAGGAACGTCTCAAGGCTGAAGATACCGCAGAGAACGGAGGCAAGGTGAAGCTGGCGGTGCGCGCCAGTTTCGTGGTCAATTTCTGTCTCTTCGTGATTCAACTCTACGCGGCCATCTCTACCGGCTCGCTCTCCCTCTTCGCCACCGCTGCCGACGCGTTCATGGATCTTGTCTCTTCCATCGTCATGCTAATCACGTCGCGCATGTCCTCGCGTCCCAAACCATACAAATACCCCGTGGGGCGGAGACGTATCGAGACGATGGGCGTCATTATGTTCTGTGCCCTGATGACCACCGTGGCCGTGGAGCTGATCATCGAGTCGGCCAAGTCGCTGGCCGGGGGAGAAACAGATTCCGATGACCTGGCCACGGTGCCGATTATTTGCGTTGGTGTGGCAATTTTCTGCAAGTTTGTACTGTGCGTGTACTGCTATGGCTTGCGGCGGTACCCGGCGGCCCATGTCTTCTTCATCGACCATCGCAACGATCTGGCCGTGAATGGCTTCGGTCTGATCATGTCTGTCGTGGGTGATCGGTTCGTGTGGTACCTCGATCCCATCGGTGCATGCTGCATTGCTCTCCTGATTCTGTTCTCGTGGGCCTCGACCGCGTTCGAGAACATGTGGCTGTTGGTCGGGAAGTCCGCTACCCGCGAGTTCCTGAACAAGGTTGTCTATGTGACGTTGACGCACGACTCGAGAATCGAAAAGGTCGACACTGTAAGTTCTACCTCTGTCCCCTTTGTAGTGTTATCATGATTGACCCGTCTAGTGCCGCGCATACCATGCCGGACAGCAACTCTATGTCGAAGTTGATATCGTCATGGACCCGGAGACCAAGCTGCGCGAGTCTCACGACGTGAGTCAAGCGCTGCAGCGCAAGCTAGAGGGCCTTGCCGATGTCGAGCGGGCATTCGTACATGTGGATTATGATTATGCTCATGATATCCACGAGGAGCACAGGCCCTTGTATGATCAAGTCGGGGCTGATTCATCGATCAGGACCTTGGTGAAGCGGTTTTTGTTTAAAGATGACCCTAAGACTGATGTAGAGGGAGTAGCTGGATAGGTGGGGTACTCAGAGGCAGTATTCTCTGATATCATTGATGTTCAAAGCGGTGCCAGCATTATAAATATGTCGTAATAATATATTGGAGTTAGTTTGTTAGATTAGCCAGCGAGGCGGTCCAAGCAAAGGGAAGACGTCTGTTGTTTAGTGAAAGAATACCTAATTGCCATTGTATCGTGTAGATACTTGGAGTCAAGTATGACGGAACATGGCTAAGGCTGGACGGATGGGGAAGGATAGGGCTAGGGCACCATGTGGGTCACCTGCCATTTGCCCAGCTCTCAAGGTTCTCTTGATCGGGTAAATCTTCTCTCCATCGTCCCAGACATCTTGGAGATACGAGCTCATCAATGTTATCCAACCATAGAGTTTTTCATCAAAAGCTCGTTCAGGGCACTCTTACAGACAGAAAGAATGGAATATCATGATATGTCCCGATGATGCTCTCACCGTCCTTTACTATCTACATACACCGATAACATCTAGATTGTAGGCATAGATACATCTGCCTAGTCCGAAGGATCTTGCAGGCTCTTCGAACAGAGGATAAGTGATTAACATCAGTAGTGGTATCTCCCCCTACGAGTCCATGTGTGTATCCCTCTACCCCGTACACGTACCAGATTCATCCCTCTACACATGGTCTATCTTACTCCACTTCCCCTCTCCCTCCATATATACCTATAACAATCTATACGGACATACATATCCAACAGCAACGATGTTCGGCGACGGCACCTTGCAATACCGCCACGGCATCGCCGCCGCGCAAGTCGTCACCTTCACCGTCTCTCTGGCATTCAGTATCTGGTTCTGCCTACGCGGCCGAATCGGCTGGTTCTGTATCGGCATGCTCTCGATCATCCGTCTCGTCAGCGCCAGCTGCATGCTCTGCACTATCAACAAGGACGCGGACGGGCTCTGGGCTGCCGTGTTTGTTTGCGAATCACTCGGCATGATCTTGATCATCTTTTTGCTTCTTGAAATGTTGGAAAGAATGTACGTATACCTTCCCCTTCGCCTCCCAGAGACACAAAAGCAAAACCACAACTAACACCCATAAGAAACAAAACCCACCCCACAACCCCCCGCCTAGTATTCATAATCCCCCAGCTCCTAACCTACCTCGACATCTGCATCTCAATCGCGGGCTTCATAGCCGTAACAAAAAAAGAACACGCCCTCCTCCCAACCCCCTACAGCCGCGCCGGAACCGCCCTCATCGTCTTAATCTACCTCTGGACCGTCGGCGTATTCCTCACCTTCCACCTCCACCGATCAAGCTTCCCCGCCATCGAAAACAGAACATGTCTTTGTGTGGCGATCTGCGTACCGATATTAGCTGTTCGGGTGACGTACTCGCTCGTTTTTGTCATTACGGCGGATATGGCGTGGAATGCGGTAAAGGGGAATCCGGGGAGGTGTCTGGGGATGATGATGCTGCCGGAACTGGGGATTGTGGGGTTGTGTACGTGGATGATTTGGGCAATTCCGGCGCTGGAGAAAGAGGAAAGGAAGAAGGGGAGAGGTGGGAAGGATGTCGAGGGGGATGCTGGGAGTCAGGATATTCCGTTGGTTAGGTGAAGTGAACTAGGTAGTTCACAAATTGGGAATTCTTTTGTATAGACTGCTTGATGTTGCACTGGATGGCAAAGGTTTTAAGATTTGATAGATACCCGATTAGGAGGAGACGCATGCATGCACCTTACGAACAATGACAGTGGCAATGACAATGGCAAGGAAAGATTATGTATTAACAACTAAAACTATATACAGACTTTAAATACTAGACAAGAAGTAAAAAGAGAGAAAAGAAAATGTAAGGGTATATATACAATCTTCGCATACGAATCAAGATCAAGAAGACCCAAGAATCTTCGCATACGCATCCTCGACCTCCTTCGCGACCTCCAACAAAGTCACAATAATGATCTGATGCGTGATATTCGGCAACTTATCCCTCTGCAGCCCAATCCACTCCAACGGCGGCGTAGCCTCGCCCATATCACGCAGCTGTGGGGTTTCGATGACAGGCGGCTCCAGCGCAATATAGGTATTCTTGGACTGAGGCACGTTAACCACGGCAGTGATCTTCTCCTGCTGGTCGCTTTTGTCACCGCCACCCTCGCCGCCGAGGCCACCGGTGATGCGGACCGCGGACGGCGGTAATGGCTTGCCCAGGCGCGAAGCCAGGGCGCGGGAATGCGTCTCCCACATGTCTCGGATGAAGCTGATGCGCGAGTAGTTCCATCCGACATCGACCTTGCCTTCGAAGGTGCTGCGGAATATGTATTCGATCTGAGGGATGCCCGGTTCCTGCCACGTCTCCATGGTGGCGACGAGTCGGGGCACCTTGAGGATGGTTCCTCCGCTTGAGCTGACCACGCGGTTGGCGATTTCCCCGACGAGAAGCTCCTCCATGCCCATGGAGTTCGGACGTACGATACCCGACAGGGCGACGCGCAGTTGGCCCAAAGTGAGCCCCAGGGCGCTGTGGATTTTACCCTGGTCGAGGGAGACGTCGAAACGGGCTTGGGCGTCATGGGCTTCCAGCTTCAAGACATGATTGTCGAAGAAGGAGCTGGGAAAGACACCGATGTTGACAGATTTGATTGTGACCACGATTCCAGTGTGTAAGGAGATCGGCGCTTTCTCGGTCTTGTCGTCTACCGGCGAGTCCAGATCCTTGCTGGGAGCTTCGGTTTTACCAGTGAAAGCGGTGGATCTTCGTCGTAGATACCGTTCGACTTCTCGCAAGGAAGCTTCATAGGCTGCCTGCTTATCTTGGATGAGTCTTTGCCAGGCATGGTAGAGAGCGATCGTTTGCGATGCAGTTAAACTCGTACAGAAGACCTGCACTTGTTTCCCCTCCAAGGTACTGAACAATCGCTCGCTTGGTGCGTCCGACTCGGTTCGCACATTGTACATTAGAAAGTCGAACATGGCGATGTCGGCAATGAGGAAGGGCTGGTAGTCAAAGGAGACCTTCACCTGGAACCGGTGGAAGGAAACGGAGGCTTGGATGAGCGGCGTTTTGATCTTGAGACTGTCGTCGGGCCACTGTATAGAAGTTTGTAGCTTGAGGGTTTGAAGTTCAATGAGTCCGCTCATTCGGCCTTTGCTTTCGATGCCTGCCGTATCGAAGCCGACGCAAAGAGTCTGCTCTCGATCGGACGATTTCTTCGTAGACAGCCAGAGATCATTGATGGCAAACTGGGCTTTTCCAAGCGACGATCCTAGATCAAGTTGAATTTCCAGCTTCTCGATCGAGATAGTGGTGTTCCAGGGGAACGCAGGCGCGGAAGCCACCTGCTGGTATCGCTGTACAATGTAGGCCTGGTTTTCTTGTGATTGCGGGGGAAATGAAGGACTGGCATCTGAGTCCTCCATTGACGGCACCCAGATCTCGCGGAAAAGCAGAAGATCTTGGACTTGTTTTGCGTTAAGAATCACTTGCATTGGGCTGATCCTGAGAACGGCGGAAATGCCCTTTGCGCTGCCTAGATGTTTGCTGTTCATCACAGACATTACCATTGAATTAACCTCGAAACTAGCCGTTGATTCGTTGGAGTACACGTGTTTCACTGACGCTCCCAAGGAGTTGAAAGCAACCTGGAGAGCGAAGAACCGTCCATATTCTTCCGACTGCACGGTGTTGACTGTAACGTAGGCGCTGTCGAATTTGGCAGTAGCGGCCACCCTGGCGATGGGCTGGCAGCTCAGACTGAATTCTTGTTTGCAGATCATGAGGCCCACGTTCAGCTTGCACCGCCCGAGAATCGAGTCGGTGTCCTGCTTTTCGAGTTGAGTCTCCTGCATCAGCTTCTGCGGTTGTAACATTACCGCAGCGGACGGTCGTCGGGGTCTTCCTCCCTGGTCTCCCATGACTTCTTTGACAGTCTCCGTCATTTGCTTGACAAGTGGGACAAGACTCGGGTATAAAACATTCGTGGAGGCATCGACCTTCAACTCGGCATTGAGTGCCGAGTCTTGCTGGTTGTCCTCGAACTGAACCTTCAAGGCCACGCCAGGAGCCCTGAGCGTTGCAGTGGGCGTTGTATCTCCTTGAATGTACTGACCGTACTTTGCTTCCGACAAAGTGCCCTTCTTCAAGGTCGCGGTCAGCATTGTCTGGGGATCATCTGTGTGCGTCCCCTGCAGTGAAACGATGGCACCGGCAAAGTCGACATCCACCAACACTGACTGGAATCGTTTGTTTCCAAAAAGCGAGTCTTGCTTGGGATTGTCCTCAGTCTGTTTGGGCACAAACGTGGAATTGGCTTCACGAACAACTCTGCTAGTGGCGGCAATGGAATCTCGTATCATGCTTGCCGGAAGAATAAAGTCCGATGTGAGCCGTATGTCAAGAGACTTACCAGCAGCCTGGAAGGCAAGCCGAACCTCGTCACCAGCAGAAGAATAAGCCACGTTAAATACCAACTCGGGCAGCAAGGCCGAATTCAGAGATCGCTTTTGCCTGCTGGCGGAGTATGGAACCAGCTGCAACTGCATATCTTCAATGCGAAGCTTCGCAGCGTTTGCTTTCTTGTTCGAAAGATCCACACTCTTGATGGAGAAGACCAGATCGTCCGGCCTCCGCACAGACGAAGGTACTGGCACTGTACTCATATTCCAGGCGATTTGGATGTTGTTGAAATCCAACGAGTACATAGCATTGAAGAAATCCTCTGATTTTGAATCCTCGTTTACCTGGATATCGGGAATTTCCAAGGCTTTCTTCTTGGGTTCCGGATAGCCTCGCCGTCGCAATTTCTTTAATCGTTTGACCTCATGAGTCAAGTCCAATGTCTTGATACGCTCCTGGAGATGAACAGCCATATCAACTACCAGTTCGGCCGTCTCGGAAAACAGTTCAACGTTGAACTGCTTGCTGCTGAAATGATAAACTCGCCTAAGATCGCCGTTATCACGTCTTATCGAGGTAGCTTCAAGTTTAGCATCAACGGTGAAACCACAGTATGATCGGCTTTTGAACGCCTCTTGCCGTCGGAGATCGAAGCTGATGTTGGATGTATCGATGTGGAACTCGGGATATTCCATCTCGACACCATCGTCAAAGCCATTATCTAGGCGCATGCGCACCATCCCAAAGCTAAAGTCCATGTCTGCCGTATAATTCTTTCCGTTAACAGCAGGTGCAGTGGCATGGATTTTAGTCCCCGCCATGGTCATGCGCGCTTTGTAAAGAAGCGCATGGGCATTAGACGGCTTCCTTTGCTGAGGGGGAGATTTGTTCAGGTCGAGAGCGTCGTTGAGATGGAGTTGCAGGGTCTCGACATTCTGTTTGAGGTCTGACATGAGATGTGAGAACTCAGGAGTCCCCAGAGCACCCAAAAGACTTCGCACTGCACTGGCTTCCAGCTGGATAAGCTCGATAGTGACGTCGACCTCGATATCGGTACGATTAGATGACAAATTCGCAACAACCCGACCGTTGATGGGCGGGATTTCTAAAACTGACAAAGGACGCCGGCCGCCCTTTTCGCCCGACATGAATGTGTGTAGGTTCTTCTTCAGGTCGAAGTCTACCTCGATTTTCGACTCCATGGTCTGTATGATGGATGTTCGCGCAACATCTCCGGAGATGACGTATGTCAATGACGGCAAAACACAGAAGCTCAGCCGATAATCGTCCAAGAACATCGCAATGTGAAACATGTTATGTGTCGTTTTCGCTGCTGCAGGCGTTTCACTCAGTTTGCGAGCCGGAAGATCTAGATTGGTCGCTAGACGGTGGATATATCGGACTTCGTCCTCGATCAATCGATCTGCTGTATGCGCAAGGTTGATCAGGTCTTCCTCCATGACGTATAGAAGCTTTTTGCATGATCCGGCAACCTTCCACTCATTGGTGATCTCATTCTCCGTTTCCTCAGACGCCCGAGAAAGATAGACATGCGGGCTGCCGATTTTCCAAGACATGAGAACTTTGGTCAGATTGGACAATTCAGAAAATCCAGCTTGAGAACTGAACAAGACAGCCATGCCATCGGCACCGTCAACAACGGATCCTTTAAGACCCTGACTAATACAAGCCAACTTGATGTTAATGCCGTCCAGAGTGATAGATCCGAGATCAGTACCGAAAACAACTTGCAAATCGTCTCGCCCTTCAGCCTCGTCGCCTGAGTCATGGATTTCTCCAGGGGCGGTGGACTCCAATTGAACGTTAGCCATTGTGTTCATCACACTTTCGACAAGTTCTAAGATTTCCCATCGCAAGCGAAGGCTGATGGACGAAGAATAATTCTGAATGACATTCAAACTCTTGTATCGCTCCTCATTCTTCGAATTCATGTACTGTTGTGGACTGACGGTTACAGCCGTGGACATGTCTTCAATTATGAAATCGCTTTCTTTTGGTCCCGGATCGATAGAGAACCTGAACATTTTCACCGTAGAAGAAAATAATAATGGCGTTGGCGAAGCCTTGGACTTAGTTGGGGCAAAAGAGTCCCATACTCTTTGCATAACGTAGCTTTTTTCGACATGTGCCAAGTCCCACGCACGCCACTGATCGAAACTATTGAGGACAATCGTCCGAGCATCTTGGGGCAGTGACAAGTCCTGATCTAGACACTTTGAAGCCAGCTCTTGCTGTTTATCCGAGGGCAAGCGATTATAGACGTTGCGGATGCGAGATATGATCTTCCACGAATCGTGCTGCCGCACATGGGTCGGCGCCACTCGAAGCACATACGAAATGCGTGTAAGAAACGCAGGATCGGGTATATCAGCAGCCGCTTGTGTAAGGTAATAGATGAGCAGACGTAAGCGCTTGCTATCAAGCGAGGAGCTGTGCTGGAATGAAGATGCGACAGAGTCGAGCATGGTCGTTGTGCGACGAACTAGGAATGCCAGGTGTTCCACTGATTTAGTGAACGTGACGGTATCAAGCGCTCGTGCCTGGAAATGGGATCTCATTGTAGGCTTCGTCACAAGCCAGAAGTTCATGTCACCAAGGACACAGCTGAGCTCAGCCTTTTCTTGATATGCATGGCTCTTGTTTCCTTGCACAGATATTGAAAAGCTTTCGGCGGCTGCATGGACGGTAGAGCTTTTACTTATACCTGCTAAAAGGTCATCCTTGTGCCGGTCAACTCTCGTTCGAAGCCCTGTGTTTAGGTGCATTATTGCAAGGCTGTACTCGTCTCGGAAGCCATCCTCAGAATGGGCTGGTGGTTCATACGTGTTGACCAAGTTCACCAGGATAAAGGGGGCACGGATCGCAAATCCCGTTGACTTCTTTGGATGCTTCAAGGATTTTTCAGAGCCGACGATATCCGAGATTACATCTTTCTGGAGCGAGTCAATGATCTCAATCGGATGTCTCGGTTGCAGTCTCCCAATCAATGTCGCTACCATGAAGAGAAAATCAGGTGTGCAGTATCCTTTGACCCCAGATGGCAACTCGAGCGCAAAATTAGTGTGCGTTGTTTCATCATCTTCGAAGGGAGAAAATTGAGGGTCAAATCTCGTCACCTCTGAGCTGTCTCGAGGAGCATCATTGCTAGAAATAGGGCCATGTGGTAGATGGGACATATCCAGTTTAACCTTGTGCAAGGTAAAGTTAGGCATCACCCAGGGGTTTGTGTTTGGAGCATTGGCTGAAGATTCCTTGGCATATTTTTTGCGCTCTTCGAGCGAAAGTGACTTTTGCCCGTCTGTTCCCAGCGTTTGGATGTGATCCTGCTGGCTCCTCGAAGCTCCACTTGCTGCTCTATTAACGCTGGATGCCCCCCTACGGCCACTTCTTATGCTTGAAGAGTCTAAGGACACTAGGAAACTCTTAGAGCTTAGAGGGTTCCTATTTCCTGCGAACTGTTTGTCCAACGACGAAGCCAGTCGCCCTGAGCTTCTGAGGAGGGGCTCGGGCATTGTCGGTATAGGAATGGTTGGTATGGGGTATTTGTCGCTTTTCGCATGCATTGACTCAGGATCCATGTCGTCCCAGTCAAACAGCAGCCACGGTGTTCTCTGGGTCCTCTCGTCATGCGATCTAATGTGTTCCTGTTGCAATTTCCGCTCTTCAAAGATGTTGTTTTTCCTCTGCGCCATTCGTAGTTTGATCGTTGTCTTGAAGATCGCAAGTGGGCTCACTTCCGTACTCAGAAGACTTCCAAATCGACCGACAAAATTGTAGTCAAGCGCAGAGATTGAGAGATCCGGTACAAGGAGGCTCATGCGCTTTGAAAATCTTTCGTTTGCCCAGTCATTAAATTGAATCGTAACAGTGCCGGAACTCAGCAGAAATGCAGCTTGATCGAGAAGCACGGAGAGGTGTATTGAATCGAACTTCGCGCGTAGGAAAGTGACATCGTGAAGTATAAGCGGGAACAATGGCGGGAGTGCATTCTCTTCGTTGTCAAAGGAAAAATCGAAACTCTTCAGGGCTGCACCCAGGCAAGCAAGAAATTCAGCCGAGCATTCTCCAACGATCTGGCCCACGCCAAAATCCCAATTGCAGACATACGTTGGCTCTGCAGGTGGTAAACCAAACAGACGATGACCGTGGACCGAAACACCGTCAATGAAGAGCTGGGTATCGGACACGGTCGAAGGTTGATTGATCACTTGCGACTCCAACCCCACCTTCAGCGGAGCAATTGAGAACAGTAGGTCCATGTAGTAGTTGGTAAACCGCAAGTCAATTTCCAGCGACGGGGCAGTCAGTCTTAGGCAGTTCATGTGGTCATAGACGTTCTCCGGAAGAAGGGCGCAAGGGTTGTCGACTGTGACATGGACAATCACGTCGAGATCATTCGATTTCCTGTTTGGATTTATCCCACTGTGCGACTCTGGTTGCTCCTTACTGTACGCAAGCTCTTGGAATTCCTCAAGAGTTTTAAAGTGCATGTCTTCCCCGAAGTAATTCTCTTTGACGGTCATGAAACACCGAATCAGAAATCCAAATAAGTAGAGCTTCGGTGATCGCCCGTCGATGTTAAGGAACAGTGTGTCCGTCAACTCGGATGACGTAGAAAGATAATAATTGTAGGTCCCATCGATAGAAAGACCTTCCAGAGTCGCAGCCGATTTGTCTTGTAAGAACGTGTGTAGCGTATCCCACAACGGACTGCAAAAGTCTATGCCAGCATCGTGCAGCTTGACACTAAAATCCACGGCATTCTGCTCATTCCGGTATTTGTTCAAAGGAATCATGACATCGGAAGTTAGCTTTTTGCCTTTGATCACAAGCAAACGATTGTCATCTAAATCGGAAGGATCGCTGATAATGTTCAGATCATTGACATTCACAAACAGCTTCAAATCCACGAAGGACAGACTGAGTTTGTAGATGAATGGCACAAATGTGTAGTAATCTGCAGGAGGGCCTGATCCCCAGTCCCCAATTAAGTCCGTTAAGAGGAAGATGTGATCTCGTAACAGGAAGAGCTCCATATCAACGTTTTCAACATCGAAGATCCACGTCCGAAGGGTGTTCCAAATGAGAGGAACGGAGAGATCACAGTTGACAAGCTGCTTGGGACATTGCCATAATAGGGCATGATTGACGCTAGATGACATCCTGGAGTCACGAAGATCGAGATCAAGTTGACTTGAGAATCCAGATTCCGAAGCGACCATGTCCATGGAGTAGTTTATGGTGGAATCGCCGGCCACACGAAGTGAAAACCAGCCAAAGGGACGAATGTCCGGACCAATGTTCCCTTTGTCACCATCGGCAGCCCTGGGCTGTCTCCTGCGCTGCTGCTTCTTTAATTTTGAAGCACCTTTTATTGCGTCAGCTCTGCCTTTCCACTGCCAGTCCTTGGAAGGCTCTCGTGTGGGGACGCGCAAGGTCAACTCGTCGCTAATTTCCACTCGAAATTTGAACACGGAGTTTTTCCTGAGGTCTCCAGGCGCTAAAGGCTCCGCGGGTTGAGAGCTTCGATAAGCATTAGGGAAGAAGACATTCTGCAGGCCAACTCGCTCCCGATCAGCCCATGGGCCGTAGTTGATGGTTCCACCTTCAAGTTTGACATCAATTCCCCATTCTGGAGGCGGCGCGCCATTGAGATCCTGCGAAATTTTGCCAGATGCAGGCGCCTGCGCGGACCGGGGCCGAACGCACCCGGGAATATCCCAGAAATAGGTTACCGTCATACTAGGGGTATCCAAAATCGTAGAAAATCTACCGTACTCAATGGAGCTCCACTCGCTATGGTCATCCTGACTGGCTTCATCCAAGTACCGAGAGAGGCCAACCCAACGCACGTCGCTGCTACCATCAGTCTGGTGTCTCGGGCCATTGTCGGTCGGCTTTTCCGTCACATGGAATGATTCAACGGACGTCTGGAAGTAAGGAATCAGATCACGGATACTATGCCACACTCTTCGCTTCTGGAACTGGTAGTTGAAAATGGTATCCCTCTTGCGCTTTACTCCAGACTTATCCTCTTCTGTTGAACTAATACCTTTTGCAGTGGCGAACTGATTCTGCTTGAAATCCGGGTTGGGTCGCATCTGAATAACGGGATGGCTTATCTGGAATGTGAAAGCCTGTCGGTAGAGGTCCAATGGTCCAGCATCGCACGCCTCAATCAATCCCGTCGCGCCGTCAAAAGTGGTGGTCAAGACCGACCTCGTATTCTCATTGCCCATCACAATAGCGCCCTTATCACATTCCAACCTTAGAGGCAGGAGCCGGAGTAGGACGTTCAAGCTTTCCTCCATTTCTTGCTCAGCGCCTCCCACATGCTGAGTGTCGATCGTATCCCTGCCCGTCCTACTCCGCCCCGGAACATTGTCTGTAGATGATGTCCTGTCAAATTCCGACCTGCTTGCATCGGGACTCCTCTCCGAATGCGCCTTTAGTTCAGGATCCACGGCATTGCTTGCTGGGTATTGCGGCTTGGTATAGGAGGCTGAATTTTCCGTGAAACCGGCGAGGATACTGTCGTAGGCGGGGGTTCGATTGTAAATGAACCACTCAAGTCCGTAGAACTTGGCAGTAATGCGACAAGGGAGTGTGTCCGGTCGGCACTGGCCTCCTTGTTCCTTGATCCCACTGTCCCCGACACCGCTGGCGCGATCGTCTTCAGGAGTTCGACCATTTTCTCGCTTCTCATCGGCTTCGAGACCGGACAAATCTGTTTTCCTAACCGACCGTTTCCAATAGCACCATGTTATAAAACCTCCATGTACAAAAATCGTTTCATTCACTCCATGATACCGGATGCCCTTGAAGAAGATCCTACCCCCGAGCAGGGAGACTTGGAGAGCGTGGATGTCAACGTATGCGCGATAGTAATGCCACGTGTAGGCTCGAATTCCGTATGAGAGGAGGGTTGCGAAAAGGCGATTGAAATAGAGGAGGAAGAACAACACACTATGATATCATTGTTAGCTTGAGCGTGTCGCAGGTTTCAGGGAGTTGATACCTACAGAATGCAGGAGACGATGATCTCAAGAAGAAAATACCTATTAGGACGTTAGCCCCTGCGCGACTGTCGCGATCCAGCTACCTACCAGTTAAAGCTCGGATCAGGAGTGAGAGTTAACGTGATCAAGCTTGTATCTGCCATCATTCAATATCCCAAGACCGCCGATGGCCGCGACCATGGCGGTGCGGGACGATTAAGCTTCCCTGGAGAGGGTCCTGGACGAGTGCATGTCACCGCGATAGTTCAATCATGCGCTAGAGACCAAGGCCAAGAAACTCATATAGAAGAAATGGAAGAGACAAAAATCACGTCCATCCTCTGGATGTTGCAGATGGGAAGTATTGTTGGCAGCCGCAGCCCACTTGTTTCTAGGGGCTTTCCAACTTCATTTGCCGGCATTATTCCCTGCCGCCTTGGTCTCTCGCCGCTTTAGCAGTGACCCAAAAGGGTTAGTGCGTCTGCGGGCCGTCGGTCTTTTGTTTAGCGCGGATTTGTTCTGCCGTCCTTCGTCCCTGAGGACATCTCCTCTACTCCGGTGTATACTGTACTCCATAGTGTTAGGCTGTCAGATCATCAGGGTATCCCGGACAAACTGGCCTCTCACATGCTGAGACTGAGCATACCCATACCCGCAATGACCTTCAAATATCAATTACCGCCCGAGTAATCCTCAGGTTACACCGTGCCTGCTGACGAAATACCTGGCATGGTTCACAATGCCCCTTGAGGAACCCCAAGGTTGAAGTTCGGTTTGACAATGATACCCCTGAGAAGTATCCCATGACATCGCGATCTTACCTGGGTCCTCTTATCGTCATACCATTGGGTGGCTGGTCGGGCAACTTTCAAACCTCTATGTTTACACCTCTCCGCCAGTGCCTGTCATTGGACATGCGGATGGTACAGCCCGTTCGAAGGTCTCAGAAAGTGATACACTTCCACTCGGGCCGTCGAGTGATACTCCCTGAGACATATACGACATGTGCAGCCATCACGTGCTGGTAACAGGTGTTGCTCCCTTCTTCAGATGGGGTTCAGCAGTCTCCTTGCACTCTCGAGGTTGTTGGATCAATGTATAGCAACTTCTTGGAGTCTTAGATAGACATAAGTGACGCCGATTGGTGCTCATTGAAGCCCATATCTCTTGATGATATCCATCACCAATCCGTTCCCTGGGCCGATATGGCCGTCATTCGGATACTATCTCTCCTGTCTTTCGAGTCTGCTTTATGAACCGTTTCATTGCCTGTTCCATGGCAGATCCTCATCTGTTCAGAACAGCGCTATACAATGTGTAGACATTGAGAAGGAGTCTCTATACGTAAGAGTTATCCAACTGGCCATCGTGAAGACCGTTAACCCTCCACAGACTAGCAGCTTACTCTCTGCCAAAACTCCGCACGCAATTGTTACTATGAAACATCGACCGGCTATCAAACAATCGACTAACCAGAAACTCTTACTGATAGGCATATTTGCAGAAGTCTATCTAGTGGACGACAAAATCATCAGGAAAGCCCCTCGCAGTCCAAGCAGAGAAGATGCCGAGCCCATCTGTCGAGAGGCTGCTATTTACTCAATCCTGGGTGACCATCCTCGGATCGCTCAATGCCTTCCGTCAGGCCACTCAGACTATGTTGACATCCAGTACTACCCGCGCGGGGACCTCGTGACATACTGCCGGGGTACCAAAATCAGCCCTGATCTTCAAGCAAAGTGGTTCCAGCAGATCATCGAAGCAGTTGCTGTCATCCACAGATACGGCATAATCCACTCAGATCTCGCATTGCGGCAATTTTTTGTCGATGACGACCTCAACGTCCGTCTTGGGGATTTCAATTCGTCTCAGTATCCAGGGCATCTTGCACTGGGGTATGAGAAAGCATCTCACTGCCTTCCCCGAGACTATGAAATGCCCAACACCGTCGCTTCAGATCTTTTTGCCCTCGGATCGACACTCTATGAGCTTATAGTGGGCAGCCCTCCGTACCAAGAGCTCTATCCTATTGAGTCACAGGACGTCCTACAATCGAGCGACCATGCGGTCATTCGAGCTCGGGTTCAACGTCAACATCTTGCGGACGCGGAGGTTGAGGAGCGATTCAGGAATCAACTTTATCCGGATGTATCAGGGCTTCTAGGTGGTGAAGTGATTCTGGCATGCTGGCGGGGAGAGTTTTCTTCAGCAGAGGAGGCACTTGCTCGATACTCTACCTTATGACCGAAGCAGCTAGATAAAGCGGTGGAATGAATGATAAACTTCATAATGCAAAATTGGCGAAACAGAACTCGGTTCTCTGCTCCCCAATAATTGAACATTCTACACATAACCCCCTAAAGCAAACTTCTCAGCAGGATCCCACGCCCATCTCTGATTTGTTCATCCTAGGGATATCACGACCAGGATTAGGATCATCTTTCCTAGTCCCAGTAACTTCAACACCAAACTCACCTCAGCCTATCACAGACCTAGCAAAACATATACAACCCTCCGCATCCTGCCCCGTGTAGTACACCTTCACAACCAAGATTAGGGTCTGGTTTCGTAGTCCCAAAGACATCCACACCAAATGCTTCTAGCCTATCACAGACCCAGCAAACCACACTCAGCCCTCCCATCCTATCCCATACAGCATACCTACCTACCCCCAACAAAACCTCAAAAACAAAACCCTGCACGCACCAAGCCCCAAAAGAACAAACAACCAATACCCACCTCGCGACCCATCCCGTCCGCTCCCGTCTACGTTGAGAGAATCCGATCTAATCCACGGTTGAAGCAAACGCGCAAACGAACCGCTTCCCCGGTTACACAGTAAGGAGTGCCTGGAGGAGGGCCCATTGGACAGGCGCAGCAAACGGCGGTGCCAGCAGTCTGCAGTGGTCTTCCTATAAATAGATCTGGCATGGTTTGGTGGGTTGCTTGGCTAGCTAGACTGGTTAATGGAGATGTTGGACCTAGGTGGGAATATCTATCTACCTATCTTACATATTTTTGCCTGTATATCAAGCGCACAGATAGCTATCATTATCTCTATCTTTTATCCCTCTAGAAGATTTATCTTAGTGTTTTCCCTCCTCATGAGAATTAAGGTCTGTCTATTACCTATCTATCCACTCCTGTCTACATTACATACACCCACCTACATCCATCCTCACAACCCCCCACAACTAACCCTCACATCCCAACCAGATCCCTACCATGTGCGAAGAATACCAAACAACCAGCATAATCGGCGGCGTGACAACAACCCGAACAATACAGAACGAATGTCCCAAGAAACCAGCCCAGGGGACGATTAAACAATGTCCTCGGTACAAGTTCATCGCTGCGGGATCAAGTCGACAGAAGAGGAACCTGCCGGGTTGGGCTAAGGGGGGTGGGCATAAGGGAGATGGAGCGGGTGTTGGGTCTGCGAAGTAGAAAATGGGGTCATGAGGGTTGGTAGGGATGGGGAGGGAGGATGGTTTTGATAGATTGCCGGGGATACTATAAACATTGTTTATATCGGGAGAGACCGTTGGGATGGGGGCTATGCTATTTTATGAATGACGACAAAATCCATGTACTTTAAAAGAAGAGAACACATTATCTTGATACAATCTCCGGAATTAAATTGTAGTATGATATATTTTCATCAATCCAAGTAGACAGTCAATTCTCATCATGATTCGTAACCCATTCTATAGCTTTCCCAGGGTATTTCCCAACTCGGCCGCTCGGTTCGTAGCCGCCTTGACAGCTTGATCCACGGTATCTTGGAAACCCAGCGATTCGAAGGTCTGCAAGGCGGCATGCGTGGTTCCGTTCGGGCTGGTGACGTTCTTGCGCAGCTGGGTAGGGTCGTCCGACGACTCGGTCAGCATGCGGCCGGCTCCAAGACATGTCTGCGATGCCAGTCGAGTAGCTTGTTCCTTGGATAGACCGAGGGCAGTGGCGCTGGCGACGAGGTGCTCGACCATGGCGAAGAAGTAGGCGGGGCCGGATCCTGAAGAAAGGAAATCAATGCGTTAGTCCGATATGCCTTCATTCCCAATTGACTCTAGGTAGGTAGAAAGGGAAATACTCACCCGACAAACCCGTCACAACATCCAACAACTCCTCCTTATCCACCCACTCCGTCGCCTTACTAACGCTACTCAACAGCGCATTCACCAACTCCCTCTCCTCCGCAGTGACATCCCCACTAGGGTAAGCCCCGGAGGCACCCTCCCCCACCAACGCCGGAGTATTCGGCATGACGCGAACAATATGCGCCGTCTTGCCATCCTTGGTACTCAGCCACTGCTGCAAACTCCCCAACGTAATACCCGCCGCGATGCTCACGACGACCGGCAAAGTGTCGCGCTGGGCCCACGCGGCCGCCAGCTCCTCGCACACGCTCTTCGTGACCTGCGGCTTAACGGCGATGATGACGAGGTCGGCTTGTCCGCCTGCTTCGACGTTCGAGGTCGTGGTCTGCACGCCGGTGGCGGCGATCTTCTCGCGATTGACGTCCCAGGGCTCCGAGACGTGGATGTTCTGCTTGTTGACGCCCTTAGTGACGAGGCCGCCGATGATGGCGGAGGCCATGTTGCCGCCGCCGATGAAGGCGAGCTTGCTTTCTTGGAGGGAGGGCATGATTGAGGTGGGGGTGTAGTATGTTAGAGATATGTGACAGGTGGTTGTGGTGAAGTGAGTCAAGAGTCAAGATAAGAGGGACAAGTTCGACGGGCAGAATTTCTACCCCACTCGGCGATGAGGGGGAATGTGGGGCGCCACCTTAGGGAAGCTTACCGGCCCGGTCTACGACTATACGGAGCCGGTTGTTTAATGAAGCAGACAAGGATTCATGGCATTCTGGTCTATCAATTGTGATTCCCAATTACAGGTTCGCCTTCTCGGTCAACGACCAATACTTGATCGCCTTGACCGACAACCAAGCCTCCAGCGCCTCCTCGCCCATATCCCGACCAAAGCCACTCTGTTTCACGCCGCCAAAAGGCATGCTGGGCGTCATCATCCCCCAACAGTTGACAGTAACCTGTCCCGACTCCAGCGCGTTCGCCACGCGGTCTGCACGATGAATATTCTCCGTGAAGACGGCGGCACTCAGGCCATATTCAGAGTCATTCGCCTTGGCAATGACCTCGTCCTCGGTGGAAAACCGGTGCACCGTTGCCACGGGTCCGAAGATCTCTTCCTTCACAATGGTGAAGTCCTCGCCTACATCGGTCAAGATAGTGTTTTCGACGAATCCACTTGATCCTTGAGCGGTGCCGGTACCACCGAGGATAGTTTTGGCGCCTTCCTGTCGGCCCTTTTCTAGATAGGATAGAATGCGATCGTGTTGCTGCTTGTTAATCACCGGGCCCTTCGTGACGCCCTTTTGAAGTGGATTGCCCGTGACGGCAGGCATCTGGCGAGCACGCGACACCAAACCTTCGACAAAACGGTCGTAGATACCATCCTGAACGTAGATTCGCGACCCAAGCGCACAGACTTGGCCATTGTTGGCGCTGGAGCCGACCAGGTTCCAGAACAGCGCGTTGCCCAGGTTGGCGTCATCGAAGACAATCGAAGGACTCTTTCCACCGAGCTCCAAGGACACCCTCTTCAGGTTCGAGTTTGCCGACGCACGAAGAATGCTCCGTCCGGTGGGCGTGCTTCCGGTGAACGCGATCTTGCGGATGCGCATGTGCTCCGCGATTGCCTTGCCTGCCACGGTGCCCAGGCCACACAAGATGCTGACCACGCCGGCAGGGAATCCAGCCTCGACGATCAACTGGCCTAGTTTCTGTCCGAACAAGGGAGCGGCCTCGGGGGACTTGATGATGAGTGTGTTGCCCGCCGCGAGAGCCGCCGCTAGCTTCCAGATTGTGATCATCCTAGCGATCGAGTGTTAGTTTCGATCCACAATAGCTATACTCTTAAGGTCAAAGACGTACAGCGGCGCATTCCACGGCACGATAGCCGCGCAGATTCCAATCGGCTCCTTACGAACCACGCCCTTCCCACCAGGGACATCGACAACCCGACCGGAGATCTCGGTGCAGTTGGCGAAGTAGCGAAGGGTCTCGCAGGCTTGCGAGATATCGAACGCTTTCACGTCATCGTAGACGAAGCCGCCGTCCAGGGCGTGGATCGTCGCGAATTCGTCCGCATCGCGTTCAACCAAGTCCGCGAGTCGATTTAGCAGCGCTTGCCTGTTGGATGCGGAGGCATATCGCCAGGTTTGGAATGCGTGACTGGCAGCGTCAACGGCGACGTCGACATCTGCGGACTCGGCAGCGGAGATGGAGCCGAGGATCTCGCCTGAAAAGGGGTTCTGGACCTCGAGCACGGAGGCTTGTTTGCTGGGGACAAATTGGTTGTTGATGAAGAGGCCGGATGGGACTGGCCAGACTTGGGTTAATTGTTGATTCGAGATAAGAACCGATGGTGTTCAACGTACTACTAACCTGGCGACCCTCTCGGCCTGTTAGACTGATTGAGCTCATGATAAAATGGTAAGGGGAGCTTGTAGAACGGGGGAGAGTAAGTCACAGTGTGGTTTTCGAGAGCAAAACAATCCAAGCTGGGTTTCAGGGGGGACAATGCCAACTCCTTAGTACATTAGTAGTACATCTTGTCCGGCGATGATCGTCCCATGCGGAGGCGTTCCGTCTGCAGCTCGGAATGGAGGCATCAAGCACCGTTGCTGCGCCGCGGAAGAAGCGCGGAAACTCGGAATTCGTTCCAGGGGCATATTGTGCTATCTCGGTCAACTTGTCACTGCCTCGTTGATCTGCGTCTCATCACGCTTCAAGCCAAGGTTATCTGCCCCTTATCTTCCCTTCTAGGGGTTGATCGAAGTAGCTCTAGGGTCGAGGCCTTCAACTGTCAGGATATGTCAGACTCGGGGCAGCCACCCGGAAGCGCATCCATGGTTTGACAGGAGGACCCACCGCAGTGACTTCAAAATATCAGCAGTGGACTCTCTTAGTCTGTCATCATGCTTCAATTATTAGCGTTGGTAATGAGAGATATTGTAATTAGTCTGACATGTTCACTGTCACATCACATCTGTTCTCTGGTTGTCAACGTGCTTAAACAGAGAGGAAGCTCATGAAGATTGACAGATCCAATTCCCTGTGGGTCAAAGCAACAGAGACCTGTCCAATGGAGAGTGCATGTCGGAGTTTCCTGCACTTTTCCCCTGCGGACAGGACGCTCTGTTCAACGTTCGAGTCATATCGTGTCCACCTCTGGGGATCGGATCCATCCTGAAAATCAATCAATTTCATCCCTAGGAAACAGCCTCCGACGTCTCTTCTTGTCGTAAACCGGTGTTCTAGTATTTCGCACCGACACCTACTCACACAAACTCGAGGACGAAAAAGAAAGAAGCAAAATCCGACTCTCCTACTCAGCCGAAATCCTATACTTCAAACGCATCTTCCCTCACATACCTTGCACCAACAAAACCATCACCATGTCAACCTCATTCCACGAAACCGCCGCCAACGCCGTCCAAGCCCGGACTCGCATCCGCCACCACATCTACGAAACGCCACTCATCCCAGCCCGCAAAACCGGCCAAGCGAGCAACACCAAGGTGCTCTTCAAAGCCGAGAATTTCCAACTCACCGGCTCGTTCAAACTCCGCGGTGCCTTGTCAAAGGTATCCGCCCAGGCCACATCGGGAGGACGACTGATCACCGCATCGTCGGGAAACCATGGCATCGGCGCAGCATTCGCGTCACAGGCGCTCTCGAAAGACCTCACCGTCGTCCTGCCGGAGACCGTGATGCCCGCGAAACTAGAAAAAATCCGCTCATTCGGCGTAGAGGTGATCCTCCACGGCGCAGAGACCGGTCTCGCCGAACAACACGCCCAGCAACTCGCAGCATCCGGCGCATACACGTACATCTCACCGTACAACGACGCGGATATCGTCGCCGGGCAAGGAACCATCGGCCTCGAGATCCTGGAGCAATGCGAGCACATCGACAACGTGTTCATCTCGATGGGCGGCGGCGGACTCATCAGCGGCATTGGCTCCGTCATCAAAGCATTCAGCCCCCGCACCAAGATCTACGGCGTCGCGGCCCTCAATTCCAAAGCGTTAGCTGCGTCTCTGGCGGTCGGTCGGGTCGTGAAGACGGATCATCTGCCCACTCTGGCTGAGGCGGTGGCGGGTGGCATCGACGAGGACACTATTACTCTTCCTTTGGCGGGGTCGGTGGTCGATCACGTCGTGGAGTGCGATGAGGCGGAGATTGTGGAGGCGTTGAAGACGCTGGCGTTCGATGAGAATATGATTGTCGAGGGCTCGGCGGCTCTGGCTCTGGCTGGTTTTCAGAAGATTGCTCGCGAACTGACGGGTCAGACGAACGTCATTCTCTTGTGCGGTGCTAACGTGGACCAGGACGTCGTAAGGAGGACGATTTATGGGGTCTAATGTTGAAAAAGACTTCCTACCATTACTGTGGGTTGGTTAGGCGATCTATTTCCTTAGATTGGCTAGATTAATGCTCACTTATCTAACTGGAATCCACCAAAAAAAAGAAAAGAGAAGAAAAAATAACTGTCAACCGTATCTGTAGGTCACCGAGTTAGTGAGACCGTGCAAATAATACGACGATGGCAGCTGATGCCCGTGAACCTATCGAGCACACCGAGCTGGGCCGATACTATACGGTCTAACGAGGACGAGTATGTACTCCGAAAAGCAAGAGGACAAATTGTACTTACCTTTTCTTTTCTTTTTCTTTTCTTCTTCTTAAGGACTCTCTGATTACACAACCCTGGGCAGTTGGCTCGGTCTTGCTGGGATCCAGTTCCATTGGGTTGGTCAAACATGTGGAGGGCCTTATGAAGGTGTACATACATGACACGATTACAAAAAAATCGGGACAGGACATTCCTAAGCAGAAAAGATCTCGGTACTCCAACCTGACGGGAAGTTGAAACTTGAAACAGATAACTGCAGAGTAAGTTACCTGTGTGGCACAGGCCGAGGGCTGCTCACCAGCTCTACTCAATAAGTTATACTACTCCACCAGAATGCCTCTGGAGCCTTGCCGTTCTCCCACCACGTAGCAAGTCACTACCTACCGGGAGTGCTCAAGAAACTAACTCAGGCAAGGGAGGGAGAGGCGCAGCTAAGCGGCTGTTCTTCGATTTTGAACCAGCTCATTTTCCAGTCAAATTTTTACCCTCGTTCAATCTCCGCTTTACGGTGAATGCCATCTCAACATATAACTTCCTTGTGGACTTGAAATCGGCTCAGGCCGTCGGAATGAAAATAATCTTACGACTCAAACTGCGCCCCTCCCTATGTTCACTGCCGTTAGCCATTTGCTGGGGTTGATTGCGTGAGATGTGATTTTTGTTTTCCTTTTCTTCCAGGCTTCAAAGATCTGTTGGGACCAGGTAGATGCGTGATTCGCTGATTCCGCTTACTCCTTTTCTCCTGCTTGCTTTTTCTTTTCTCTTCTCCACCATACACATTCTTTGCTCTATCTCCTGCGTGCTTTTTTTTCCAATAGAACATAACCAGGATAGTGGTAGGGGTGGTGAGGGGAACATCGTAGAGCTTCGCGGTTCCAGGGTACGATGGGCGATACAATGGAAAGAGGAAACATGGAGCTTCACGCTAAGATGGCTATGAGGCTTTATTGGATAGTTGAAAGAGTCAGCTTATTTGGCGCTCTATTCATATAGGTTCCACGGGCGACAGAGAGAAGGGAACAAGAAAAAAAAAAAAAACAAAACAAAAAGAAGGATCCCTCGGGATGCTGAGCTCGATTCCATCCCCCATCCTACGGTCAACAATTTGAAGAGATATAGATCGAGGAGACTATCGTGCCTTTTCCTGGCCTGTGCTACTACCCCAATAAGGCACTACTGACAATGAGTGGCCCCGAGTCCACGAAACAACGCCGGCAGTCCGCATCCATACAACAGAAGATCATCAAGAGAGGCACGTGGTTGCCGGCTGAAGATACTCGGTTGCGCGAGGCAGTGGCCAAGTACGGCCCTCGTTGGGTCTTAGTGGCGAACGAGGTGGGCAGTCGTAATGGTGACCAGTGTGCTAAACGCTGGAATGAGAATTTGAACCCAGAGCTAGACCATAGCCCGTGGACCCCCGAAGAGGTGAGTTCGTCCTGCGGCATTGTCCAGAGACTACACTTCGTGACGATTATGCATGCACGGGAAGCGGACAAAGAGGTCGTGCTCAACTATTCCCATCGTGGGCCTTTGGATTATGTATACCTCGTGTACTGGCACGGGATGCTGATTGCAAGCGCTTACCAGGAAGAACAACTCATGAGTCTCGTCACTACCTACGGCAACAACTGGAAATTTCTGGCCAACTCGTTCTTCGAGCCCCGTGCGCCTCTAGCCCTCAAAAACCGATATTCCCTACTTATGAGACGCCTCAAGCGTCAAGGAATGAGGGACCAAATGCCTATCACGAATACTGAGACGGTCCAGATGCCGCTGGATTCCATCTCATCGAGCGAGACGAGCCGCAGTGTGTCCATGATCCCAACTACTCCAGTTAATCTAGAGAGTCTGTTCTCATGCCTTGGGGAGCCCAACGCTGCTATGGACGTGACTGATGGCGAATTCCCCACCCTTTTGGAAACGCCATCGGATACCAGTGTGCCGACAGTCATTACGACTACCACGTCTCATCGTTTGCAAGGAACAGCAGAAAGCCCTTTAGCCGGCACGACTACCGAGTCCGACCCGTCGGGCTTTACATGGCGTCCAGATGCCATCTTGGGAATGAGCCCGCGTGAATCAACCGGAATCCTTGATCCTCATTGGAAAGGGAGCGAGATAGACATAATGCACACGACCCCTGAAAACAGGCCTTCGGACCGAGAATCCCGGAGAAAGAGTAGCCATGAGGCTGGCGTGATTGAGTACTCGGTTAGCTGCCAGCGTGGGAAGCTAAAGTCGTTGGTCGGCTATCTAGTGGAAGCTGCCATGTCGGAGAGTGCGGACGGCGCAATGGAGGAAGATCAGATAACTCTGACCTTGAATGTGAAGAGTTAAGGACGGATGATGCATATTCTGGATCGGAGATCAATGCTCACTAGCTTGAGACACTCGGAGTAACATCTAGGCTCACTCACTGTAAGACCTATATCGTAGTGCTCTGGCAGATGCTGAGAACGGGCCGACTCCTGTTTGATCATCGTATAAACCGGAGTCATTGAGACTTGACTCCGCCAATTGTCTCCAGCGCCCTCCTTACGGAGTGACTGAGTCAGAAATTAGCCTAACTCCGGTCTAGCAACTCCAGTTGCTGGTGGAGCTTCCTTGTATCGGGCGATATTAGGAGGGTTTCGTCAACGGCTTAAAAGAATAATTCGAACCACGAGTCTGCTTGTACGCCATGACAACCACTAATTGTAACAGCTCAACCACAAACAGAAACAAGACCATGAGTAAGCCAACACCTTTCGAGCCAATTGCTGTTGTCGGCCTGTCATTCCGTTTGCCTGGCGGCGCTAAGGACCTTGACGGCCTTTGGAAGCTTTTGGAGAGCGGCGAGTCGGCGTGGACGCCGGTGCCTGAAGATCGGTACAATGGAGAGGTATGTGATGCAATCGAAAGAAGAATGCAGGGAAAAAGAAAGGACGCCGCTGAAATTGAGGATACAGGCCTTCTACCATCCAAGTGCGGATGATCCCAATGGTACAAGCAACCACCCAGGAGGGCATTTCATCTCGGATGACATTCGCGACTTTGACCACACGTTCTTCCACTTCTCCAAGCCCCAGGCAGCCGCAATAGACCCTCAACAGCGGCTTTTGATGGAGCTTGCTTACGAGGCACTCGAGAGCGGCGGCATCTCGCGTGAAAGCGTGGCGGGATCCGCTACCTCCGTCTACACTGCCCTTTTCCCAACGGACTACGACCGGCAGCTCTACAAAGACACACTAGACCTCCCCGCCTACTACGCGACCGGAGTGGAAAAGGCACTCCTTTCTAACCGGCTTTCACATGTGCTGGACTTAAGGGGCCCGTCCATGACGCTGGACACTGCATGCTCCGGAGGACTTGTCGCCTTGCACCTAGCGTGCCAAAGTCTGCAAGCTGGTGAATCTGACATGGCGCTGGTGTCGGCCTCAAACCTGATACTGGGTCCAGATCACTTTATCGGCCTAAGCAACCTGCATATGCTCAGCAGCACCGGACGTTGCTATCCATTCGATGACCGCGGAGACGGCTATGGCCGAGGGGAAGGTGTAGTCGTACTGGTCCTGAAACGCTTGGATGCGGCCATTCGGGACCGCAACCCGATTCGCACGATTATTCGGGGGACAGCGGTCAATCAAGATGGCTACACCCCGCAGAGCATCACGTATCCCAATGGCCAGGCGCAGGCAGATCTGGCTCGACAAGCTTATGCTCGTGCTGAATTATGTCCAGGAGATATTGCTTATATCGAAGCACACGGAACTGGAACCCAGGCGGGTGACAAGGAGGAGTTGGAGAGCATCGCAGAAGTGTTCGCCAGTGCCCCAATCAGGTCGATGCCGCTATTTGTGGGCTCAACCAAAGGAGCTATCGGACATACCGAAAGTGCGGCCGGGTTGGCCAGCTTGCTCAAAGCGGCGGTGATGCTCGATCGAGAATTGATCCCTCCCGTCGCCGGTTTTACCAATCCCAAGCCAGGCTTGCCGCTGGATCGAATAGAAGTACCGACGGCCGTAATCCCCTGGCCCCACGTGACAGGAATCACGCCTCGTATATCTATCAACAGCTTTGGTTTTGGCGGGGCCAATGCACACGCCATTCTAGAGCGCGGACAACGAGCCATTCGGGAGGACGACGCGACCAACTGCACGGCAACATCGCGCCTGTTCACCCTCTCAGCCAATAGCACGACATCGTTGAGGAACATGATTACGGCACACTATGATTGGATCAGACAGCACGCGGAAAGGACACCGTTGGCCGACATCTCTTACACGCTCTTGCATCGCCGTTCTGCCCTGCCGTATAGATTCAGCGTCGTAGCCGAGGATCACGCCTCACTGATGGAAGCTCTAGGACAGAGTATTTCCCTGTCGGCGATCAAGCCATTGCCCGCAGAGCTGGATTTGATCGCAGTGTTTACCGGACAAGGCGCCCAGTGGGCCGGTATGGGCCGTGAACTGCTGCTAGAGACGACCCCATCATCGATATACCGGGATTCGATTCGGGCGTCACGCGATATTCTGCGTGAGCTGGGTGCTCCCTGGGACTTGGAAGCAGAAGTTCTGCGAGACACGACAGAGTCCCGTCTCGGCGAGGCCGAGCTGGCACAGCCGGCAACGACGGCGCTCCAGATCGCCCTCGTGGCGTTGCTTCGAGCACAAGGCATCCGACCGCATGCAGTTGTAGGCCACTCAAGCGGCGAAATTGCTGCCGCTTATACCGCTGGTTACATATCGCATGAGACGGCCATCAGAGTTGCATACCAACGTGGCTTCATGGCGGCCGCCGTAAAGGCACAAGGTCTCGGCCGGGGTGCCATGTTGTCGGTCGGATTGGGCGAGCACGATGCCTCTGGGTACCTGGATGACTTAACAACGGGGACGGCTATTGTCGCCTGTGTTAACAGCCCTCGAAGCGTGACTATTTCGGGCGATGCCAGTGCCGTGGACGAAGTGGAGCGACGCATTGTTGCCCAAGGTGACGGCACATTCCACCGGAAGCTGCTTGTCGACACTGCCTATCATTCGCATCACATGCACGCCGTCGCCGATAGGTACCGGGCACTTTTGGGCCAACTACCGACTGAAAACACTGCTTTCTCTCGGGATGGGGAAGAGGTCGCGGTGTATTCGTCCGTCACCGGCCAGCGGAAATCATCGGGGTTTGATGAAGAGTACTGGACGGCTAATTTAGTGTCCCCAGTGCGCTTCACAGACGCCGTTCAAGCCCTAGCAAAGGCTCGTCATCGGCCTGGGCAACATGCTGTTTTCGTGGAGATTGGGCCGCACCCAACGCTGGCGGGGCCTGTACGCCAGAGTGTCCAGGCGTCGCTGGGGTTCACGTTGCCCTTGGATTACTATGGGACCCTCCAGCGCAAAGTGGAAGCTACGGCCAGTGTCCTGGCCCTGGTGGGCAAGCTCTTTGAGCGCGGAGCCGGCATTTCGTGGGATGCGGTGTCGGCGCTGGCTCCTGGAGCCGATACCGCGGCGGTACGACACGATTTACCTGCCTACCCCTGGGACCATTCGACGAAGCATTGGTACGAGTCCCGCGTTGCAAGCGCCTACCGTCAGCGCAGGGAACCGTATCATGATTTGCTCGGCGTGCGCTTGCCACACGCCACCGACATTGAGCCCCGCTGGCGGCACTTCCTGAGCAGGGCGACCCTACCATGGTTAGAGGACCATGTCGTAGACGGTCTGACCATCTTTCCAGGTGCCGGTTACGTTTGCATGGCCATCGAAGCAGTTGCCCAACTAATCCGTCAGGAGGTTCCCCAGAAGTCGCTTGAGGTGGTAGCTCTCCGGAAAGTTGCGTTTAAGCGCGGACTAGTTGTGCCCGAGAGGGATCGTGTGGAGCTACAGTTGAGTCTCCAACCACAGCCCGGTCCTGGCCTTTCGTTTCGTTTCAGGGTCACGGCCCTTGCGGACGGCGGCCAAGTGTGGTATGAGCATGCTAGCGGCATGGTGGAGGCTGTGCTGATCGATGAAGGTGACCGTGCCATTACTCAGGCCAAATTAGAGGACCTTCCTAGGCTTCCACCAGACGGTTACAGAGTGCCGCAGAAGACTCTATATGCTGACCTGGATGCCGTCGGAAATACCTACGGCCCTGCATTCGCTGGACTAGAGTATCTCATGATGAATAAAGATGCCTCACAGGGATTGTCATCATTCAAAATCCTTGACATTCAAGCCTCAATGCCGGCCCAGCACCAGCGCCCACACGTCATCCACCCCTCGACACTCGACATTGTATTCCACACAGCATTGCCGCTTGTGGGCCGGCAATTGGGCCCTGGGTCTATCATGCCCGTGTACATTGACGAGCTCCTCGTTGCCGCCACGCCCTACTTAGAGAAGCCTGGGTCGCAATTGGACGTGTCAACGCTGCTCACATCCAGTCACTTTTGCACGGCCATGTCGGACATGTCTGTATCCGCCGGCCGAAATCGAGTACTCTCGATATCAGGCATGGAGTTCAGAAGTCTATCTTCTCGCCTTGGAGGGGTCACAGATTCCACCGGCCAGGTCAACGGTACTGCAGACCGGAAGATTTGTTATGAGCTCAACTGGAAGGCCGATATCGACTTTGCACGGACCGAGGATCTCCCGGGTCATCCTGCTTTAGCGGACGTTATCAAACTCCTGAGCTTGAAGCGGGATCGGCTTTTAACCATTGGACTCGGTGCTAGCGTAGACCTATCCGAAGACTTTCTCCAGACCATTCAGTCTCACGACCCCAATAACTGTCATGATAATATCGTGGCACACGACTTTATCAATACTACGCCTGCCCAGTTTGACGAAGCCGCTGAACGCATAAAGAGAGCCCCAATCAGGTTCCGTACGCTTCGCCCCGGTATGAACCCTGTTGCCCGTGGATTTGAGCCCGGCGTGTACGATGTTGTTCTGGCTACATCGACCAAGTGGTTGGACCAGGCCGCGGTCCTTGTGAGCCCGGGGGGCATTGTTCTGCTGGTACTGAATGCCCGAGACTCCGAAGATGACAAGTGGCGAGGCATGCTGGGAAAGACAGGAGATGCCCGCCTGGAGGTGCTTCTGGCTTTCCGTGATGCTGCTGGCGGGTTAATCGCAGCAGCGAAGCCAGTGGTCGCACAGCTTCCGTCGAGTATAACCATCTTAACGCACTCGACACCGGGCGCTGCTGTTACTGAATGGGTCTCTGTATTGAAAAAGGGTCTAAATGCTCGCAATGTCGACGTCTGGCTTAGTCGACTATGTCAGGACACGGTCCGGGCACTTCCAAGCAACACAATCATTATCGTCGCCGACGACCACGCCGAGATACCTATTCTCAGTGACGCTGCCGCTTTTGAGGCAACTATCACTCTTCTGAGGCAGCCAAATAGAATTGTATGGTTAAGCCCCGACGGGCCAGCTCCTTTTCACCAGATTGAAGGCGTTGCCCGAACTGCACATGCCGAAAATGAAGATCTTCGTCTCATTACTATCCATGTTGCATCGAATTTGTTCAAACATCCACTTCGGTTCGAGCGGATGGTCAATGTTGTTGCAGGCGCAGTGAGTCGAATATCCACCACGAAAATCCCTCACGTTGAGCGTGAGTATCGAATATATTCAAATGGCGCCGTGGTCGTCCCTCGCCTACGCCGCAGCGAGACACTCAATGCCGCTATTGCAGATAGAAGCGCTGGCCCCAAAACGAAGCAACTCCATTTCACGGATATCGAACACAACCTGATGATATCCCCCAAGAATCAGGAGCTGTTCGTCGCCAATCATGGATTCCGTGCGACTCCCATGGCAGATGATGCCATCGAGGTTGAGACCCATACTCTTACAATAACCAAGTCAGATTCACCAGCCCTACCTAGCCCGATTGTGGGCGTAGTGACATCAATTGGCGCTAATGTCAAGTCTCTTTCCCTTGGGGACCGCGTTGTTGCTTTGGCCACCATACTTGGCGCCAATAGACTGCGCATTCCAGTTTCTTATGCCCACAGGCTTCCATCTAACATATCTTCTCCCATGGCATCCGCCATGCTATTAGATACCATGGCCGCTTCATTTGCGCTTCGAGATACAGCTCGTCTGCTTTCGAGCGGGGGCACTGTTCTGGTCCACGGAGCTTTCACTGCGGCAGGTCGAGCCACCATTGCCGTAGCCAAGCTAATTGGCGCTCGGGTCACTGCAACCGCTGCCAGCTCGGCGGAGGCGTGTCTGCTCAAAGAACAAGAGGGCATTGACGAGGCTAATGTGTTGGTAGCCCGTCCTTCGCTCCACCGTCGCTTGCCACGCGATATCTTTCCCGAGGGGCTTGACGCGGTAATACAAACCAGTGACGAAGCAGCCCCTGCCGAGGTATTAGCGTACATCAAACCATTCGGAAAAGTATTGGTTATCGGCAATCCGCACACACGCATTGTTCTGCCGCCGAAGGTGTCACCAAACATTGCGGTACATTCCATCGATATCGCCGGTATCCTACAAGCTCGCCCCGACCTTACCGCCAGTCTGCTCGCCTCAGCGACAGTAGCGTTAGAGCATGTTCAATTGTCCCGGTTCAACATTCCAATTCGAGATGTCACCGAAATCGCCGAGGCCCTCCGACTAGTCAACACCGGCGTTCACGCAAAGGTCGTGCTGCAGGCCGGTCCGAACTCAACAGTTTCAGTCATCCCGACCGCCAAGCTCGATCTTTGGGCTAATGATGATGCCACTTATGTGATCGCAGGTGGCTTAGGTGACATTGGGCAGCGTTTCTTGTTTCAGTTTGCGCATCGCGGCGCTAGGCACGTAGCGACACTTAGCCGCCGCGCTGTTGACCCGGACACTTATCGATCGCTGCAAGTCAAGCTGGAAGCTATTCGTCCCGGGATTAGGCTGTATACCCTTCAGGGCGATGTCACATCCGAATCCAGTGTCCTAGCAGCAGCGGCTTCACTTTATCGGCAGGGTGCGCCTCAGGTGCGGGGAGTTATTCAAGCTGCAGTGGTTATGAAGGTATGACACGGACAGGCGTCTGTTGATTTCACTCCGTGGTGCTGATTACATTGTGCGTTCTTTCTGTTTTCTTTTAGGATCGCCCTCTGGATCTCACCACATATGAAGACTTTGATATCGTCACAAAGACCAAGGTGAACGGTACGCTGACTCTTTACCGGGTCTTTGCGTCTCCCAACCTAGCATTCTTCCTCAGTCTGTCCTCTATTTCTAGTATCGTCGGTGCAAGTGCAGAGACAAGCTACAACGCTGGAAATGCGGTGCAGGATGCCCTCGCGCATCCAGAACCGGACTCGCCCAACCAGACTTGTTTCATGACGGTCAGCCTCGGGTGGAGCGAAGGTGCTGCCCTCACGGTGGACGACGAGACCCGCCAGGGGGCCCTCCGTCGCGCCGGTTTTTGTCTCATCCACCTCGACGAGCTAATACGTTTTATCGACCATGTTCTGGATTCTGCGGTCGATCCTGGTGCACGCACATCGTCGCATGCAATCATCGGCTTTGACGCAGAATCGCTGGCCGGCGCGACCGCCCGAAATGGCACCATTCATTCTGCCCTTTTCAGCCAAGTTCGTAACGGCAAAGGCCACGATCTATCTGCGGAGGCGCCAGATGGAGGCATTTCGACTGGACCGACCTTTGAACAAGTGGTTGCCCAGGGAAGCGAGGCCGCGACGGACTTCATTTCCCGCGCCATGACAGAGCAACTAGCTCGATTAATCTCGGCTGATACAAGCACCATTGACGCTCGACAAGGCTCAATTATGGCGTTAGGCCTGGACTCACTTGTTGCGGTGGAGCTGCGAAACTGGATCACGCGGCATTTTCATGCACCGCTGCAGTCCTCCGAGATATTGGTTGATCAGACAGTGCAAGAATTAGCTGAAAGAGTTGCAGGGCGGTCCAAGTTGATCAAACGCCAAGAAGCTGCCGGTGTGTAGTGGCAGAACCTCTCGCTCTAGTCCGGATATGGTTAGTATCTGGTGCTTGTTCTCTACGGAGTAGATCACTAGATACTGCTCCATAAAGAATTCAAAAGTTCTTGATGGAATTTTTCATCGTCGCGGTCAACGGTTTGCTCCATGTTCGGAGGCTTGGCAGCCTTGGCTGCTCGCGCAGAGGCTGTTGCGTCTTGCCCATAGGTACACAGTATAGTGGATTGTCCAAACGTGACAAGGACATAGGGCCCTGAGAATATATCAAAGAAATCTGACAGTGCACCATTTATCATTTTCATGTCCCCATGTAGATAGAATCTCTTATTATTTGATAATGAACCATGGAAGTCCGTGGGTGGATGAAGCGACCAAAATGCGTAGAATCTGAACAAAGTGCCCAAGGAGTTACCTTTATAGATGCTTGATGCAATGTCCGTACCTAATAATGTAGCTAGATAGACTTAGGGACCGGGGGCTCTATATTTCCCTTTACAAGATTAAAAACATATGGAGGATTTAGCCAGAAATACGAATAGAAGATTATAGCAAGAAGAGACAATACAGAAAGAAGTATTTAATGAAAAATGTATCATGAATGTATCATGAAGCTAAAGTGGTACATAGCTAGTAAAGCTCTTTCTTCAAGGGGACGGCGTTCTTTTACACCCCATTCTGTGCCAGCGTTCGAAATACTTCCTCCAAAGCCTCCCGACGTTCTTTAATCTCATACCCGTATTCCCGCAGTTTATTCGTCAGCTTATTGGCATCCATGATACAGTTTGCTCTGGGGGCCTTCAATATCGCAAGCATATCATCCAACTTGAATGTACTCCATACCAGGTTAGGTCGGATGTGCTGCTTGGCTAGCTCCATGAGCTCGACATTGCTGATCTCGCCAGGTGTCACCTATTCTCGTGTAAGCCAAAGATGGATGTGTCGGGAGTTCAACAAATCCAACCACGTACAAAGTTGTAGATTCCCGTCTCCGCATTCTCGGAGAGAATAATGGCACCTGGGAGTAGATTTGGCAGGACGGTTCCAGACTTGAAATGAATACACGGGTCAGTTGGATAGGCAGAGATAAATAAGGCTTTATCGACTCACTCCTGTTCGGTCAACAATCTTCTCGAATTTCAACAGTCGGCTGAGATGATTGTTGGGATGCATGTCGGCCGCAATTGGGAGACGAATACGCAGAAGCAGAAGGTTAGGGTAATGACGAATAGACAGCTCGCTGAGCAGGCGGCTCCGAGCATACCAGGAGCCCTGGAAGAACGGTTCGTCTGTCTCCTTGAAGGGCGGGTGGTTGTCAATCTCTTCCTCAGAGAGTGTGTATATGCAGGCCGAGCCAATGTGCGTGACGTGAATGTCAAGCTGATGACAGGCGTCTACTACGTTGAGCGTGCCTAAAATATTGGAACGGACAGTCTCAATCTTATGTTGCTCACACCAGTCGACATTTGGGGTGCCGCGTGTGCCGGCACAGTTTAGGACTCGACTCGGCTTATGTTTGATCAGCTCGCTCAATATCTGTTCACGGCTCTCAGTCCGGGCCTGAGACATGATAATGATCTTGCCTTGAGATACAAGGACTTCCTTGATTTGGTTGGCAATCCACCCATTGCCTGATGGAACCTATGTCAACATACAACAGCCTGGCTTGGTGTGGCAGGTAGACTTACCAAACATCAAGAAGACAGGAGTGGAGGTGGTGCTAACTGATACCATGGTGAGATCCAGACTTGTGAATGAGGGAAAAAGATAATACTGGGATGACTCTATAATCTATACCAAGCCGGTGTTTGTCAATTCTTTATACTCAGCTCTTAATATGAACTCGATCGTCTCGGGACATTGTGCCAAGTCATGGCACTAACTCCGGAAGGCGAAGATGCCTGGCCCTTGCCTTAGCTTTGTTTGGACTTTGCCAGACGTCCAAGGGCGGTATTCCGGAGTAATCCAGAGTTGGCCTCGGGGAATCTCACTGTGTTCCCACTCATTTGTGACACACGTGTGCGCATGTTAGAGGATTTTCGAGAGATATTTCCCCATCCCTCGAAGCACACTTTCTGCTGCATGATCAGCCTGTTCTAATACGTATCTAACCAAATCAACTCAAAATGAGCATACCCAAGGCCACACCACCAGCAAGCTCGAGGTCGAATGTTTCCTTTGCACAGTATGATGATCCCAATATTCTCGAATCCTTGCAACTCATCGGCACCACGAGGTTCGACCCACGAAATGATATCAAACATATTCTAATCACCGGCGGGGCTGGCTTTATGTAAGTAGGCATTAACACTGGAATCATTCAGGTAACCTCTTTGAATATGACCAGCATCATTGACTTTCCTGAAACCAGAGGCGGTTGGGTTACGCGACACCTAACCGTACAGTACCCCGAGTACACTATTGTCTGTTTCGACAAGATTGACAAAGTTTCCTCCTTAGCCAACATTGACTGCCTTGAAGCGTTCTCCAACTTTCATTTTGTAGAGGGCAATTTGACCGACGCGGCTGCTGTGTCAAGAGTACTCGCCAAGTACAATATTGACTGCGTACTGCACTTTGCGGCTTGCTCTCACGTCCAGGACTCATTTGAAAACCCCTCGAGCTTTACTGTGAACAATGTAATTGCGACACAGCAGCTATTGGAGGCTGTCCGGCATCACCACGGTCTAAACTCTATCCGCCGCTTCATCCATGTCAGTACCGACGAGGTCTACGGGGAGGCCATGAATGGCTTCATCGACGAGACACACCAATTCCTACCCACCAACCCGTACGCAGCATCCAAAGCCGCCGCTGAGATGTATGTCTGGGCCTACGCCAAGTCATTTGGCCTTCCAGCATTGGTTGTTCGCAGTAATAATGTATATGGGCCTGGTCAATATCCGGAAAGTGAGCGAATCCCGAAAAGAGCCCGCTCTTATCCCGATGTCCGCCAAACATTTAGAAGCTAACAGCTTTGAAACCTTGTTCAGAGATTATCCCTCGCTTTTGCACTCTCCTCAGCAAGCAACAGCCTCTTACCATCCAAGGCTCAGGCCTGCACGTGCGACGCTATTTATACGGCGCCGATGCGGCTGATGGCTTCGACACGCTCCTGCACAAAGGTCAAGTGGGCGAAGCGTATAATATAAGCTCAGCTTTTGGGGTGACTAATATTGAGGTTGCGGTGCGTATGCTCGAACTGTACGGCTACCGTCCGGAAGACTTCAAGTCCCGTCTGGCCTGGATTGCAGACCGGCCATTCAACGACCATGACTATCGAGTGGATGGCTCGAAACTCGAGGCGTTAGGATGGAGTCAGCGCATCGCCTTTCCCGAGGGATTGAGGGCGACTATTCAGTGGTACCAGAAGTACACGCAAGCATGGTGGCCGAATGTGATAGAGAAGGGTCCGTCTTGTGTCCGCGACTGATACGACTCTTAAATATCTTTTCATATCATTTCCCAGTCAGCGTCAAGCATTATCTTTCATCTGTGCGCATTGGAATTTGAGACATGATCACAACTCAGTTGTATTTAGTTTTCCACGGTTCTAGGTAGGCTGCTTAGCTAGTCGAACTGAGCTACCATCTACATTAGACCGCTGATGCAGTCGTGACAATAAGGCTGGTAGATTGATAGACGACCTCTTCGCAATCCCCAATGTCAAAGTCCACGCCAGTGAAGCCGGTTTCACGCAACACTTTGTCCCATACTTTCGTAGGCGCATTCGGGCTCAACTTCCGATCTTGATCCTCACTCAGCCACCACCCTTCAAAAAGACCAAAGATCAACTGCATGTCGGTAACATCGCGCGTAGTCTCCACTAGAAACAGCTTACCGCCGGGCTTCAGCAGCTGGCGGACATGTCCCAGCGTCCGGTGCAGGGACTTAGTGGCGTGCAGCACCAACGACGCGATGACGAGATCGAAGGTACCGGGCTGGAAACCTTGTTCCTCGGGGTTGTTCTCGATATCGAGCTTTTGAAAGTCCATGTCCGGTGTCCATACAGCCAGCTTCGACTTGGCCGCCCCAAAGAACCCCGCCGAGATGTCGGTGAAGGTGTAGCGCGGGTACCGATCTTCGTCCTGCTCTTCGATCACGGTGTCGAAAGCCTGCAGGACAATTTTCGTGGCGCCGCCAGTTCCTGCGCCGATTTCTAAGATGCTAGCGTCCGGACAGGCGCGCCCATACAGCTCGACGACTCGTCGGAGATGCTTGTAGGTGCGGTCCCTCAGCTTTGGATACTCCATATAATACCGGTTGAGCAGGTTGTCCTTCATGACCAGCTCCAACGCAGTTGTCTCGCCTCGAAAGATTTTCACAAGATTCTGTCCCACGCGCACGGTGAGCCGTGCGGACTCATTATCAGTGGTCTCGAGATATCTCACGAGCGCATGTCGTATATGGGGTTCCTCGTCTGCCCAGGCTTCGCTTCCAGGGGCGAGAGCACCAGCATGGGCTAGCTCTACGGTCTGGAGCATCCAATCGTACATCGCTCTGTGGTGCCATTCCCAGTTGTCTCTGTCGTCATGCCTCAGTTGCTGAGTCGTGTCAGCGATGAAATGAAAGGCGGCATGAACCATGGCCTCTTCGAATTGGGTCTCGGATTCGGTCAGATGGGTCCGGGTCGAGTCTTTGAGGGCATGAAGGCCTTGCGACCAAGCATCGTCGGGGAGCGTGGTGGCGGGCATGGTTTCAACGAGAGGCGATCACGCCGGCTTGGGACTATGAGTTGATGCGTCGTCTATGTCAGCTCATGCGAAGATATAGTAGGATCATCTGCTATCATCTACCATAACTAGTAAGGGCTAACTCTGGGCGGGTTTGACTCCGGAAGCCTTGGCAGGACCTCCTTTGTCGAGCGGAACATCCCTGACAGGACCGGCCAATAGTTAGGGCAATTTTCCTTCCAACCAGCCTTGCATCAGCCAGCCTTACATCGATCGGTCGTCAGTTATCCCGCGCTTATAGAATAAGTATCCGAAGGTATCAATCTGACCGAGTTACAATGAATCCCCCCGATTGGCAACTTATGTTTCCGAGTGGCTTAATAATTTGATATCCTGGTTAGTTCCTCACCCTTATACTATGATGCTATACATAACCTCTCTCCCACCGGTCATCAACCCGACAAAGACCGATTTTGCTTCTCAGTTCATTAAACCATGCAATCCATCCGCCAATATCGCCGCCTGCGGCAGCAGGTGCAGGAGGACCTAGTTTACTCTCGACAGGCGAGGTTGCCCTCCGACAGCGATGACAAAAGTTCTGGGGTAAATATGACAGAGAAGCCCGATGTATTTGACCCAAACCTTGTGCCAGGGGTCTCCGTGTCTCACACTGATGAGGGCGGCCTCGTCTACGTGGTGGGCTGGAAAGAAAACGATCCAAGTAACCCGCAGGTCTGGAGTTTGCCCCGGAAATGGGTAGCGATGGTGACGTGCTGCTGCATCGGCATTTCCTTGACCATTCCAACCTCCGTCGAAGGCCCTACGCAAGATGCCTTTAATGCGCATTTCGATGTCAATCCTATGGCGGGATCAATGTCGACTGGTAACACCCACTCTCCCTCTAGTGAGTCGAATTGATAGCGAGCTGACAGTCGGTACCAACTGGTAGGTATTTTCTTGATAGGTGTCGGTGTGGGCTCGCTGTTTTCCGGCCCTTTTTCGGAAACCTTTGGTCGAAACATAGTCTATGGAGTCTCGATGGTGGTGGTTCTCTTGTTCATCATGGCCAAGGCACTGGCACCTAATTACGGCGCCGCTCTCGCCTTCCGGTTTCTCTGCGCCCTTTTCGCGGCGACCCCAATGACCGTAGCTGGGGGCACTATTGGTGATATCTGGACTCCCTTGCAGATCCCCTTCGGGTTACCCTTGGTCACTATCTGCGCCTACGCCGGTCCTATCCTAGGTCCCGTCATTGGAGCCTACACACCACAGATCGGCTTCGAATGGGCTGACTGGATCTCAATGATTATCATTGGCGTCGTCCTGGTCTTTGTTTTCCTTGTTCAGCCGGAGACCTACAGTCCCCTACTTCTCGAATGGCGTGCAAAGCACCTCCGCAACCTGACGGGCGATGTCCGGTACCAGACGGAGCATACTGCGTCGTCCGCCAGCTCCCTCGGCTCTCGACTGCTGGTCAACATGTATCGACCGTTCCTGATGATCTGGACGGAGCCGATCATCTTGGTATTCAGCTTCTACCTAGTCCTGCTCTACTTTGTGCTTTTCACGTTCCTCAACGGCTACCCGTATATCTTTACCCAGCCCTACGGTATTTCGACTAGCATGACCTTCATCTTGTGGGTGGCCATGATGCCCGGCGTTGTCGTCGCCATCGCCATGGTCCCCTACATCTATCATCTAACTAAGAACGCAGCCGCAAAGGCCATGGCCGAAGGTAAGCCCTTGCAGCCCGAGGTCTCACTCTACTGGGCGATGGCGGGGTCCTCGATCCTTATGCCTGTATCTCTGTTATGGATGGCCTGGACATGCTATGTACGTTTTTCTGACCTCAACTCCTTCATGTCTGCTCTCTGTATGAAACCCAATCGTTAATGTGGAAACGGCTCCCATTTAGAGCGATATCAGCATCTGGTCACCCATTGTGGCTTCAGGCGTCTTCGGGTACGCGCTGGTATGCATCTTCACGACAACATATATGTATATCATTTTCGTCTACCTTCAATACGCAGCCTCTGCATTGGGGTTCATGACTTTTGCTCGGTATGTCATTTCCGGAGCACTCAGCCCGGCTTCCATCAAGATGTACGAAAACTTGGGCGCGCATATATCATTGACGATCGTGGCTATTATCGCTGCGATTATGGCACCAGTGCCCTATATTCTGTACAAATACGGCCACCGAGTCCGAGCGATGAGTCGGAATGTTCAAAATAAAGCCTAGATTGTGTACCTTCCTCCCGAGCCGGGGCAGAGTCACGGCTGCGGCTTGGTTCCCAGGGGCGGATGTTGAAGAAGGCCGTTTCTTTTCACATGTTAAACACGATTCCAGGTGGTTGGTGTGTTGCTAAATGGCCTGGGTTTCACTGATATGGCCATCTTTAAAAAGGCTACTTTTCGGGTTTTTATTATTTGGTTTTCTTTTATTTCTTTGTGTTTTTCTTGCCGCTAGTTGCGGCCTCTGATAAGCTGTTAGAAGGAAGTACATTCACAGTGCTTTGTTAATGTCGTTCAATTTCCCATTTCACGTTTTCTTTGAGAATGTTTCATTAACTTTGGCTCCATCACAAATAATCATACATAACATTAATGCCATAGGACCTGACTCTAGCTGGGTTGTAACTCCGGCTTAACTGCTGGGCCGCCAGATCCGGAGTCAGCATATTGGTGACTCCGAAACAACCCTTGTGACTCCGCCTCCTTCATTATAACTTGGACGTGGTGGAAAGGGGGAGAGGGGTATTGACCTCAGTTCTGTAAAGACTCGCTTTGTTCGATTACTTACGATGGCTTTGCCAGAGGAAATCATCCACACTCCCCTCAGCCTGTTGGACTATATCCCACCTCGCAACTATGTGCGGCTTTTGTTCCCACTCGCTCTATTGCGCGGAGTCAAGTATCAGGAGGTATTTCGCAATCTCCAGGAAGCGCTTCGCAAGACCTTTGTCCAGGAGCCCTGGGCTAGAGGCAAGGTCTTCCGCCGGACCACCGACATCGACGTCCACGGTCAGCTTGAAATTCGCTTTCATCCACACTCGCGCGACGAGGGTCAGCCATGCCAGCTCCGGTACCACGAGATCGAGACTGACTGGACCTATGCCGATTTGCAAGAATGTGGATTTCCTGCGAATGTGTTCCCCGAGGATACGTTACTCCTTGACGCGCCTCGCCTAGGCGACGTGGATGGCGACGGGGCCGATATCTTTTTGGCCCAGGCTAACTTTCTACCGGGAGGACTCCTTCTGGCAGTGACGACCTCGCATGCGGCCACGGATGCCGCCGGCATGCTCGATTTGTTCAAGCTATGGGCTGAGAATTTCCGCGAGCTGCACGCGCGGGATGCAGGGGGGAAGATCGCGCCGTCCCCGTTCGCCACGCAGGATCGGGACCGGACCCTCCCCGATCAACTCTGGCGGAGAGCCCAGAGGCAGGGAGAGAAGGCAAAAACACATTGCCTCGACAGCCGTTGGCTCCGCGGCCTGGTTAGCCTGGACTCAGATCCGAACACTGTCGGAGACTCTGACCAGACCCAGGCCATGGCATCGACATCACTGGTGCCCGACGACGACCTCTCGTCCATACACGGCCGCATGATCAACCGCGTTCTGTTCCTTTCTGGTCAGGACCTAGCTACATTGCAGAGGGAATGCGGAGCCGAGCCTCTACCACCCGGCGAAGGTGCCATTTCCGCCAGCGACGCCATCAACGCTCTCCTGTGGCGAGGACTGCTCAGGGCCCGCGCTGCCGCCGCAGAGGCGCGATCGAAGCCGTTGACGGATCGTCATTCAGTCTTTGAGTCGCCCGTTGATGTGCGCGGCCTCTGGGCGTCCGATTTCCCCGCGCACTACCTAGGCAATTGCTTCCTGCTGAACACGGTGCAGCTGCCTCTAGCGGAATTGATAGCGCCATCTACGTCGCTGGGTCACATCGCGCGTGCCCTCCGTCGTGGTGCGGCGCGTCTGGACAGGCACATGGCGCACGAGGCCTACGGACTGCTACAGGCCACGGAGGATCTGTCGCGAGTACGAGGCCGGTTCGTGGAGCGCATAGACTCGGCGGACCTGCTAGTCTCGAATGTCATGTTTCTGGCAATGTCAGACCTGAGCTTCGGCGATCGCCACTTTGGCCACGGTGGTATCCCGCAGTCACTGCGAGTGCTGCACGCGCAGTACGCATCTTCGGTGCGGCTGGCGCACATTCTGCCGCGAAATCCAAACCACGGGGGCGTCGAGCTGAGCGTGAATTTGTTCGAGGAGGAGATGGCATACCTTGAACAAGATGCGGAGTTTAACAGGTTCTTGGTACCGATTGAGATGTGAGATAATAGCAGTGATAAGATTGTGTTCATTATCCCGAGGCACGAATTGCATGGATATCGAAATAAGAAACTGAGCTGAGGCGCGTAGAACTTTATGGAAGCTCATGTACCTTTCCTTGGGGTTCACTTTCAGCGTGAGACCAGCAGTGGAGCCAGTCGAGTTCCTTGAGGGTCCATCGAGAGCTATATTGAATGAACAGAAGTCATTAAAGCAACCAGCAGCCTGAGTCAGAAAGCTCGCACCAAACCCTTCACGTCATCATCCCTTGAAAGATCACAAATCGGAGTTATAATAACCACAATTTGGACAGGTTCTCCTTTTATCTTCCTCCTCCACTTCTTCCCTTCTCTCACTCATCTTATTATATTCCTCTCCCCTCTTATCCTCACTCCAAACGTATTTAAACCCGCTGCAACGCAGTATCTGAGCATTGGAGCTCTTAACCCATTGATCAAGACGAGTCGGGCGCTGCAACGGATTGGGCGGGCAGAAGGACTCGAAAGACTGATAAGAACCTAAGAATACGAGAAAATCACATTTGGTGAGGTAATCGTCAAGCGCGGCCTTCTTCTCATCTTTATATTTAATATCCAGTTCCTCAACGTAATCTTGTGCTTCTGCCTAGAAAACGAAGGGATGTTTGGAAGGAATTAAGGCTTCTGCATGCATTAGACCCTGGAGACCTCCGATGCGAAGCGATTGATCAAGCTTCTATTTGCAGTAGTCATAGTCCGGTCCCACCTCATCGGCTATTGCGCGTTCGATAAAGCAGATGCGTGTGGCTGGGGGCTGTCTGAGAAGCATTTTCCTCCAGCTTGCCTCCGGCCGTGAATAAGCTTCCGCTTGCCTTCTGGGAAGCCTAGGTGCTCTGGGCTTTACTGGTTTAGAAATGTTGAGTTCTTTGTAGAAGAACTGAGGCCATATGGTATTCGCAATCAGCGGGTTTGTGACCCGTGGTTGACCCTACGTTTCGATTTGAGATAGTGGTTGAAAGAATAAAGCCTTCTGTATTCTATTCGAGTCCCTGATAATATCGTTCCATAGATGGTAAACCCGGGCAGAAGTTAGAAGAGTGTGCATATCTAGATGTAGAAGGATCGGTTCAACGAGCTCTGGAATGTAGAAAAGATCTGATGTCTCTCCCACTGTTTTCTTTCGGGGAGAGAGATGCTTCTTCACGAGCCCTTGAAGCATTTTGACGACTGTTATGGAAAAGACGTGGATGAGTGAATGATAACTAAGAAGATGATGGTGGTACGTTGGTGAATGAGGGAGGGTGGTGAATGAGAGGATGATGAATGACTCAAAAGAGTGATGCCGATATAGCATCAGTGTAGCGTCATGGAAACTCTCTCAACTCAAATGAGTCATATGTGGGTCATTAAATCAATAGGCGGCTTTTGTGAGAGCGATGATAGATCTCAACTAAAAGCAGAGCTATAACTACCTGGTTGGAATATACAATGGTGCTATGAGTTGGAGAAAGGCTAGAGCCACATGAAAGCAATTTAGTGTGTGAAAAAGGTTTCACCCTCGAATGCCGCTACTAGTAGCCCAAAGTGGCTGAGGCCTTCTATGTAAGACACTTTCTAATGTTTATGGACGACATGGCTGTACTCAAGTATATGATTGCTCCGACAATTTCTGGTTATTTAATGCAGCTTTCGAAAAGGGTTTGGAATAAGAAACCTCGAGTCTTAACATGATCTTTCTAGCAACGATCATAGAAATGTCGCAAGAAGTTGATATACCAAAGCTCGTTTAGTCAATCCTTCTACATCTAGATATGCGTACCCTCCTGGCCTTGCCCGGATCTGTCGCCTATGGAGAAATTTATCAGTAGATAAGTGCTACCTAGACAGCCTCCGATCCCAGGGCTCCTCTATCGCTACGGCGCATAGGAGCTTCATTGATTAATTCGCATAGATGGTCTCGAGAATCTAATATATGTGAGAGGCTTGATGCCCTTCAACAATCTTCTAATCGTCTGGACAGAGTGCAATACTACGTTGAGGATATGGAGGAGTTTACAATGGTAGGAAGACGGCGCTGAGATCGTCTTTTAAATCCTGGCTATGTTTTCCAGTTTTTGGAAGTTTCTACCGGCACAACCCCACGGCTACCGACTGGGCTACTAAAAGACTAGAATACCAAGTCAACAGACTTGGTCCGCGCATCGATCTATATAGTGGGTTTGTGGTCAAATCATCACGCAGTTCTGGGCCTTCTAGCGATCAATCCGAATCTCAGATTGCTTTCAGCTGAAATACTATATTGTGAAGCGGAAGGAACATGACTGCGGTAGGTACGAAAGTAAGCCATCTCCTGGGCAACAGGTAGCGAAGGGAGCTATTAATCTTAATGGAGCAAGGAGGTATAGTTGCTTAATTGAGACCTGGAGCCTTCTGATCAGTTCTATAACTGAGAGTCACTCAAGTCACTCAAGTCACTCAAGTCACCCAAGTCACCCAAGTCACCCAAGTCACCCAAGTCACCCAAGTCACCCAAGTCACCCAAGTCACCCAAGTCACCCAAGTCACCCAAGTCACCCAAGTCACCCAAGTCACCCAAGTCACCCAAGTCACCCAAGTCACCCAAGTCACCCAAGTCACCCAAGTCATCTGAATCACTAAGATAGCTAGGATAGCCGGATTCTCCGGCGTTATTATACCACCGACGATATCCTTCCTGGCCTTCATGGCGACATATCGCTGCCCATTCCGAAAGCCATGCGTACTCCAGCCTCCCTAAAGACCGCATACTTTGCACGGTAACATTCAGCTCATCATCTATTAAGGCTGTAATCTCTGCTTTCGTGCTGCAATGCTCACATGTGTATGGCTTTAATGAATTCCAACCAAAAATAAGCCATAGAATATTTGTGTGCGGGCATGAAAAGATAGGCTCTAGCTGCCCAATAGCAGACCTGCGCTCATAAGACCTCTTCACATTATCGAAAGCTGCTCGATCGAAATTGAAGTGAAAATGATAGCTAGAGCGTAGTTCCAGCAGCAAACCAAAAGGAGTTTTTTCAATTGACACCGTGACTGCAAGCTCAACAGAGGCCTCGGCATGGTCAGTTATCGAGCACCGATGTAGAAGAGTCAGTTGGCCATTGACGGTCATCACAGGCATAAAAGCCCGACGGATTCTCTCGTGTAGAATGATTTTATCAGTATCCCGGGTTTGTATCCACTTCTTTAGCTGCTGTGCTTCAAAAAGGGTTAGTGCGATGCAAGGACACAGGTCTACAACATCTCCATGATCACGGCGCTGGGCATATGGGCTAGATAGCTGGAAATCCCGGAACACACAACGAGGATGGATCTTCAAACACCCCGCGCAGTAGACCCATCTATCATCCTGGATTTTGAAGAGGAACTGGTTCCGGAGAAGCGTTGGCTGAGTTAGAGGTACTTCAACGGTTTTGCAAGTCCATGCTGTTGGGCCCGATAGTCTATCATCTTTAAGGATGTATCCGAGATCTTGATATAGGATCCTGCAGGTGAGTGCGAGACAGGCCTGCGTTGGAAGCGGCAGCTGATCAAAGATCAGGAGTATAATCTCCGTGGGAAGGCTAGCTAATGCGGAGAAGGGCGCTTTATCGCGCGCTGGCTCCTGGTCCACTAGCTTGGCTCTTGGTCTTACTTGGTCAGTCAGAAGCCGGGTGGGTGCACTCTCAAGTCGAGGATTCGATCCGGCGTTTGGTGCAGGCCTGGTTTCCATTCTTGAAGGAGCGATGGATTTTGTTGGGCAATAGTCATGTCATGATATAACAGCCACTCTGCCATCTTCATGATGGCTTTCGCAAGAAGCTCAGCTGAACTGTAGAAGTTGGTAGGGTTGCACTAGGAATTAGTGATGAACTAGGAGGAAGTGCGATTTAGGTAGTTGTGGATGAGTCACAAAAGAAGCGAGGCGCGAGCGCCCCACGTGACTATATCTGCTTTGTCATCTGCCAAAAGACGACCTGGCCCAAGTGCGGTTATCATAACTTCGAGGCGTAACCTGTCAAAGAGTGGTGGTACAGTATAGGATGAGTAGGCCAAGCCATGGGGATAGCTCCCAATAACAAAGGCTTTGCTCGGGTCGATTACCCGAGCTAAGCCAACCTGAGTAGCAACTACTGTAGCAACTAGCGACTAGTGCCTTCGTAGTTAAATGTCAGGCCGATCCCGGGGCCTTGGTAGCACTGCCTATCACAGATGATTTTCCCATTTCCGACAATCATGAACCAAGATTCTGCTCAGAATAGTAGCCTGTCTGTCAAAGAATCTCTCGCATTAATTGCTTTAGGAACGGTCAGTCCTATCTATGCGATTGATAACAATGTTGTCCTGAAACACCGCCCCAAAACTTCGGACGATTTCGCTTGTCAAGCCTACGACATCGAGGTCGGCGCGTACCAACGGCTCGGAGACCATCCTCGAGTTGCGAAGCTACAGCGAGTTACGGATGATGGCTTAGTCATAGAACGAGGCGAATGTCTGCGCCGGGAGATTCAAAGCCAGGGGCCGACGACGAAGATACAGACAAAGCTCCGCTGGGCCCGAGAGGCCGCAGAGGGTTAGCGCTACATACATAGCAAGAATATCATCCATGCTGATGTCGGCTGTCACAATATTCTTCTGGATCGGTCGGGCCACATAAAATTCATCGACTTTGCTGGCTCAGGTATCGACGGAGAAGCGGCAACAGTATGCTACGAGTGGTGTAGCTATCGACCAGGAAGTGAACCAGATGCCGACCCCGATATAGAAACGGACATTTTTGCATTTGGCTCTTTGCTGTTCGAATTAGAGTCGAGCGAGAAACCTTACCAAGATTTGGAAAAGACTCTTGATATCGGAACGTTGACGAGAAGGGTGGAGCATCTTTTCGCCTTGAGAAGATACCCGAGAGTGGATACGCTAGTACTTGGTCGAATTATTTTACATTGTTGGAACGGGGACTACCACTCGATGGACGATGTTTTAGAAGGTATAGACGAGTGCTGCCAGGGTATGCGTAAAGGGATTAACGTTGTCCCCCGTCACCCCGGGATACGTCTTTTGCTTTTCCTGTCTCTTTTCGTTCTGCTCTTTTCTCTTTTCTTTTTGGGCTAGGATGCCGATCTTGTCCGGTCATTGCAACTTCATGTACTATACTACTCTGGTTGTCAGTACTCAGAAGCTTTATGGACATCTCCATCTATTAAATTCCCTTAGCAATGAACTTAGTCTTGATAGTGAAGGAAGAATCAATGGCTTGCCATGCGAAACCCAGGTTTTGGTGAATCGCAGGGGTTATTTGGCTTCTAAGGTCTGAAAAAGTATTCAATAATAATACATAGTTGTCTGCTTCATTCTCTGATTAACGAAGTCTTCTTTCTGGATTGGGGTTAGCAAACCAGGTATTTATTTAACGTGCCCACGCAACCTACCATGAAGTCCGCCATCTCACTGACTAAAGCGTCTTCAAAATCTATCCATTCTTTTTGTTGTTTCTCAAGGCGATCAAAAGTCTGCGCCCTATCGAAATCAATCCAAATAGCTCGTTGCGGATGATCCTTGATAACCATCATGTTCCTGGGATTAACATCACTGTGTTCGACTCCTGCCTTGTGGATCTCCTTTATGCCATTCATAAAAATTTCCATGCGTTCTTTCGTATATCTTGTCCAATGCAACGGCTCCATGTTGGGAATATATTCCAGCAAGATTCCTTTTGGAGGGTACTCATCTGCCGAAAACATGTCAAGGTGCGGCTGGCATAGCTTTGGATCCAGGTCATCAATCGTGCCGTAAAACCGCGGGACAATGCCACGTTCGCAAAGGCCAAAACTCCGAAGCCTTTTGTATGCATTGGCTTCACAGATATGGAAGTTTATTTCACGATCATTTGATTCGTAATACCGTTTTGGCCCGCGCCCGTGGTGCTAAAAGAGGTCATGGTCAGAGGCGTTCTTGCAATCTACTCTGAGTGAACTAACCACTTTTAATACCAAAGTATGACCTCGTATAGTAACGAGGAATAGCACGGAATACTTCGAGCATGATAATGGCTGTTCGAAGACTATCTCAGCGGTTGAAAAGTCCGTGAAGTCCATAGTGAATAAATATTCTTATGGGCCCCGACAAGTGCATGAAGTTAGGCAAGTTCCTGCAGGAGATCAACAACTTTAGGTTGTTACTGCCGATGGGTGTGCCATTTCACCACCTGGACTTCGACGTGCCTATTATGTCTTTTTCCATTCTTCAGTTACTATGCTGATTTGGGTAGCCTATATTCACTTTTACCACCTCCACCGATATATTCACTCTTGCTCCTGCAGCCTTAATATTTCAACACGCCATCGTCATGTTAGACTGCAGGCTCCAAGACACAACTTTAATGAAGCTTCAAGGCAAGGAGATGTACATAGAACAGAATATTTATCAGCTGGTTGAGTTATTCGCAGAAAGGTACGTACCAGAGATGCTCGAGCGGCATGCGCATTTTGTCGCAAGACGAGAAAGCGACAACCTCATGTGCATGATCAAACTGTGCTTCCAGTACGTCTAGCCTTCTACAGTCATTATTAGATCAGTTCATACTAATACATCGAATGAAGGTCGCACCCGGGAAGGGCCACTGATGATGAAGTAGCCGCCTGTGCCGCCTTCAGAAAATCGGGCGGGTGATGGAAGATTCCCCGAACAACGAGGCGAAAGCCCGCGCTCGGCTTGACGCAATACTCATCTATACCATGGATGACGCACGTGTCTGGGATATGCAGACGGGTCGGAAGCTTTCCTTGCAATCCGAGTTCTCCCTCGAAGCGACTGTGAAGAACTACTGCATCGTGGGGCGAGCCGACTATACCATCTGGTATAGGAAGGCCAAGGATACTGTGAACAATGCCGTTGTCGTCGAGGCGAAGGCCAAGAAAGAGCTTGAGAGGGATATCCGGGCTCTACAAATCACGGAGTCAATAGTCGAGACTCCCTATTTACTTGAACATGCTATACTACGCCAAGATGACATCCACGAGTACCCTGGCGGATACATCCGTACTATCGTCATGTCCAAAATGCCTGGAAAGCCCGCAGATGAATACGATGGCTTGACTACGAACGAACGCAGTCTAATCAAAAGAAAGGTCACCAGAATCTTGGAGTAAGCCTGATATTCTAAGAGTCATAACATCTCACTTACTTTAAATCTAGAAGCATGCGTCTGGCGGGATGGAAGATGTCGGAGGGGTACCCTGAGTTGGTCGTCTACGACCGCAGCACTGGGGATGTGTAAGGCACCAAATAAATGCAGTACATTGTGACACATTAAAAAGCTTACACTCATACAGATCCATCACAGGTTTAAACAGAGGAGGGGAATTGGACCCCAACAGGACCGTGCCAATTACCGAAGATTCATCGCTGGTGCATGGTTTCGGTCAGGATATCTGGTGGGAATAGCTGCCTAGCTAAAGTCTGACAAGAGATCAGACACTTTCCCCCCCTAACTTGCATATCGATTAGCTGAGCGGGACTTCTCTTGATTCTTGCGGTTATGTGAGATCTAGTCTACAATGCAGCTGATATAATTCGGCAGCATATGCATGAAAAAGGAGATGGCTTGGAAGTCATACTGTGGGCCATTAAATAGCGATAGGCGGCTGGAATATGAAAACAGCCACATGATTTCTACAAAAGAGCATACATATACAGGCTCATAATGCTGTGTTCTAAATGCTATTCATCCCTCGGATCAGGGACATTAAAAAAGGCCACCTGCACGGTTATATCGTCTCGTACATAACGGGAGGATGGGGAACTGAAAGCAAGTCGACCTGCTATCAACTCGTGATGATTTCCGCCCAAGGAATTGCGCATCAGATGCACGGCCACGTTATTATCCTGGGTCGTTGTTCTCTCCTCCTCGAACTTCCAGTCCATCCCTTCTCCAAATCGACCAAAGTCGAATGGTTTATATACTGGTACCGGGTTGCTGTTGTCCTTCCCCGCTGCTCCTGATTCCAACCATTTCCCTACTAGATCGACTGCCTGCTGATTGGAGAGCATATCCCACAAGCCGTCGGTTGCCATGATCAGGAAGGAAGGCTTGCCCGGGTCGATTTTAGTGCTTGTGACTACCGGTTCAGCCGTCAGATACGGTGGTGTTCGAACGTCGTATCTTGGCGTCAGAGGTGTTGGACCATTAAATCTCCGCTTCATTTCGTGCTGGAACTCCAAAGGCCATTTCCACTGACAATCACCGAAGGCTCGCGAGACCGCAAGCCCCAGCACCCGTCCGTTTTTAATCATGTCCTCTTCACCAGGGTGCTCTTTGCGGAGCCTGGCAATCTCTTCTGTGTTTTTGCCAGTCTGGTCTACTGACAATGGAATTGCTACCCAGCTACCGTCTGGCCTTCTCTGCCCTAGAGCTGCTCTCGAGTCACCGGTACAGGCCACATGTAGTGTGCTTGTGATTGAATCGTATATAGACAGCAAAGCGCACGAGCCGGCATAAGCGGGGGCTAGTTTCTTTATCTTCTCCTGCAACGAATCTTCACTTTGAGCTGTCTGAAAGGCTGCTTTGATAATAGAATCGTCGAGTTTCACGAACCCCTTTTGGATAGCGCGCTGCACCATGTCCTCGGGCAAGGATTCCCCGGTTGAAGGGGGTGTTACTTGACTCAGGCTGTGTCGGACGAAGGGCAGGAGGTGGTATTTCAGTAATTCTGCCGTTTGGCAGCCTAAATGACCATCAAAAACAGCCCAGGCCATCCATTGGCTACCTTCATCCCATGGTGAAGGAAATTTGCCATGGGTGAATCGGTCCTCGCATGGGCTGTTGGATGCCAATTGGGCACCATCATATCTGCTGACCCCCGTCACATTTCTGACCGGCACAGAATATGCTTCTTGTGATATGATATGCGTCACTTGTTCTTTAGAGGGACCCGGCTCAACGTCCCAATGCTCGGCTGGAGGACGATCAAGATGTGGCGCATCGTCGCAGGTAGCAGCGTCGCGGTTACTGACAAACCACCAAATACCCGATGTACTGGCCACACTAGCAGTCGCGATGTATCTCTTCAAGTTCCTGGATGAGTTAGGGCCTGAGTCCTTCGTTGAGTGGAAATCTTGGGCCCGAGTTCGCAGGAGAGAGGGCGTTGTCAAGCGTGGACGCGTGCGAGCAACCCTTGATAATAACATTGTTGCTAGGGGGCTAATGAAACAGATGGAGAATATGATTAATAACAAAAGATATATTGAAATATGACTGTACTTCGTTACATAGTTAGATAGCTGTGGTTAATAAACTCTCATGGTGATCGGTCGTCTTTCTGCACAGGAACGAGAGACTTCGCTTGACAGCGGTGAGCCTCGAACATCAAACCGAGTGATGCTAAGAATAGTTTAATGCATCGGAGGATTTCCAGAGGGAGATCAATGGCGAAGGCGGTGAAGGGAGCTCCGCATCCAGCCCCCCGTCAATCCAGGCAATAATGATACCATCTTCCTGTCTCCTCTTCTTCCTCCCCACGCGACTCCCCTCAAGTAGGACTCCGTAGTCCTGGGAGCTGGAGATTCATCATTATTTTCTAGTGCTGTACTTGATTATGCTCGGTGCCTCCCGCTTGTCTGGTTGGTTCGCGGAATGCTGAACCCGGCGGAAGCAGACATCACACGCGGTCAATAAGCCTCGAGTCTCATGAGTAAATAGTTCTTGCGACGATCGTCATGGCTTCATCTTCAGGTGGTACAGGCTCTAGCTTGGCCCGCGCGGTGGTCATTGTCTCCGGTGTATCTTCTCTAGTAGCTTCTTTGCTATCACTCCTGTGAGAATGCCATTCTTGCTCCTTGGTCCCCTTTATCGCAGCCTAGTCATGCTAACATCCACCTGTCTTCCACAGCTCCATATGGCTTCAAACGTACGCCCTTGCGGACCCTGTGTTCCCTCCTTCACACTCGCTGACCGACCTGATCTAGCAAAAACTATCGAAAACCTCTACTCCAACGATATGTGGTTCGCATTCTATTGATGTCAGTATTTGTACACTTTGAGGGAGGAGGTCCATTGAACTTAAATTAGTCAGGGTCCCAATCTATGCTGCCGCTTCGTGGACTAGTATCATTTCATTAAAGGCATCTCTATGGCTGGACCCAATACGAGATGTTTATGAGGTATTGTCCTGGATTTTTGGAGCCACCTGAGTGTCCGCGCTGCTGACAAGAACCGCTTTGCGCTTCCCAGGCCTTCACGATCTACACGTTCTTTCAGTTACTTATCAACTTCCTCGGAGGCGAACGAGCCCTGATCATTATGACCCATGGCCGTGCTCCCGTCCAGCATGCTTGGCCTCTGAACCATTGCCTTCCCAAAGTCGACATCTCCGATCCCCAGACATTTTTGGCCGTCAAGCGCGGCATTCTCCAATACACATGGCTGAAGCCCATTTTGGCCACGGTCTCCATAATCATGAAAGCGACCGATACATATCAGGAGGGCTATTTGGGTCTCACATCAGGTTATCTCTGGACGGGAATTGTGTATAACGTCAGCGTGACAGTCAGTCTCTACGCATTGGCAATGTTCTGGGTCTGCCTGCACAACGACCTGGCGCCTTTCCGTCCTGTCCCTAAGTTTCTCTGTGTGAAACTTATCATCTTTGCATCTTACTGGCAGGGGTTCTTCCTGTCGATTCTGCAATGGCTGGGGGCTTTGTCCAACGGCGTTGCAGGCTACACCCCCGATAATCTGGCTGCCGCCATTCAAGACACTTTGATCTGCTTTGAAATGCCGATCTTCGCGATCACCCATTGGTATGCCTTTTCCTGGCATGACTATGCCGACCCCACTATCTCTGCTGCTCGGTTGCCCGTTGTCTATGCTCTTCGAGACGCCTTCGGTATTAGGGATCTCATTGAAGACACAAAGATGACGCTGCGCGGTGAGAATTATGAGTACCGCCTCTTCGATTCGGGGGATCACATCATCGCACACGAAGAATCCGAGTCTCGTCTTCGACGGGTGATGCATGGCATGAGGTACGAGCGTGGAGGAAAGGCGAAATACTGGATTCCTAAGCCTGGCGAGGTGAATAGTCGGACTCCGTTGCTGTCGGGCTTCGACGCAGGCTCGCGCAGGCAACGCAGCAGCACTTTGGACCGATACCGCTCTCCTCCTGGTGAAATCGAGGAATTCGAAGTTGATCAAGACGACGAAGGGATCTTCAATCAAGCTCGCGCGCTGGAATTCGGCGACTGGAATGTAAGTCGTGGCGTCCTCCCTATTCAATTTAGACTGACAGAGGCCGATAATTCTCACTAGTATCCTGTGATCACGGCCAACGAGGTCCCTAGAGACCAACGTTTAACGGGACCTGCCACTTACCAACCCGTCCAGCCACCCGAAGTTGTCAAGAAGGCTCGCAAACAGCGGAAAGCTCGCGTCTCGCAAGGATCCAAGAGCACCCACCGAAGCCACAGTACCACCTCGAGCCGGTCTCGTAACGATTCTCTCGGTAGCCCGAGCTCGCGACCACCCGCCACGAGCTCGGCATCTCATAGTTCCCACCGCAGTCAGTTAGTGGATCTCGTCGTCGAGGACCGGGAAGCCGAAGCGGAAGAGCAGGTTCACGTCCAGCGAGCATTTGGTTCAACGACAATAGAGCCTGAACACAAGCACTTCCGGTTAGTAAACTCCACGGTCACACGAGAAATGCCCGATTCCCAATCGCTCCAGTTAACCTTAAATTCCAGGAGACCCTCAGGGGAACCAATTAACGACGATGCGCCATCAGGGGCGGCTGAGAGGGAGAACAATGCGGATGGCGACGAACCCAAAACACGAACATGGTCATATGGAGACCTGGAGGAAAATGTCTGGGACCGATGAACTCCGTGCGCGAATGGCATCGCTTTAGTGGCCTTCTTGGGAGACAGATTATAAATAGTTTTGTTCTTGCGACAGACCATTCAATTTCGAAGGTCCACGGCGACCGGTGGTTGGTCGCCCGCACATACATAATGGCGATGATAATTTGTTACTCCGACCATGCGACCGTGAAATACCATAGGAAGTAAGGAGAAAGAGAGCTACAGGCTGATATTGATTATTGGCACAACGTGGACTAGGCCAATTCGTGTTGGGACAAATGGCGACGCCTCGTTAGGCGCCGACGATGTGACAACAAGGCCGTGGATCAGGCACTAACGAACTAGCTTGCATCCAGGCACACTGCATGCGCTGGCTCCCTCATCGTCATTAGCTGATCCTCGCTTTTTTGGGCCAGCCTCTCGTTTCCCACGCGGGGGTCTTGGTCTGCTCCTGATCTCTCATCTGTTCTCTCGTTCTACTTTGTCTCTCCCCATCCCCCTCCTTTGACTCCTTCGTTTGGATCCATCTCGTCCATACAGGAGGATGGACCAACGACTCTGAAGCGCCGGTAGCTATGAACTGGGCAATTGGACAAGCAGGATCCATTTTCACCGGTTGGATCTCGTCCTGCTTGTTCTGCCCTACCTTAAGGGATGATGAGAGCTCCCTACATGAGCAGTCAATGCAACAGAAGGGTTCGTACAACCATCTGTCTGTTCTTTTTCCCCCTTGCTTTATCTTTTTCTTTTACCTTTTTTTTTTTTTTGTATACAGGAACATATATACATACATGCATAAGAACCCCCTATGCCCAACACGACTAACATTGTCTGCATTGCAGGAGCGGAGCGAGAGATGAAAGTATGCCACACCCAGCCTCACCTGGTTCCCCCGATGAAGCTGGCCGACGATCCACCCAGCTCGTCTCGGCCATCATGGGTTGTCGACGGCCGTAATCTCGCATCACGAGCATCTAGCCGGGCTAGCATGTCGTTCAGGAGGAAGTCGATGGCGACGACATCGTTGAGAATCAGTGCCCCGTCCGAGTTCAGACGAGTTCCTACGTTTTCCATGACACCGGAGAGGGCCTCGTTCTGCCCCCTGGAGCTGTCTTTAGGACACTTGCCGGAGCTTCCCAACTTCGAGGACTTCTATCTGGAGGACGACCAGTCTCAGTCTCCTGTTCCTGTGACTCGACCTCCAAGGGCCGAGCTCTCAAGACACTCACGCTCTCGGTCCCATCGTGCTTCTTCAACTTATCACCTGCAGCGGAAGCCTGTCGGGTCTGGATCTCTTCGTTCATCGCTGGCGACATTTGATCATCTCATTCAGATGCCTCCTCCCGTTCCTTCTAATTCTCATGTTCCCCAATTATCTTCTGCTTCTACAGTCACTGGCCTGACTTTGAACAATTTTGCACCCCCGCAGCAGCTGGACCCGACTCCGCCGGTAAAGGAAGAGTCTATCAGGGACCCTCCAAGCAAACCCCCCAGCGTCCCTAGAACGCCCACCCTGCAGGACAGGCCATTAACTTCATTCCTGGTCGACGATTCATCCTCCGCACCGTCAACGCCTAGGGAGGCTTATCCCCCAAGGACCCCATCGGAGACCACGACCAGCCCTAACGTGAATACCACCACCCCACCGCGCTCCAGCCGCGTCACCCAGTGGCTGCTGCAAACCAGTAATAGAAGCATGTTCTCGCCCTCCGGACCTCTTAATAGCTGGAAACCCACCCCTGACAAGAACCCCTTCCGTCTGCGTTCCCGCACTCTCAGCGGCTCAACCGTAGCATCCTCCATCAGCAGCCTAACCGGCAGCTTAGGATTCAAAAACGCCACCCCTTCAGAGTCTGACAACATGACCGCCACCACCATTCGGCCGTCGAACATGGATTCTCGCCTCGCCAAAGACCTGGAGTTTCCTCTTCCTGCAACCAATATAGGCGAGCATCAAACCCGAAACCACAACCTCAATTACAACGTATACCCCACAACCAATGAGAGCCAAGGCCAGCAACAACAGCAGGATGAAGAACTCTTCCCCTACAACTACTATGAGAACTATCGGCATTCAGCCGTGGGTCTGGCGTTCTAAATGAGCAGATGAACAAAAAAGCAGAAGTACGAATGACCACCGTCATGAGAAGATGAGATGGATGTAATGAGATGTACGGGTGAAGATAGATGAGAGACTGCAGGTTTTCTTTGTCTCGTCTGGGTGGAGTGTTCTAAGTACCCTTCTACCTTATTATTCCTTTTCCTGATTTACATGCGCGCGTGTTGCCTTTTCTTATCCCCCCCTCCTGTTATTCATTTCTCGTGATTTCGAGTCTGATTCCATCCGATGTCTGCTTAACTACTTGATTATCGATTGATTGAGTTGAGTGGCTTTCATCCCCCACCCTTTGCGGCGCAATATATCTATCGCCCTTCCAATCGCTAATGCTACATAATCCCTTCGTTCATTAATTAATACACACCCCGAACACACAGACAGACAGACAGCTCGACGAGATACTCATCAAGACCGTCCAACTATATCTGTCCATGTCTGTGTCCTTGTCTTGTCTGTATATTTCCAATAACAGTCTTTACCTATCGACCTACAAACTTATCCGGACTAGCCAGCTATGTTATGTTATGTTATATATAACCCTGAGAAACAGGAGTCACGTTGCTATCAAGTTCAGTGCTTGACATAAATTGGTCGATCAAATGTTCCATAGATTCTTCGCCAAGGTCCCGGAAGACTTGAAGTGCATACAGTGTAGTGTGTAGTGTAATTGGGTACCTACTCTACATAACATGCGAACCAAACTATATTCTCTACACATGCCTAGGCGCACACATGAATACAATAAATACTACACGAAACATACGAAGAGTGCGAATAAGTTAAGAATCATGCATACAAAAGTACTTCATTCATCTTTCTCTACCTGCGTAAGAAGAAATGAATGAAAGAAAAAGCACAAAGAAATCAAAGCAGAGAGAGATCTTGGGGATATCGTGTTCATCGAGGTATATAAGAACTGGAATCCAAAAAAAAGGAAAAAAGAAAAAGAAAATCAAGAAACGCAACATGCGAGGCAAACGAAAACAATAAAAACCCGATCTGAAACTCCGAGACAAGGGATGCCAAAGAGAGAGGAGAGGGAGAGAGATTGAGAAAAGGGGAAGAGGATGAGACACAAACACAAACACCATAAAAACAGCGAAAACACCATCATACACCATCATTTCACTTGGTATCTTTGGTATCAATCATAGGTATCTTGTTGGGATGAGGGTGCTGGTATTTGTATCACCACTCCCAGTTAACAAAAGACTTCACTTTAACACTGCCCAGAAAAAAAGAGAGCAAGACATGAACAGGGATATAGAAAATTCAACAATCAGAGGACAAAAAACGAGAAAATCAATCAACTCAAAGTTTCTCAAAGGGTATCGCTTTCCCCATCTCTTTCTCTCGTTCCTGAATTTGGTCCCTCTCTTTTTACCTTTTTTTGGCCGATTTTCCGGAGATCCTTCCTGGGTGGCTTTGGGTGGTATCAAAAGTAATAGAAAAAAAAAAAAAAAAAAACCGAATCAAGATGCGCTGATAACAAACTCAACAGAAAAACAAACTGAAAGCACAAGAAAAACACCACAAAAAAGTAGCAAAGTCTTTGGGGTATACTGCTGCAAATTGACGGTTTTTGTTTAACGCGGTGGCCCGATGGGGGCCGGGTATCCAGAAGTAGAATTGGAAGTACTAGGACGACCACTATCAAAAGACGCACGGGGGTCATGCTTGGGGGTCATGTCCCCCGGTACGGTACCGAATGGAAATTTAGCGTCAAAGCGCGCTGGCCAGCCATTGCTGCTGCTGTGGCTGTGGGAACTCCCCAAAACAGGCAGATCGTCCTCCGGGAGATTCACTCCGGAGTCATTCCACGGGTTGCGGTAGCCACTGTCGCGAGACTCCATAGACACCAAAGACGCCTTCGAGGCGTTGCTAGAGGCGTGCTTGAAGAACGATCCGGGGGATGCCGAATGGTTTTTGCGTCCGATGAAGGAAGAAAAGGACGAGATGCTTCCAGGCTTTCGAAGCCGTTCGAAGATCGAGCCACGCTCGCTGGTCTCGTCGGAGAAATTCGGGCGAGTGGGCGAGTCGGTGACAAGAGGGGCAGGTGCATGCTGAAGCAATTTAGAGTCAAAGAACGGCAGGGACTCCTCGAAGGAGTCGGATTTGGGACGAGGGATTGCTCCTTTGACGGTAGTCGCGTCGAGCCCGTGTGCGACCAATCGGGAGATCAAGAAATCTATGGCATCCTTAAGACCGCCCGCATTGTTTCGAGTATATCCAAGCACAACACGGTCCTCGGGGGCAAAAGTGGGAGACGACGAACCGTCGGAGGACGGAAGATCGGGGTTCGAGTCAACGTTGGTATCCACCTCGTACTGATCCTTCAGTTTGGCGCAGACATCGTCACGGAATTCGGTCGACTTGAAAAAGTCGCGAAGCTCGGGGGAACTCTGGAAAAGAAGTTCGTGACTTTCCGGGACCATTCCCTGAGACAGTAATTAGCAGTGTCAACTACGCAGCGAGTCAACCGAAACACTTACAAGCAAGGCATCAACGGCCTGCGGAACCTGGTACTCGGGTCCGGAAATGGTCACGACATCGCTGGCAAGCTCGGTGCTGGGAAATTCGATCTTGCAGTTCCATTTCTTCTCGAGTTCGTCGATTTCGGTCATGCGGGAGAGCAACTCGCGGTGGTACAGTCGGTTGATCACAACGCGCTCAGAAACGTACTCGGCATCCTACAATCCTTTATGAGCAAAGGAGCCGATCCCGAAAAGACGAGTGACACTTACAACTTTCTCGACCATGTCCATGATCTCCTGCTTGACCAGATCGAGACTCTGGGCGTTCCGCGCGGGCGTCCGGCAGATGACATTGTCGACCTTGATGTCATCGTCCTCCTTGCCCATACCGCCACGATCCATCGCGTTGGAGAACTTGACGAAAACTGAGTATTTCTTCATGATACGCTGGATATGCTGACCGCCAATCCCGATGATGCGCTTGTGGTATTGGTCGGGAACGTGGAACGAAATCGAGGCCGGCATTTCCTGTTCGACGAGGTCTAACCCGTTCTTCGTAGATTCGTATTGTCCTCCACAGACGTCAATGTAGAAGTTGTACTCGTTGAATCCATCAAAGATGATCTGCACGTTGCCTGTTCAACCATCAGCATTCAATTCCAAGCGATTACGATCTGATTGCCTTTGAACATACTTTGACCCATGATCTTGTTGATCTTGCCGTTCTTCTTGCCACTGACGAATTCCTTATGCTCGTTGGCCAGTTCAATCTTGACCCGCATTTGGTATTGACTGCGCTGAATGAAAGGAATCTGGTTGATGACCATCATAGCGGCTTTGACGGCATCGTCGGAGCCGTTAATGGTGAAAGCCAGGTTGTCGAAGCTGACCTCGGCGGCAGAGTTGGTGCAAATATCGGAGAGCATGGTGCGAATGTCAGACGTAGACGGGGTGCGGGCCGCTTGGGAGGGATCGGGGATGATGATCCACCAGGATGCGCTGTAGAATTGACCAGCCTAGTTTAAATTAGTAAAAGGAGGAGTGTTGAAGAGAATAGGGTTCAAGGTTGACAAACCAGAGCCATGATCTCCCGGACAGTGCGCTCCACGTGCAAGACTTCGGTGCCCTGAACGCGGACAACGCCCCGTTGGCTTCCTAGCTGGGGGAACAGAACGTAGGAACCGTTCATTTCCATGACCTTCCGCACCTTGTCCAGCCGGTCCAGTAGGATGTTGTCGATTTTATTGCAATTGACCACGGCATCCTTCACGTAGATCTTAACTCCCATTACCAATTCCCGCAACTTCTGCTTGGCACGAGCGATCTGCTCCTTGGTATCGCCGGTGATGTAAACTTCTTCATCGCTGCGACGGTGAGCGCCTGGAGGAGTGTAGCCGAATATTTGGGGGAACGGCGGCGGGAAATAAATGGCCGTGCCGGTCGCAGCCTCGATGAGCTTAATGTTCTTGCGGGTGCGGCCACAGACCAGAGTGTGCATGGTCAGGTCCAATTTAATGGCATCCACGTGACGTTTGAGCTGCGGATCGTTTAGCACCTACCGGGGAAATAAGAAAGAAAGAAAGTAGGGGGGGAAAAAAACTTACGATCTGATCTATCATGATCAAAACCCTGGTCTTGGCATGTTCGGCACTTTCCATGTCACCGTAGATCGAGACCCGAAAGCGATGATCCAGCCCGTTGTCCGAAGCGTAGCCGTAGGAAGACACCACCGCACTGTCGGTATCGCGAAGTTTGGGGCTGAGGAGAAAGATATCCGTGCCGGTATAGGCAGCCAAGGTGTCCAGGTGCTCCAACACAGTCGTTCGGATTCCCTTGGTAGTATTGTCGGTGATGAGATGCATATCCACATCGACGGTCGCACATCGCTATTGGCACCTCGCCCGTTAGAAAGCAATCAAAAAAAGAGAGCATCGAACCCCCATTCAGCGAATCAATCCACGTACCAGTAGGATAGGGGTCTCATTCAAGATCCTCGCTCGCATCTTGCGCACCGTCTCGCCATCGCCGGTGATACAGACATTGGTGACCAACCCCTGCGGGCGCCGTTGTAGCGAGGGCACGGTCTTGGGCTCCGAGGAGGCAACGGTTGCCTCGATCCGTCCGTTACTGCTCTCCGTAATCTTCTGACATAGTCTCCGCAGGGCATCGACGTTGCTGGTGTGGACCGGCAGGTTATGCACGGGGGTGCCTTCGGGGGTGCCTTCGGGAAAGGACCAGCGTTGAAGGGCGCCGGGACTCGCATGCAGGACGTCGTCGGCGTCGGGACCGGCCAGCGTGGAGGAAAACGGAACGTTGATCGAAAGATTGACGGTCGGATCGATACCGGTGGGAGGTGTCATAGGCGGAGCACCGTGTGGTCGACGGAGGGAGTGCGAGGCCATATCGGTGTGAGGCCTAGACATACCGAAGGTCGGCGTCATTCGTTCCCAGCCATGACGGGCCTGGCCCGTGAAGTTGGAAATCTTGTGCATGACACAGGCGGGTCAAGTCGAATCTCTGGCCCCTTGAACGAGTCGAGGGGAGAGATGCGAAAGGAAGCAGGCGGAGGGAGGGGGGAGTGGAGGAGAGAATGGCGGATGGGCGGGAATCAAAAGGGAGGGTTAGGAAGGAAGAGAAAGAAAGCAAGAAGTGACCAGGAAAAAAAATAAAATAATAGGCCACCGTTCTCGACAGGGATGGGGGAAGGAGGAAGAGGAATGGGCGCGAAAAGGTGGTGTGCGGACAAGGGCGGTTTTTTTTTCTGGCACCGGAATGGGTGGGAAAAAAAAGGTATCAATTCGAACAGGCAAACGGGTATCGAAGAATGGGTGGGGAGAGGGGGGTTGTTCGATGATGGGCAGAAAAAATAGAGAAAAAAAAAAAGAAAAATAAATGATAAAAAAGGAACAAGAGGTTAAAGAAGCAAAAGAGAGGTGGGGAGGAAAGGAAGGGAATCGAAAAAGAAGAAAAAGAAACAAAGGTAAAAGTGGAATCGGAAGAGAGAGAAGAAGAGGAAGTAAAGAAGGAAGAATGCGATAGATCCAGGAAGCAGGTGAAGATGAAGAAAAAGGTGGAAAGGAAACGGATCCAGACAAGTTCAGTCCAGGGACTTTCTCACTAGTGCCGGTCACTAAGAAGAAAGTAGGAAGTAGGAAGTTACTACGGAGTAGGAGGTCCATACAGTCGGACTGACTCAGCTTACCAGCACTTGGATTCTCTACGGTGTACAATCTACGGATTCTGTTCTTCTCTTCTCTTCGCTCGGTCTCTCTACGGCGTCCAAGTGTCCACAATCTGCCTTCCCTTCAGCTCACTAACGAACGATCTGGCGGCAGATGCGGGTCAAACTTCTCAGCCCAGCGTGTCTAGGCCCCAATGTTTGCAAATGGCGGGAACCTCTCGTTCCCTATGCGGAATGTGCTATAGATTAGGTCCGTTGGCATTCTTCTTCGGAGGACGTCTGAAGAAAAGGTTCGCTCCTGGCTCCAGGTCAATCCCTCGTACCTTTTCCACCGGAGGGGACTGGGTGGACTTTCTTCTGGATCCATCTTCGGAAGTTGGATTGAAGAACACAGAGAGAGAAGAGCAAAAGGAAGAGCAAAAGAAAGATCGATCTGCCGTACACCGTCGATACGGCACTAGTCCCTGGCGGGCTTAGTGGACACAGCCTCGTATTTCCGCTTTCCCCCGTTGGGCCCAAGAAATCCCCAAGCGAGCCTCCCGGGTCACGTGCCCTCCCGGCGCCCGTGACCCGTGCCGTACTGTACCGTACGCCGTACGCCGTCCAGATCCGAGTCGATTCCGTCATCACTTCGACTTCTTCCACTTCCAGTCAAAGTAAACTATAGACTCCAACGTACCTCGTTCCTTCTTTGCTGGTCCAAAGCTTGACGCCTACAAAAGTACCGGTCGGGTCGGTGAGTGGGCAATCCATCCGGTGTATGTACACCGTACACACTACACAGTACGGTGTAGTTACTGAATACCTCAGGTGTCTGTCTCTATCTCCGTGATCCTCTTAGGCAACGGTGGACGCCCAAACAAAGTACGGCCCGTACGCGGATTGAGTATTCTTCGTTATTAATAGGCATTATTTATGTCCCCCGGTGGGTTTGCCCTTTGCTCCATCTTGGTTTTTGCCACTCTGCATCCCTCGCATTGTCCAACCAGCCGACGGGATTCCTCCTCCACATTTACGGGGATGCAGGAATGCATGTCTCTCTCCCTGTCTGTCTGTCCGTCTGTCTCTTCTGGTCACGACTCCCTCACCACGGACCTGAGGGTCAGGGAACGCCGTTGGACATTCCCCAGCCTTGCGTCACTGTGTATCATGGCTCCGCCGCTCGGAACCCCGGGAAACGCATCCCTCTCTGCTCGTTGAATTTCAAAGACCATTGTTTACCAGCGGCGCCAATCTTGACATGGCCATGAATTCATCCTGGTCGGCGGTCGGGTCCCATCGGTCCAGCCAGGAGTCTCCAGGTATCAAAAACCCTCCGGATCGACTGACAAGCCTGCCAATCGCGTCGCGCCCACGCCGCTCATTGAGTTTGTCGCTCCAAAAAGTCAATGATTGACCGTGGTTAATTTGTGTCTGGACAACGATTACGAATCCGCTGGAGATAACGATCTGGCAGCCGGTCTAAAGGTGGCCGTTTCAGCATTCTCCCTGGGGGGAGAGATTGGAACTAACTAGTCTAGACACTGCAGCCTAACCCCCTTCTTCCCTCTCTCTCTTTTCTCCTCCCCGCCGCCAAAAGTCAACCGGGACACGAGGTGATCAATTAAATCCTTGCTAGTCCCTTCTTTGCCCCTGCACCACCCGGTGTATATTACTCATTGATCTACAACGGCATGGACATACTGTGCTAACCACCGGTGTTGGGTGTACTCAAAACCGACTAAACCCACCTCATCGACGGGGCCATTTTCACCGACGTCATCTCGAAGCAACGCCGAGTGGGTCCTGGACTGGTTGTAGTCGCTCAGGAATCAGGACTGTCTTAGTTCGGGTTACGAGAATCATGCAAGTCGTGACCACTCTGCCCTACCTTACTCCCTCTTACCTCCGGGGGTTAAGTCAACTGATAGGATACTTTGTTTTCCCCTCTTCCACCCCCCGTATTTCCCCCCCTTTTATCCACGGTCTACCTGACTTGAGCGAGACCGACCATCCCGGCCGATCGGAGATATTTCTACCATTGTCAGGTGTCATGTCACGCGGTGCCTGGTACGGGTTTCCCTCTTTATGCTTGCTCGATGTGATATGTAGACGTGCATGCATACGCGATGGGTTGTGGTGGGGGTGTAATGTGAGGATGCGCTGTCTTACCTTGCAGTTCTCTGTGCGTCCACCACTTGGCCATCTCTCATGTATTGGAATAAGGGAGCCAATGGTCCCTATCGCATTTAGACCTATTATTTATATAACACTCAGTCATACTGTATTTTCTTTCACAGCAGTGTCTTCAAGCACTCCATTGATAAGCCGCATGAAAATAAGCGGGAGTGCCTGAGATCCCAGGCATCCATGACATGCAGTAACTTGACAACTAAACAGACATCTACCTCCTCTGTCTCTCTGTCTCTCTAGATATTGGTTTTAAAGACTTGATAGTAAAATAGACTATGGGGTATAGATCTATTATCTTATCATCTTTGCGATCTTGACCATCCCGATATATTCCTAGATATAGTCTGTTGAGAACCTTCTCTAACTTCACAAAAGCATCGCCTAATTCTGTCATTTCCGCAATGCTCCAAGCACCAGATCATTATGCCGTCATGACGATTGACCGATACTTCATACCATACCCCATAGCTCATCATTCCCGACAACCATGACACGTTCAGTCCAGCTTCAGGGGTCATATCGTATGGCGCTGATTCTTACATGCAGGATATCATCAGAAACCAGAGTCGCTCTTGTAGCTTGCCTACTACCCAGAACCCATTCCCCTATTAACTAGAAACGAAAGACCGAAGATGGCAAAGACACGGAAACCTGTCAAGTCGATGATCCTACAATGCTTGAACCGATTCATCCGCCTTCTAACTCACCGAGCAAGACTCAAGCAAGACGATGAGGCACCACTTGTTGAGCTGCCACTTGATAAAGAAGAAGAAGAAAAAGAAGAGAAAGAAGAGAAAGAAGAGAAAGAAGAGAAAGAAGAGAAAGAAGAGAAAGAAGAGAAAGAAGAGAAAGAAGAGAAAGAAGAGAAAGAAGAACAGACTATTTGCCTACTATCTGCGCTTCCTACTGAAATTATCCTCCTAATCTTCGATGAACTCTCGCTTCCAACGCAAGCCTGCCTCGCGCTGACATGCAAAACCCTATACGAAGATCTCGGCTACATCCTCCGTGACAAAAGACTCTCCTTACCAACAGCGTGGGCTACTAAATTGGCTTCGGAGAGACAGGATTCAGAGGAGGATCCAGAGCCTGTGGATGAGAGGCCGTTGGTGGATAGGCCGCCGAACTCCCACTCAGCCAACCAACGCTTCTAAGGAACCAATTCCTCTTCAACGCCGAAGACGATAGATGGCTCTACTGCTCGGGGTGTCTACGGCTTCATCCTCGATATCTATTCACACCCTGGGAGCAAGCTCGTCCATCCGCTGAACGCCGTTGTCAAAACGAGGGAAGAGTACTAGACGTCTGTCCGTGCCTTGTACTCACCTACTTTGAAGGACAGCAGTTAGGGCAGTGGGCACGAACCGGGAATCCCAACGACTATACACCCGAGAGAATCCGGCGAGCCTTTACGGCTACGACGACTGAGAAAACTATACTTCAGCATCGGTGCTCAATTACCGACCATAGGGAGGCCATGGTCGATGTTATAACGACGGCTTTGATAGGGGATTCGGGCTGTCTAGAGCTGCACTCGAGCTATCACATACACCTGAATTTCGACCACGCAGCGATCGACGAGGCCAGCAGACCTTATAAGTATTATATTATTAGGGAGCAACTAGAGCCTATCTTTCTGTGTCCGCACCTTGACATCTTAAAGATTATCTTTGGTTCGCGTCCACTGGAGTCAAAAGAATGCTTGATTTGCGCTGCGATCGCAGAGATGCCAGATTGGATAGACGACGAGATGAACGTTATTGTCCAAGGCGTGCGGAGTCTAGGGGATATAGAAAAACCAATATCTTATCCATGGAATTGGATGTGCCGTAAGGAATTCCACGAAGGGCATCGTCGGTGGTACAATAAACCCGGGGATCAAGCTTCTCTCAGTTAGAATTACCGGCTCTGCAAGTTGCAAGTCTTCTGGCTGAGCATTATGCGAAACTGGCATGCAGCCTCTAACCACGATTCGATACTGCGAACGGGTCAAATTGTTGGTGAACCTTTCGGTCCAAACATGGGTTGCCACACTGTATACACGATGGTAAGTTACAGTCAGCTTGTCGGTGCAATTGTTCCTAACCAGTGATGAGCACAGGAATTGAGTTTCAAATCTACGAATACAGCTATACGAATCATGTTGCACGACACTACTACTGTCAACACCATGCTAAGGAGACCGTCACTTAATGTTGGTGCAGGAAATGTTTGAATTTGAACTCGTCTTACCTTCGCCCTGAGGCTACTAGTCATCAGCACTGCGGAGAAGTGCGAGTTCGTCGCTGATGACCTCCCCTGATTAGATGGCCAGTCTACTCAGGATCATTGGGTTTGGTAGGGCGACCTGGCCTCTGCCTTACTACGCCAGCCACGAAGTCTAACGGCCACTATGAGGTTCAAGGACAGAGCTCAATCCCCTCATAGCTTCAGAGACGACGTGTGCGATCTGCCCCTCCCGACGCAAAATGTCTTCTTCGCGCCTTCGAAGTGCCTCTTCCCGGTCACTCAACACGGTTTCCCGCTGCCTCAGGCTAGTCAGCAGTTGTTCCACTGTGCCCTCCCGCTCCTTCAACAGGGTCAGCAGTCTTTCGAGTGCGTCTTTCCCGGTATCCAGATCGGTCAGCAGTTTCCGAAGTGCGTCGTCCCGGGCCGTCAGCTGTTGTAGACCAGTCCGCATCTGAGCGAAGGGCTCCAACACTTGCTCGTTCGTCGGGGTGATCAACTGGGGGTTCAGCAAAGGAGTGACTTGGTCTTCTTCCTGTGGCCACAGAAAAGAAAACCGGTGCTTGAGCCACTCCTTCAGAGGACGCAACCCAAAAAGTATGGGAAGCAGGAAGCCTACCCACCATCTAAAGTCAGCCCAGTTATTCATAGTGAAAGCCATGGTGAACAGGGGTGAATCTCTGTGTGTATGTGTTTGTGTATGCTTGGGTATACTTAGCTCTGGTATAGATCAGTGCTTTGTTGAGAAGAGAAAAGAGACAAGAGAGGCTTCTGGCTCTCATCTCGAAGCCCATCTTGTCTTCATCGACAATAAGGAAGGCACGACGCTGAACTACTGTGGCAGGGACCTGATTGCGGCAGGTACGCAGGAGACCATTCCGTGGGCAATAGCGAAGGAAACCGTCAATCTTAATGCAGCAAGAACTTCAAAAGAATAGTGGTCAGTAACACCGGGATCTAGAAACAACATTCGTCCGTCTCAGAATATAGTTGGTCAAGAGTATCTTGCAATATGTAGATGGAACCTCTACTCGAGAGGTTGACAGCAGATCCTCAGTAGCTGCGCTCTACACCCACGGGGCAAAACTAAAAGGCTATTATTGATGGTACTAAAACCAATGTCGGAGTTTGCCTTAGCATCACAGTCTTTGCACGAACATCTTATGCTCTAGTCCTAGGATGTACAATATGTGTGACCGATCATCTGTCTCTGCCGTTAAACGATCTGTCCGCCGCCAAAATACGGGCCTATGGTCAAACATCTCCCTAACAACATTCTTAGTTAGCCTGTTCGTATCAATTGATCACCATGATGTCTGCATTTGCACCTTCAAAGCCTAGTGGCTTAGGGCCTCACATTTCAGTGACAGTAAGCGTTTTGATATACTAAGTAAAGCAAATCAGCTCCCGCGTCGTGCAGCCGTAAATTAAATTTACAGTAGTTTCCCAATCTTGAATGTCTGAATAGCAACCATTATACTTAATGAGTTGTTACTAGGATATAGCGTTTTATATTTAATCGAATATGGATACACATGGCCGAAGAAAGGTCAGATGTACTTGCTCATGCTTACTATGCTGTCGTTCCTAACATCGAAACTAACTCTAGTATATCCGTGCTTAGAGAGACAATCATAGTAGCTACCTAGTCATGGATGTATAGTGGAGACGAAGTGCCACGAGGCCGCTCAGATTGAGACATGCGCAGCTCTGCATTCTTGATCTTCCTCCGACAATCGCTTTAAACTGACCCAGCTGATTGATTCTAAGACTAGATATATCTAAGACACCTTACTTAGTATAGAACTCTATATTCAGCCGGGTGTCCATGCTCTTGATCCCACCTGTCCATCCGTCCGGGTCCTGCTGGTCGGTTGTTTGGTGCTCGTCTGAGGTAGATTATGGCCGTGGATCATTTTTCTTTTCGATTGATTCGCGTGTCCCCTTGTCTGTTACAAGGTTTCTGGTTCACGCAGTTGGGCTGTCCCGTGGTTGTTTGCTCTGAGTAGACACCGACCTGACCAGCCTACGCTTGATTACCCATGGTACGCCTTCGATATTCAGGAATGGAGCGACTTGCTGTGGATGAAAACCATCACGTTCAAAGATACTTCGTGTCATTGGAGCTTCTTCGAATTTCAAAATACCGAAGTGACGTTGCTGACGCAACTTTACATTCTCTTTCGCTGCCCCGGTCGATGCTGATCTTATTCATCATTTGCTCTAGATCTATGGTGGCCATGATTGGATGCAGAAGTCATGAAGAATGTAGTATGTCAATGAGATTTGTCCAGGGTAATGAACAAGATCAACTAACTAATAATACTTATTTCATGAATTAAATGTCATTACATAGGAGAAAAACAGTTCACGTCAATAGCGCTGCGAAACGCGATGGACTCCGCTGTCAAGCATCACTCGCTCGGGCTCGCCACTTTCGTAAAATCCTTCTGCCCGGGCTAGAGGTCGCGCTGCGACGTATAGTGGTCGCTCGATGTACTCTCGTGGCCTCCGGACATCCTCATCCATATACACGCTCATATCTCGACCTCCCGGTCGGACGCTTTCGACCCGCGGAAGCATCTCTCGGGGTTCTTCGTAGCGGGCGGTGGGTGGTCGTACACTAGGAATCCGAACGACCCGCTCACGGGGAAGCTCGGCCTCTTCCACGTAAGGCGGACGCCGGGAAGTGTAATCGCCGACCTGGACGCTGGCGCTGCGAGGGAAAGTTTCGCGCTCGTCAAGCGGCGCAACATAGGATCGTCTATCACTCGGAGCCGGCCGAGCGTAGTCCGTGACCCGTCGATAAACTCCTTGCGGTGGTGGCATCTCTTGCATGTATCGTCGACCACCGTAGGGGTCCTCGAGCACGGACGCGGCTCGGACGCTGGCCTGACGCATTTGCGGGGCGTCGTCGTAGACTTCGCTGCGAGGCACTCGACTGGTGGGGGGAGGCATCGGCTGCATCCTCGGTGCCGGAACCGTTTCATAGTAATGGTTCCCCTGCTCATCGACCACAATCCGCCGTGTTGTGGGGGGCGCCATAATACGGCTCGCGGGTTCCTCTTCATAGTACGCTTCCCGATACTGCGGAGAGGAAGATGCCTCGCCTGCAGCGATGTAGCGTCTCGTAGGTGGAGGCGCGACTTCGTCATAATACCTAGCTCGTTCCTGCTGCGGACGCTCAAGAACCGCATACGATGCTGCTCGCATACCTCGGGGACTAGCAGGGTCGACGTATTCACGGGGATATTCCTGTTGCCGACTGTGGTGCAGGCTTGCGACCCTCCGCAGGTCCTGATCATCCCGCATTGGCCGTCTGGCGCTGACCCGCGACAGAGTTCGCGGGATGGTTTCACCAGGATACTCGTACGGATCTAACTCATAGGCCGGCTCTCGGATCGGAGGTTCTCGTCTCTCCACCACCGGAGTGTAGCGGGGAGATGCGATGTCAATGTACACAGGCCGTTCCTGAGGCTGACGGCTGCGGTATGATGGGGGCGTATCGGCGAACGGTGGCGGCGACACGGGTTCTTCCTTAATGTAAGGCTCATCAGATCGACCAGGCTGCATTCTATGAGAGACGGTGCGGGTCTTGTCCTTTTCACCATGTAGTCTCCTACGCTTTCTAGATGCCAATGGCTGGGGTGCAGGACCATCGGGGCTCGCCTGACCTTCGGGGGCGTACTCGGAACGGGAGTCTTTGGTTTGGTGGACGGAGGGGACCTTGGCGATCGCTAGCGGTGAGACCCTAGAGGGCTGCGGCGCTGCTGGTGACGTTATGTGGTTCCGAACAACCCTTACATCGTCCCCGGGGGATATCGACCTGCGAGGGTAACGGCCGCGGTCGGGACGATTGTCTTGGGGACCTCGTCGCTTCGGTCCGCTGGGATATCCTCGTGGATGATATTCATGACCTGTTTCCCGTTCCATTGGTGCCACACCCGGAGCAGGCGGTGAGTACTCTGGCTCTTCGAGAGCATCCGCCGCAGCCGGAAGCGCCTGGTATCTGGGACCCGGCATATACTCTGTATCGACATAACGTGACGGCCTCTGATGCTGGTAGGGTAATCGCGCGTCTGCAACGGGGTAAGTATCTTGCATATCCTGATCCGATTCAGGTCGGTTGAGGGCTTCAAGCCGTTGCAACTCATCTGAATAAGGTTCTCTTTGGACTTCAGTAGCAAGCTCTTGATGTATGGGTCGTTTTGGGGATGGCCCTTCCTGGTCGCCGTTCTGCGGAGAATCAGGGGCTCGACTCGAATAAAACGAGTTGTCATCGAACGAGTCACTGGATTGTCCGGCACCGGGGGCATCGACCGAGGGCGAGGGATTCACCATCTCGAATGCCTTCTGGAGCACCTCAGACACGTCGAAGTCAGGCTTCGCGTCCTGGATTGATGCCTTCTGCCGAGACTCTTGTCTCTTCTGGTCCAGTTGGTCCCGCAAAGACCGTTCCACTCTCTGCCGCTGTAATTGTAGTTCCGCTCTGACAAGATCATCTGACTTGGTCAAAAAGATCGGGTCAATCTCGGAGGTCGGTCTAGGCATGACGCGCGAAGACGCAGCCAAAGAAGAGGCCGCATGGCCGGCATTGGGTCCTTGCGTGTCCGGAGGTATCGTTGGCGTAGTAGCCGCGGACTGGGGGCGATTGTTCCCTGGGGAAGAAGACACCGGTTGGTCACCGGGTTTTACCTGAGCTTGATTTGGGGCAGGCTGGTTTCGGACCGCGGCCTTTCGCACGAACTGCTGGGGTACCTTCAACCTAGGGTGAGTCCCAGAAAAGATGTCGTCACTTATTTTTAAAATTTTCTCATATTCCTGGATTTCTTCCTTTGTAGGTAGTCCGCGAGGCACACTCCCTGCTGGAAGTTGGGCAGTGGCCATAGTCTGGCAACTTTGCGCGAAGAAAAAAAAACAGGTTTTTTTTTCCCCTTTCAGAAGTGAGTTCACAATCGCAAGATTGCACAAGCCTATTGCATGTCCCTTCAAGGAAGCAAAAGACCCAGATAGTGGACCGGCCTACGGTGCAATGAGTTGAGTGATGAACTAGCACCACTGTTAGTGACGGGAGAGACGCGGTAGTGAAAGAAAGGAAAAGAGGAGAGAGTCCGGTTCGGGTGCAGCTTCGAGACGCAGACTTGCTGGCGGTCCGGCGCTAGACTTCTTTGGGCAAGGCGCAACCGTGACCGCGGCCGAATCCCGTGCCCTCCGGTTGGGTGCCGTAATTGGCTGGGTGCCTCCCGGTGTCTGCTTCTCTCTCTCTGGCCATGACTCCGCAATGAATCATTTTTGGGGCCCCTCTCTTATATTTAGGACCGTTCGCTCGTCTACCGGGGGTAGTCTGAATTCCCGCTTCATATCACGCTCTAGATCTCTCTCTATTCTCAATTGCTCTCCCCGTTTGCCCTTTCGCGCGGTCCCAACCTCGAAAACAATGTCGACCGCAGTCCCGAGTACGGAGTCTGATCCCAGACCCGTCTTCTTCTTTGACATTGACAATTGTGTAAGTGGTCTTGGTTCGGACATTATATGCGATCGCGCGCTAACCAAGTGCTATCATATAGCTCTACTCCCGAGGTCAGGAAATGAACTAGATGACATCGCCCGAAGGACAGAAATACTAACTCGCCGATTAGAATGCAACATCTTCGGCCACATGCAAGAACTCATAAGTAAGACCCCACACCGTCAATCACATCAGCTCCGGTATCTCATGCGCCTCGCGTTTTCATAGACAAATTCTTCACCACCCACCTCTCGCTCAGCACCGAAGACGCCCACGTCCTGCACATGAAATACTATAAGGAGTACGGTCTTGCCATTGAGGGTCTTACGCGCCACCACAAGATTGATCCCCTCGAATTCAACCGCGAAGTCGACGATGCCTTGCCGCTGGATGACGTTCTGAAGCCGGATCTCAAGCTGCGAAAGCTTCTCGAGGACATTGACAAGGACAAAGCGCGACTATGGCTCCTGACGAACGCGTATGTCACCCATGCGAAGCGGGTCGTCAAACTCTTGCAAGTCGATGATCTCTTCGAAGGCGTCACGTACTGTGATTATGGTCAGACGCCGTTGGTCTGCAAACCGAGTCAGGAAATGTACGAAAAAGCAGAGAGGGAGGCGAAGGTCCCCAGCGGTGCCAAGCGCTATTTCGTTGGTACGTTTACTAGACTCTCCCTTAGCCTACCGAGTCTAGACTAGACACGGGGACAATACTAACGGGTATTGAAGATGATTCCGGCTTGAATTGCAAACATGCCGCGGAACGGGGATGGGAAACCGCCCACCTGGTCGAGCTCGGCGTCACTCCTCCTTCGACGCCGGCGTCGCAGCACATGATTCGCAGTCTCGAGGACTTGCGGATTTGCTTTCCGCATCTGTTCAAGAGCGGCAGCTCGCTCCGGAATTGATAGATCAGACGACATAGATCTTTACGCGTGTGTATGAAATGTCATGTTTATGGATATACGAACGAATCACGGGGGACTCTTATACAGGTTTTTCGGGAGTATCCTCTAGCCAACTTCTGCTTCAACGGAAATTAAACTTATGTAATAGATGTTTAGATCAGAGGCTATGACTATTTTGGAGGGATATTATCAACTTGTCTAATATTTAGCCAATATATATGATAGAAATGTAAGCCGCAACAGTGGGTGTGCAATAGGTGACACCAAGCCATCAAGGCCTCATAGTAACCAGCCAGCGGTCACGAATAAAACGCAGAAGAGCACTGCAGAAGAAGGAATGATAACCTGGTGTCCAAAAGATGATTTCTCATCCGTCCTGTTCTTACTTGTACCGTTCACAGTGTTAGTCCCAGTCGAATTCCTTGACAAAGATGCATTGCGCTTGTGGTAGCCGCACAGCCCTGAGTTTCTGAGCTTCTTCAACGGGTAGAAGACTCTCGGCTCTCCAGCATCCATGTCAATGGTAAGACGACCATGATGATCAATCTTATGCTTTGAGCAATTCAGGATTTCCATGACCCCCATGTTCGGCGAGAAAGTGTTGTTCAATGTAAGTTTATAGGGACCACCGTTCGAGCCTTGGTTGGAGAAAACCGACACGACTTGGAACTTGTCCGAGCCCTTTCTGGTGACATATGTTGAGCTGTCGAGGTACAACTCTCTGCTGTGGCTCGAGACGTAATGTCTGTCCATCCTGATAGCGTGGTTTCGTATCTTGTTTAGCGTTGCTGTCAAGCTGTATAATGGTCCACTGGTGTTGTATCCGGTGGTCCAGAGTGGTGCACGATTGTACGGGGCAAAGTTCCCTGCCATGTGTTGTTCCTGGCCTTGGTAAACTGCATCGACGTGTTAGTGTGAGATTCGAAAAAGCGACAGGCCATGCCACTTACCAACAGGGATACCATCAGAGAGGATATTGAACGCCATTGCGTTTTTGGCGAGCTGTGCACATGCGATTAATATCCTAAACATAGACCTTCCTTCTTTGGATTGCAACTTACCGTGGTATCGTTCACCAGCGAAGCAAAGCGTGGAATGTCATGGTTCTCGAGGAACGTCGCCAGACGGGTAAAGTCTTTACAGCCGTCGTGCACAGCGCGAACCTTCTCCGCGAGCCCTTCCATCTCCCCTGCAGTGAATGCCTTGATCATTGGAGTATGAATCGGGAAGTTCAGAAGCCCGGAGACGAACTTTTCGTATCTGCACACCAGGTCTGTGTCTCCGCTGTAGACCTCACCTAAGGTGAATACCCCAGCAGCCCGATTGAAACTAGTCAAGTAGGCATCGTCCACATGCTTAGTAGCATCTATGCGCAGGCCATCGATCGAGTAGTTGCCGACAAGCCCTTTCACCCATTCTTGGATCATCCGAACAACCCTATCATCCTCCGTATTCAGGTCCGGCAGAGCCACCGTCTGCACTGCAAACCAGCAGTTCTGATAATCTTCCGGGTCATTCCAGTCCCTGATCCGACAAGCAGGATGGTAGTACTTTTCATGATTGAAAGGGATGAGCTGCGACCAGTCCATCTCAGGAGGATGGTCGTCATCCATAGAGCCTTTAACAGCTTGAGCCATATCATTGATCACGACATCGACCATCAAGTACATGTCCCTCTTGTGGAGCTCGTCCGCCAAATTCTTCAGATCCTCAGCCGTTCCGAAGTGCTCGTTCAAGGCGTATAAGTTCTGCGGCCAGTACCCGTGATAGGCTTCCCCGTATTTGGTATTGTTTGGAATGTTCTCAACGACCGGAGATATCTGGACGGCCGTAAACCCGAGATCCTGTATGTAGTCCAGGTTGTCGGCGATTCCAGCCCACGAGCCTCCGCAGTACTTGTACGGATCGCAGGAACTATCGTCAGAACTGTTTGACCGCGCAAAACGGTCGGTCATAACTTGCTGTGCGTCTGTTAGTAGGGGATTTATGACATTGCCATCTTCAACGCAGTAGAATGGACTTACGTATATGGATCGCTCAGTCCATTTCTGGTCTGAAGGCGCTTTTGCACTGGCCATGCTAGTTAAAGCAGACCAGAGCACACCAAGGTATAACAAACGACCCATACTATGAGCTTGAGTCGTAGAGTAGCGTACGAGTGCCTGTGAGAATGTAGCCCTGTTTAAGAGGGAAAGGATAATATGATAAAGACAAAGAAAATGTTCAGCTAGAGAGAGAGTCATTCAATGGCCATAGGATTCGTGAAGAGATGGAAGCAAACAAATCAAGAAGCACACGAGACAATGTGTTAAAAGCACCGTCTGAATTTCATCCTGTACTAAACTACCAAGCTAGAGACTTTAAGTATGTACAAGTCTTCTGGTGAGTGACCTCCTACATGAATGCCCTCCTTTGGATCCAAGCGAGGAGGAAAACGGTAGTAGACGCCCCCTACCAAGGCTTTGCAGGAGCATGCCCGTCACCCCCGCACGAACAGGCTCGAACGAGTGGGATGAAGGCTGACAGGGCGTTCTCCCTAGTGAAGCAAAGGGAGGTCATTTCCCTTTCGGGCAAGTTTCTGCCTCAGGCATCAAGGCACCATCGCGTGGGGATCGCGTCCTGAGGCTCCGACCGGCAAGAAAGCCGTTGAACTTCCCGATAAACAACATCCCCTGTTTCTCCCCACGGCGCTCGCCCTGCCCCTCCCTTCCCTACTCCAAGGCCAATTACTGGTACCAGGGGTGTGGCTCCTGGATTGTTGGATTATGGAGCAATCTATCGGCAATGTGGTCACACTGACGGACGGTCGGCAGGCCACCGTTCGCTTCATTGGGACGACGCATTTCTCCCCGGGCGACTGGATCGGAATCGAATTGGACGAACCCACCGGTAAGAACGATGGCTCTATCCAGGGAGAGCAGTACTTCGAGTGCGAGCCAGGGTTTGGCATGTTTGTTCGGAAGACCGCGATTAAGGCGACCGTCGCCCAACAGCCCGCACGGGAAGCCAAACCGGCGGCGAAGGGGAGCACCAACATTCCACCAGCCAGCAGAGGTCGCGCCCAGAGCGGCGTTGCTGCAGCTGGCACGGGGATCAAGAAGGTGGGCGCTACACCGGCTGCGAATACCAAACGACACAGCGCGAGCTCTGCTAGTCCGACTCCCGCATCCAAAGTTGCAGCTCAGCGACTGTCTTTGAAGGTATGTTTGTGCGACTATAGGCGTCAATGGCCGTTTCGATGCTAACCAAGTCATATCGCAGCCCCCTGCGAAATCTCCGACCAAACAGATGTCCGGCGCCTCTACTCCCCTTTCACACCGTTCCTCCATCAGTGGTACATCTCGACCAACGGTGGCACCTCCCAAATTGCGCCCAGCAGCCGGCAAGTCCTCCATGGGTCCTCCGCCTCCTCCTTCATCCGCGACTCGAACCTCCCGTCCATCGATATCCGGACCGGCAACCAGAACTACACGACAGAATACTCTGGACTCCGCCTCAACGCCTACGGGAGTAGCCAAGCGCCCTGCTTTGCGACCAACAGCCCCCAATAAGACATCAGAAGAACCCGATAGCGGAGCAAGCCCGAACTCGGAGGCTTTCGAGTCTGGATCTCAGCAAGACCCCGATGAAGATTCTCCGCAGAATGAAGAGCCGGCCCCAAAGGCGTTCAAGCCGACCACAGGTTCCGCACGAGCAAGCGCTGGTCGCCCAAGCCTCTCGTCTCCTTCGTCATCTCAGCGCCAGGGTCAGAATGGCGCCGTGGGCAGGGAGCTTGAGGAACTGAAGACGAAGTTGCGGGTGATGGAAAAGAAGCGGACGGAGGATCGGGAGAAGCTCAAGTCGTTGGAGAAGCTGCAGTCTGACAGGGATAAATACGAATCTATTATCCAGAAACTGCAAGCAAAATACCAACCACAGCAGGCTGAAATCGGCGACCTGCGGAAGAAGCTGAAAGAGACGGAAGCAAGATTAGAGGAAGTTGAGAAACTCGAGGCAGAGCATGAATCCATCATGGAGATGGTAACCCTCGACCGCGAAATGGCGGAAGAAACGTCCGATGCCTTTAAGCATGAATGCGAGACGCTGAGAGCCAAGGTGGAAGAGCTTGAACTGGAAGTGGAAGTTCTGCGCGAAGAGAACGAGGAGTTTGGCCAAGTCATGAGCCCCGAGGAAAAATCTAGCCATGGGTGGTTGCAAATGGAGAAAACTAATGAACGCCTTCGCGAAGCTCTTCTGCGTCTTCGTGACATGACACAGCAGCAAGAACAAGAGCTGAGAGAGCAAGTCAAGGAGATGGAACAGGACCTGGAGGATTACGCAGCCGTCAAAGCCCAATATGAGTCCACGAAGGAAAAGCTTCTTCTATCTGAGAACAATGTTGAGGACCTGAAGCAACAACTGGATTCGGCTCTTGGGGCCGAAGAAATGATCGAAGAGCTTGCTGACAAGAACATGCGTTATCAAGAGGAGATTAACGAACTCCACGCGGCCATTGAGGACCTGGAAGCCCTGAAGGAGATCAACGACGAGCTTGAATATAACCACATTGAGACAGAAAAGCAGCTGCAAGAGGAAATTGATTATAGAGAAGGTCTGTTCAATGAGCAGTGCCGGAAGATCACCCAGCAAGACGAGGTTATTGATGACCTGGAATATACCCTCGCCCGCTTCCGCGAGCTGGTCTCTACGCTGCAAGGAGACTTGGAAGATATGCGAGCGTCGCAACAAATCTCGGAAGCCGAGGCCACCGATCTTACTACGCGTTCGCGGGCCATGATGGACCTGAACTTGAAACTTCAGGCGTCGGTCACTAAGACGCAGACCAAAACGATCGACATTGAGATTGGTCACATGGAGGCCGATGAAGCTTCTCAGCACTTGTCTATCTTGAAGCTGTATCTCCCTGAGTACTTCGAGGGGGAGCGAAACTCTATTCTTGCGCTCTTGCGGTTCAAACGTGTTGGATTCAAGTCGTCCTTGATGAACAATACTATTCGTGAGAAGCTGTCGGAGCAGGCATCTATACCTGCAGCGCTTGAAGACACGTTCACGGCATACGACGTTCTCGAGAAACTCTCGTGGATTGCGTCTTTGTGTGATCGCTTCGTTGCCTACATCAGCACTTGCTCTACAGATGCTTTTGGAAGCATGAAGGC